TATATATATATATAAATACAAATTAAATTTCATTATTAATATCTATGAACTATGATTATAATAATTTACAGTGATACATTTTATAACAATTACAATAGATTACATTACAATATGTGTGCACGTGCGTGCGAGCGTTTGTGTGCGTGTATGTGTGTGTAAACGTTTGCTCGCATGTTAATGCAGTCATAGGAATGTTCTTATTTACAGATAAGATTTGATCGACTTAAAACGATCAATACGAATATATAACTCTTGATATTGTAGAGGTAATAAAATCATCTTTTAATAATCATTTATAATAATCATATTTATCTTAAGACTTTCAATTTGGAATATCCAACGAAACTTCCTCAAAAATTGTAGCATTTAATTTTAATTTTCTTATGTTAAACATAATTCTGAGTAACACTCACAAGTAGTTCGTACGATCACTGCATTTGTGTTTACGTTCCGTTGGCCTGAACTGATTTCAGGAAAAAATCTAACAATTTCGGAAAAGAATTACAAAACATTGAGCTCTACTAAACTAATGACAACCACAACGATCGGCAACCATATCCTCGTACGTTTTCAAAATAACGTTCTCGTTATCGTCGTAGAAAAGTATGGTAGTGCTGAGCAATTTTGTAGGTACACAACAAGGCATTTCAACACCATCCACCAAACCCATTGAATGAACGATACCTTGTACAGTGGCATGATTTGTTGGTTGTTGTTCTTGACTTAATGGTGACTGGCAAAGTCCCTTGCAGTGATAAGCGGAGTATCCTTTCGGGGCAATTATAGAGGAAGAAAGCCCAATTTCCGTGAAATCAACGTAAAGCTCGTATCTCGAACAGGCAGTCGTGTTTTTATGTCTCCACGTGGGACTTTGTCTCTTCGTTAATCTTCTTTCTCTGCCTTGATTCCTATTAGCTTTGTCGGATACTTCACTTAATTTCTCGCGCAACATAGCTCTCTCGTAAATTTCCATCGAGGTTAAAACTTGTCTCCTTTTCGTCCTGTGTGAAACTATTTTCTTAGGACATTTTCGAATGTAATTTGTATCTCGTCTATCACGTTCCACAGAATCTTCCCGCCAAATTGATTCGGACCCCTTGTGTTTCCTCTTCATTCTCGTAAACATTTCCTTCTCGTGTCTCTGTACTAACAAAGGATATTCCAACTCGCTCTTCTCTTCTCTCTGTCTTTGAACATGTTTCGTTTTTTCTTCCTCCACATCGATTTTATCATCCTCACCAGCAAAACGTATATCATCGTTATTTCCATACATATAGTACTCCGGGACGATTTTCATTCCAGATCGCTTCTCTTTACCATCGTCGTTGAAGAGAACTAAAATTGGTTGTTTATTGTGTCGAGATTCACTTCGTCGAGAAAACTCGACGTTTACCTCGTCGTCGAATAAAGTTGTAACTGTCACCAATAGACCGAGATTTGGATCGCTATTCACCCAGGACAACACCGCTTCCTTGACGTTTAACACCTATAAAGTTACGTTATAATTGTCTTTTTCATCATTTTAACCTTTAACCATAATAGATTTTTTTCTATTTTTTTATGTCTATTTAATTTCAATTGGTTAGGAAAATAAATTGATCAAAAAGTAGGGTGTGCACGAGTGTGAGTTGTAAAGTTTTGAGTTTCAACAAAATTTATTTTCAAAATAAAAGTCAATTTGATAGTAAGAAAAAATTGTTTCTATATAGACCTCAACACTTTTCAATTTATTCAAGTATTTTAATTTGTTAGAAAAATTAATTTCAGTGTTTAAATAATGTAATATAATTAACACTAGATTAATACCATTTTAATTGAAAATTCCTACAGCATGTAACATCTGATTTCCGAAATGATGTTATGACTTTTGTAGCTATAAGTAGAGAATACATTTTATGAACTTAATGTCACTTTATATCTATTTGTAACAAATATAATTTTTGTCATGGACACTTATACCAGTACCAGTCAAATGACTGGTGCATGTTTCTATGAAAAAATTCTGTGATAAAATGAAATTGGAGCAGCTGGATATTGTACAAAAATACAACAGAAAATATCTCTCGGAAAGACCTTCTGTTTCAATTAGCAGAAGAACTAGCTTGAGAATATCAGATTTCAAAGCAAAAACCACACGAAACTGATATACCAATTACAAATGGCACGCAAATGATGTTAAATAGGATATTTAATAGGAGTAACAATACAACTGCAAATATTTGCAATACATGCAAAAAAGTGTATGTGGAAAGTGTACACACAGCAAAATCTACATATGTAGAAATTACGACCGACAAACTGTAAACAATTAAGGGTTTTGTTATTTGAAAATGTCTATAAATCCATTTATCTATTAAAATTAATATTGTTCAACTTTTTTTTGTTATATTTTAAGAGTAAATAAAGACTGGAAGCCTCAATAGACAGGAAGTTATTTTGACTGGTGTGATAGAAATAGGTATACTGAAAATGGTGGTAAATTTAGTGTTAAATATGATATCATAGAAATAAAAAATTGCTTTCGAAGGTTACTTACCTGCCAGCCAAAAGTATGTGCCTCAAAATAATGAATATTGAGCAACTTGTGACGACTCGGTTCAGCCAGACTTCTCTCATCCAATACTTGATAAACTCTTAACTGATAAGAAATGATTTTCTTGTAAAACGTGAAAATCAAACAAGGAAAATCACTAAATTTCTTCGACACTTACCAAATAATACGGCATCGTAAGTGTCGGTGGCGGCTCCGTTTTCGCGGGTATTTTCTTTCTATAAAGATGTAATTCGGCTTCCAAAACCGACTCGTTTACTTCCAGGCCGGATATGTTAAAGAAATAAAAATGAGATAAGGAGGTATCTGCGAAATAAAAATAATTACAATTACTACCTGTACTTACTTGTTTTTTCTAAGCAAATTATCGCGTAGGAAAAAGAAATATGTGGAAGGGTTGAAAAGTTTTGAGTCTCGACAAAAATCTTTTATTTATAAAAATAAACAAAACTTTTCAATGCAACGCATCTATGTTATGTAAATATTTTTGTAAGTATGCATCTTGCACAATTGTACTTCTTGCACAAAGTACACTCTTGCACAAAAATATAATTGTTTAAATTAATTTGACTAGTAGTATATATAAGAAGGATCAAAGTTGTACGTGTTAAAAAATAACAATTTACCCTTCTCAATGAAACTCCGTACGACTTTAGCGTTATAAGGGTTTCGTCCTCGTGTGACACCACTCTCATCGGCAATAGTATTGTACAGTTCCATCATGAACTGTGGCGGTACCTTATGATGAGCCAATTTATCACCCTGGCCACGAATACCAAAGATCTGTAATTTTATTATAATTTTCTGTAATATATTTTCATAAAAAAAAAAAAGAAAAGAAGAAACGTTATAAATTAAGTCGGACCTTTTTCAACTTTTCTAATTCATCTTCCCGTTTCTTCTCGTTACCACTTTCATTTTCTTCATTGGGTTTACTGAAAGACGAAGTTAACCACTCTTCCGTCTTTTCCAAATTTGTATCATTATCCTTAAAAATATCTAAGGGATATGTGTCTTTCTCTCTAGGAGAAAGATACATTGACAATGACATCATTGGTATCACTAACAATAGCGACAATGCACTTCGCGTCTTCATCGATACGTCTTAAGTTTGATTAGAAACAAAGAAGAAATCCTTTAGTAATAAACATGTAATGATATCTTCGAAGTGATAAACATGAACACCTAAATGTATCCTTTCGAACGGTTGGCTTTCGATCTTCGGAACGACAAATCTGCTTTCTAATGGTAGCACAAAATGTTATATTAGTTGTTTATATAAATGTATAATCGGTTCATCGGAGATGAACATTTTCGTACATTCATTAGCAACGAAGATATGTTTCGATGTTTCTATTCAGATAACTCACCCTTAAATATAATCTATATTGATTATACGTATATATGTGATACAAGAAATAATCCTGAATTGGACACTTCTAGATTGATTACGAAACAAGGAAGAAATATCAAAATACACCGTGTTGCTTTTCTGTTAGTCTCGTTCGAAAAAAAGAACGGATAGCTCTGCTTCACCGGACACTTTGCCGAACTCAACGGGACGCTAAGTGGCATATGGGAGGTTTTCGCTGCGAGGAGTCACCTTTATGCTATGCCGGGAGTTGTTCCTTCCCCCGCATTACTCCCCGCTCGATATTGGCGCTTCTCTTTCTTTTACACACATACTCATTTATATATACAGAGCCAACGACATATATGCAAGTCCTCAACTTATCCACATAATTGTCAACAACGACAACACACCTTGGCCCTTTAACCCAGTGTCAAAACAACATTTCTACATCTTTATTTTCTTAATCTTTATGCTAAAAAATCTGTAAAAGGTATTTCACAGTTTACTTCTGTTTCATTATTATTATTATTATTATTATTATTATTATTATTAGAAATTTTAGAAAAAAAAGTTGATCAATTTAAGTACAAATTTAGTTCATATTTAATATTTTAGGAAATAATTTAATTGTATACACTTTTGTCCAATTGACTGTTATTATTACTCTTATGTAGAAATTATTATTGCTATCAAAATCTTGTTTGTATGAATTTTAAATAATATCTCATAAATAAATGAAATATTTGTGGTCCTAAGAGTCGATTTACCTAACAGATAAATGATAAATATATATTTATCATTTAAAAATAGGAGGGGACGGTATTGTAGGCCCCATACTTTGTTAACAACATTGTAAATGAAAATTCATGTTTGAAAAAAAAAGAAAATATTCTAAATCTATTAATAAACTAATAAAACGATCTTTTGTTTTGTACTTTTCTGTTCTGGGTGAAGTGATTTTTGAGACACCCCTTCTCTTACATTTGTATGTGTGTATGTATGTGTGTATGTGTTATTGAGACGATAGAAATGGCAAAGCGATGATGACAGTGCCAAGCTATTATAAAAAGCACGACGTTTCCTAAATTCTACGGATTCGTAAGCATCGAGCTATGCCCGCGACACGATATTTAGGTGGATGAACGTTTTAGATAATTCGTTGCTTTTTCTTCTTCTACTTCTTCTTCTTCTTTTTTATTTTATTTTTTTATTTTTTATTTGTTATTTTTTATTTTTTTATTTTAATGCGAGGGCGATGACTGATCACAAGTCACGAGCGTATTTTTATGAACCGTTCGCCCACGTTTTCTTTCCTCGCGTATCGAGGCTGCCGCCTCGAATTTCATTTAGTTTCGGTCTTTTACTTTTAACTGCATTGCTTGGGAATAACGTATGCGACGAGAACTCATACTAAACAAGTAAGTACGTACATATATAAGATATAAGATATCCTAACACTTGAATTCAGGAGTAACAATTAAGTTTTAATTTCCTTTATATTATTTATATATATATTAGATATTTTATAATATTAATAATCCATTAGATTGTCCCAAAAGCTTATTACTTTTTTTCATTATTTAATTTTACATGAATAAAATTTTCTATTCTGTTATCTTTACTGACAATGAGTCATATATTTTTTTATAGAGAAAAGTAAGAGAAGAAAATATATCACGTTAGACTGAATGAAATAAAATAAAATAAAAATTATTATGCATGTCAAAGAAACTAAGAAAAAACAAGAAACTTTTGGAACTGACTAATATAAATATTTATGATAAAGAGAGAGAGAGAGAGAGAGAGAGAGAGAGTGAGAGAGAGAGAGAGAGAGAGAGAGAGAGAGATGAGAGATGAGAGAGTTATGTAAAATATATGTTTATTTGATAGACGTACTGTGTAAGTACATCATTTACGTAAAATATACGTATATATAAAATATACATAACTATAAAATATATATATATATATATATATATTATACGTTTGGCATGATATAAGGATATAACATTTCTTATTCTTAGATGAAAAAGTTTCAAAGATTTATTTGAAAATAATTCATTATTATTTGCCTATAAATCATTACAACTATTACATGCTACGACAATGATCATCCTGCTAATTAAATTAGTGAATTTAATTAATTAATTCTCTTTAGAAAAGAAGACATTAGAAAATTTCTTAGCCACGTAACTAAATAACAGATCTAAAATAAATTGAAATAAAAAATAAAAAATAAAAGTAGATGGATCCTAACATCTCGTTTATTCGCTAAACGTGAAAGGATATTATCTATCCTAAGAACATCTTCGTCTTCGATTCTTATTTTTTCTTGTTGATCAAAAAATTAATATCTCTTTCGACGATGATTCTTTTTATACGCAAATGCATTCCGTTATCTGTATCACTTCGCGTTTCGATCCTCGTCGAGTTCTAAAAGAATGTTTATCGTGTTAAAATATTTTCTTTTTTAGATATATATTTTTATTCAATAAAAATGTGTTTACCTGTACTCGTGAACTTTGAATCTTGCTGGTGTGCAAGTATGTTGTTTGGAATAAAGACCAGCTAAACATCTGGATGGGTCTCGTTTGTCACGTAAAATGCAAGTTTCTGTTTCATTTCCAGGACAACCTCCAACACATTGACCAACATTGATTTCCTGGACAAATATAATCAGAAACAATATCGTTTTAAGATCAATTGAACAATCCTTTGAAGATTTATTTGATACCACTTACTCTGATTATAGGTTTGACATCGGTCGTATTAGTACCCTCTTTAATCTCAACTTCACTGAAATCCAACACTTTTTCCATGTGATCCATTCGATGACAATTACCGACGCAACTGCATTTCTCAATAACTGGATACACTTCGTCTCCTTGATAACATAACAATTTTTTAAATATTATTTACATTAAGATTTCCAATGATATTTCGTTTACATTTTATTTACCATTTGGTCCTTTAACGCTGACTGTGTTATTTCTTGTAGGTTTGCAACCAAGATCTTAAAAAAACAAAAAACAAAACATACATAAAATATTATATTATAAGTATATTATGATTATTTTAATAAAATATTATAATTTTATTAGATTGATGCAATACAATAATCATGAGTGTATATTAAGAAATTATACAATGCCATTTTATACAATAGAAACAAATGGTGAACACGAACTTCAAAATAATTCAATAAAAAAATTAATTATAAATTAAAATTAAATATAAATAATTATTTTCCAATCACTAACAAAATATTGTTCTGGAAAAATATTTCATATGATTACAATGTTTTTTGTAGATATTCATTTACAATACCTTTGACACAGTGTCCTATGCAAACCCCAACATCGATAACGACTTGATACGGTGTACCAGAATGTAAAAGATGCGTATAGGATTCTCTTTTACAAAAGGAATCTGAAGAACACTCACAAGCATCAACAGCCTCGATAATACGAACTCCCTGCAATGTGGATACTCTTTCCAGTCTAGCAGCCCTTGGTCGACAGTGACCATCTTGTGAACATCTCTACAAATATTACAACAAATATTTTTAGTCTCTAACAATATATCATGAAAAATATAGATCTTAATCATCCATACTATGATTATCTTAATCGTTCAATAATTTATACAAAATTATGAAGTGTTTATTTTTTGGAACTAATATAAATCTATCACGTATAAATATAGTTAGGAACTTATAAAGGAGAAAGATGGAATTCTCAAAGACTCAAAAAGCTGTTATGGTGCCCTGAAAAAAAGATATCTTAAGGATTTTAAAAATACTGATAATAAAACTCTTGCGTGACTCGTGTGAACGTATCATGTTAATCACGTTATATGTTATAACCACTCTTTTTATATTTCTTATAATATGAAAATAGACTCAATAATTATTTGTTTTCTTTCTCTTAGGGATATTATAATGTATTATTTTTCATATGGATCATTTGCTCTTCTGAATCTTAAAGGAACGTGATTCTTGGGATTTAGTATGTGGACAGGCTGGCGCCCACGTTTGCTGACCCAAGACGATTCGACCTTCCAAGGACGCAAAACATATCGTCCTGAAGCAGCCCTCTCTCCTTTCTTCTCTCTTCTCCTTTGCATATCGCGTGCAACACCAACATCTTCCCGACTTGTTTCTCACTCCTGGAGAGAAGCGTGGGTGAGCTACAAGATCGTAAATACACCAATCGGATTGCATTACGTGACGAAAATAACCTTCTCCACCCAAGCAAGGAAGCGATACACGAAGGAACACTCCAAATACTTATCCTCTCAACAGGATCTGTTTCTTTAGATCTTCTCTCATTAAACTCAAGCGTATACCAAAAGTTCTTATTGTAATTAGTTTCTATTACTCTATTAATAAATAATAGAAAATTATTTTTCTAGATTATAATAAAGGCAATGAAAAAAATAGCACTTCTTTAGTATCAAAAATAAATTCTTACTATTTCTTTTTAATATTAGTGTTAAATTATTATAAAGTCACTTTACAATCGATTTAAAAAGATAAGTATAAAATCAAATTATTCTCTACGTGCACGCGTAAAATTTAAATAATATACTATTAAATATATACATATTTATATATATATATTAGAGTGGGTCAAAAAAATGACTTTTTTTTTTTTCAAGTGCCACGGAAAAATGGGTTGCTAGACATCTTAAAAAAATTCTCACCAAATATGAGCTCTTCATTTTAATAGGAAGATCCTTCGCATCGCAATTTTTTATTGTTTTATCAGTCCAATAGATTAAAATTCATACCTCATTATTTATTGATTGTACAGAAAAATGTTCTAGACAAATTTTGTAGGAAATTTAATGCTCTACAAAAAAGGTATCTTATATTTTTTCCGTAAATCTCACCATTTCAATGATATTGAAGATTTAAATTTGATGATTTCTAGACAAATCTCATTTTTGTTTATGAATTTTATAACTCGACAATAAATGACTATTAAAAAGTGCACAATACAAATTTTTGTAGGAAATTAACTGCTCTATAAAAATGGTGTCTTATGTTTTGGCGATTAAATTGAGCGTTCAAAAGATATTCAGAGACAGAAATCAGTACACATGAAAGTTTGATGATGAATATCTTTTTGAATGCTTAATTTGATCGCCAAAACATAAGACACCATTTTTATAGAGCAGTTAGTTTCCTACAAAAATTTCTATTGTGCTCTTTTTAATAGTCATTTATTGTCGAGTYATAAAATTCATAAACAAAAATGAGATTTGTCTAGAAATCATCAAATTTAAATCTTCAATATCATTGAAATGGTGAGATTTACGGAAAAAATATAAGATACCTTTTTTGTAGAGCATTAAATTTCCTTCAAAATTCGCCTAGAACATTTTTTTGTACAATAAATAAATAATGAGGTATGAATTTTAATCTATTGGACTGGAAAAAAAGTAAAAAACTGCGATGCGGAGGATCTTCCTATTAAAATGAAGAGCTCATATTTGGTGAGAATTTTTTCAAGGTGTCTAGCAACCCATTTTTTCGTGGCACTTGAAAAAAAAAAAGTCATTTTTTTGACCAACCCTAATATATATATATAGGTTTTTCAGGTTAAAATAACAATTTTTCATTTCAAATTAACATTATTTCATTTTAAAATAACAATTAAAAAAAACAGTTGGAAATAAAATAATGAATGATAATTTATTGAACTAAGATTAAAAATCTGCCATTTTAAGAGTTATTTTCAAAGTTTTCAATGCGTTGAAAATTGATGTAGTACTAATGTAAGATTTACGTTTTTCTTTTTGAGAAATTCACTTTTAATATTTTTTAATGTAATTGCTGGATTGCGTTCTATTATTAATTCAATATAGTTTAAAACTTCGTCGGTCAGTATGAATATTCTTTTACCACCTCGTTTTTTGTTTAATACAACACAAATATCATTTTTGTAACGTCTCAATGCATTATAAGCTGTATTTTTATTAATACCTGATATTTGCGCTGCCTTGGTTATTGTTTTACCTACTTCATATAGTTTTATTAAAATTTCATTTTTTTTCTAAGCCTATCTTGTTGTTTACTATTGAAATACGATTTCTTCTCCGTTCAACAACTAAATTTTCGATATTTTTATCACTACTGCTATCAAAATCATTATTTGATTCCATAATTCTGCTATAATTGGATCTCGTTGAGGAAGTATTGCTCATGTCCCTGTTAATTCATTATTAATATTATCCATTTTGTTAAGGGATGAATTACCCCCTTTAAATCTAATCAATGGAGAATTCAGTAACCAATAATAAATACCAATGATATCAATGATAAATATTAGGTCATTAAGTATGAAATGTCGGATTTGAGACCGAAAGTTTGGTTTATTATATCTCGGGCAATAAATAATATAATTAATCAAAATATGCACCTAAACTATCAATACAACGTTGTCATTTTAACGATAGCTTATTAATATCGCTAGCGAAAAAATCTAGAGAGCAGCTGGTGATAAAATCGCGAAAGACATTTTCTACCGCATGTTGGGAATTAAATATTTTTCCTTGAAAAAAATTGTCTAAAGCTCGGAAAAAATGGTAATCGGTTGGCGCGAGATCTGGCGAGTATGGTGGGTGACAAAGTGTTTCCAGGTCCAGTTCCTGTAGTTTAAGTAACGTCGATCTTGCAACGTGTGGTGGAGCGTTCTTCTGCAGGAGGATTAGTCTGTCCCTATTGACCAATCTCAGCTGCCTAATTTGCAGCTGCCTCATCATTTCTTCTAACTGTTCACAATAGAGGTCCGCCGTTATCGATTGTCCAGCTCTCATAAAACTATAGTGTATAACATCCGCACTTGACCACCAAACAAACACCATTAGTTTTTTTTGGTGTATATTCGGCTTTGGGGTGTGCTTTGGCGCTTCATCTTTGGCCAACCATTGTGCGGAACGCTTGCGATTTTCAAAAAGTATCCACTTTTCATCGCACGTGACTATTCGGTGCAAAAATGGATCGCCTTTTAGTTTTGATACCAAAGAACAGCAAGCCTCGAAGCGGTTCCGTTGCTGACACTCCCTCAACTCATGCGGAACCCACCTATCCAGCTTCTTTACTTTTCCAATTGCTTTCAGATGACTTAATATTGTTGGGATGATAACTTCAAACCTTGCTGCTAGTCCACGCGTCGTTTCAGATGGATTTGCTTCCACTACAGCTTTCAGTTGGTCGTCATCCACCTTGCTCTTAGGCCACCCTCGTGGTTCATTTTAAAGATCAAAATCTCCAGATCGGAATTTTTTGAACCATCGAAATACTGTACGTTCGTTAGCCACATCCTTGTCGAACACTTCGTTGACATTTCGGCTTTCCTGCGCTGCATTAGTTCCACGACGGAATTCATATTCGAAAATAACTCACAATTTTGTCTTATCCATGGCTTACAATATTTAACTTCCAGACGACAATACGATAGACTATTAAAAGCAAAAGGGTGCATCTAAAAGCCAGATGGCGAACCTTCTTAATGCAAAAAAAAATAAAGGACGATCGAAGTGAAATATCGGAGATATCTGGTATCAAACTTGAGGCCTTAGGTAATCCGACATTTCATACTTAATGACCTAATAGTTATCATTGGTACAAGCCCATTGGTTGACAACGTATATAAATATTATATTATGATTTTTTTATGAAGATGTCTTTTTCTAATTTTGTTTTATTAAATTTCAAAAATACTAACAGTGGTATAGCGAACGTAAATCCAACGCATTTTTGTCTAAAATTAATTTATTTTTAAAGATTATTATTATTTTCTGAATTTAATTTCATAAATATTGTTTTAAATATGATTGCACATAAATTTTAAAAATTAACATAGAAAATAATGTAAATTAGTTTTTTAAATTATCATTCATTACTTTATTTCTAACTATTTAGTTTAATTGTTATTTTGAAATGAAAAATTTTTATTTTGAAATAAAAAATTCATTATATATATCATTCTTAATATGTTTAATTATGTATTTTTAATATTCACGATAACTTAGGAAATTACCTTTATACCGACCGACATAATTATATTTCTTTTTTTTTTTAAGGAAAACGATAATATTAAATAATTATTTTTATCATTTATAATATTTTCCTTTGTTTTACTATTTCGTTCAAAATGATCATTTATCTGTATAATTTCTACATTACTTTCCAAATTCTTTACTTGTATTTCTATTGTATTAATATTTTTTTAAATTGTTCTTTTTTTTTTTGAGTAAAAAAATGAATAATTTTTTTTTATAGTTAAAAAACATCATCAAACCCTCATCAATGGTTTGAGTTGTTGGTAGAATCGTTCAGATTGTTGGATCGCGCGATATCTGGCGTGGCCACATTCCAGCTTCTGGATTGGTCAAACTCATGAGTCATAAATCTGCAATACGTTCCAGTCCTTTCTTCACCCTTCATAGCCCTCGGCATAATCGGCCGATATTACTGGACTCTCAAATTATATATACTCCTCTTAATATCAAAATTCTTTCGAAACCGAACTTTGAAATATGCCTGCATGTACTGCACGCTGTGATCAGATCTCTATTTTTCTTGTTTCTTCTTTATCTTTATATTTTGATTTATAGAAATACATGATCGTAAATTCAAACGATTCAATATTTCTCTGATTGTGAAATTATAATTATTTGAAAATAATGACATTAAGCTTATTCAAGGATTCAAATAATAATTTGGATATTATTTACATTAGTTGAATAAGTCAACATAAAAATTTGTTATTATTGAAGACATATTTAAATTTTTTACAAATTTTTCATCGTACATGTAGATATACGTATAGTATTCTTCTAATTAATTTTTTTTTTTATACATTTTCGATTTTTTCTAGCGTTAAAAAAATCTTCAAAATATTTTCTTATCAAATGAGACTTTCGATAAGATTAGTTTTGACTTTATAGGACCACTTATTATTGAAATTGACTTGTTTTTTGACGAGCTCAATGATCACCTAACTGCCGATATTATTTTTTTCTTTTCTTCTCTTTTCTTTCCTTTTTTCATTTTCTTTTTCCTTTTTTCTTTTTAACTTTTCTTACTACGCAAAATCTTTAGCAATTTTCTGATTTATTTTCAAACAAAATCACTCTAGCAAGGAGCCATTCCCCATTTTCAAACAACCAAAAGACTCCAGAGCGTGGAATTCGAATGAGACTCATGGACCGGTTCGATAAACTTCAATCCGGCAGGATGGGCTTTTTGTTCGTATGGAACCTGATGCGGCAATCAGCCGCACGGTGTTTTTGCACCTGGTGCATCCCGCGAATATGAGTCACAGATTACGCATAGTCACGTAGGCCCTCTCGAATGCTGCTACATTCCTGCTTCAATATATACCTAAAATATCTTTTATTTTTCTTCTAAATCTTTCCTTTAACATCTTCATTATCATCGTTTAATCGTCATTTTATTAGATTAGTTCTATTAAATATATTCTTAAGATAACATTTAATAACATTTTGCTTAAAATATTAATAAGATTGCAATCACAAATCATAGAGGAAATTTATTTCATTATTTTGTAGTAAATTAAATATTAGGAGTTTTTACTGTAAATTTCATTTTTAAAAATTTCTTCAAATTATCATATAAATTGTAAATATTTTAAAAATTAAATTAAATATTGTTTAAGCAAATTTTTGTATTAACTAATTTTTCTGCGTTTTGTTGATTTACGTTAAAAAATATTTCCTGATTTAATTGAAAATATTTACCTGAACAGCCGGTTTGCTAGCATCACCGGGGTCGTCAGAAACATGTCGAGGGCAGAGCTTTCGACAATGTCCGATATCAATTTGTATAACTTCTCCAGATATTCCTAAAAAAAAATTATATGCATTAAAATCTGAAAAAAAAACGAATATAAAAATCATAAATATTTGGTCATAATTTTATAAATATTGAAATATCCATTGAATGAATATTCTATATTAACATTCTATATGCAGATAATGAAGTACTGTGACTGCTGTATTTTGGATATATAAATTGAAAATTTTAAATTGATTTTTCATAAAAATATGAAAAACATAGTCAACAAATTTTTTTATTACTAAAATTTCTTTGCGTACATTATAATTCAATATCATTAATAACAATCTAAGTTTTATTATAAATGTGACATAAATGATGACACACGTACACAAATAGTCCTAAATAAAATTAATCATAACAATTAATATTATTAACAAATGATTCTTACAAAATTAAATTATAAATAGTCAACACGGTGCAAAAATGTGTTCTATCAATTTATATTTCTATGATTGAATTATTAAATCATCAAAAAATATGTACAAGCAAATGCTTATATAAATTTTGTCTTAAATTGATAACTACACTCTAGTTACATTTATTTTTCAAATAAATATACTGACGTATGTATTTAACTATGATATATTGCCGACAATTTAGTGAACCCACAAATAACACTTCCACGAAATATTAATCCCCAATCTCTTACATACTAACTCATTTCTCAAGTTGACGTCTCTCGATGTTCGCAAGATTTTATTACGGTCAATGAATCGAAGAAGATAAATGTTCTTATGATTAATTACGATCGATATGGTCAAAGCGATCTGCCGATAAGAAATTCTGGTCGTTGAAACAAGCCGGCATTCTAAATCACGAATTAGCTATGATGTGTGCTCATATGGGTGTATGTGTTATGCGAAAATACCGGACGTTCCGTCATCCTCGACATCGACACCGAGCGTCAATTGATTGAACACCCAATAATAATCTTGGTCGGTGGTGTTCAACAAAGATAAGGTCATATTTTCTAACGGTAAATGAGTCCATGATGCATTATGCAACCTAATTTTTATTTTTTATCCCTTTCTTTTTTTTCGCTAAGGAATTGCTTACGTAATCTTAACGAGATGTATGTTTATTCTCCGTATATTTAATTTATATTCGTCAAAGTAATATTAATCAAATATAACTCACCATAACCGACGTCAATCAATTTCTCATGCCTCGCACAGCAAAGATGTTGCCGTACTTCCTCCGTATGAGCTTTTCCCGCCGAATCCTTTTCGCTGAAAGCTACAAAACAAACGAATTTTTTCAAAATCGATTCATTCATTTCAAAACTATCAGTATTAATCTTAAGTCGTTAAAAAATAAATAGTTACTTGTAAGAAACTATATTGCATTCAATTATAATTGATTTGTTTATATAAATTTTATCAAATAAAAAAAAAAAGATAGAAAAATTCTTTAACAAGAAATAGAAAAGTAAACAATATTTGTCATTACGACAAGGTTGTGCAACAGGCACAACCAGCTAGTGTGGATAGCCTACCTAATCGTATATTGGCGAGAAAAATCAGAGCAAAACTGCCGAGGACGCTCCACCATCCCCTCGTGCTTTGCATTCTCATCGGTACGAAAATAAAGATGGACCTTTATTTATAGAGAAAAAAAAACAACAAAAAATTCTACGATACAATTGATAAACTCAAATTCTTTATTTGTTCTTTCTCTCTCTCTCTTTCTTTCTTTCTTTCTCTCTCTCTCTCTCTCTCTCNTCTTTCTTTCTTTCTCTCTCTCTCTCTCTCTCTCTCTCTCTCTCTCTCTCTCTTCCTCTCTTTCCCTCCTTCTCTTTTCTTCTCTCTAATCTTATTATCGGGTTAATCAACGATAACGTGTAATTATCACTGTCGTTATCTCATTAGAAATATTTGCCGAAATGACTAGATGATAAAACGTTGTTGTAATACGCGGACTAGCCTAGGAAATGAATTGCTCAAAGAAGACTTTATAGACCGTAGGATCGATCACGATATCGGTTCTTGCCCACGCAGGTTGCGATCTGCGGGAAGACTGGCCGTCTGGTTGGTGTTACCAGTTCAGATCTCGCTCAGACGGTGAGGCGTCCGGCTGACAGCCGGATCTCTATTAATCTCGTTTGGTACGGAACGTCGGGACCCTCCTCATGAACCGTCCATCACTTTGCCTTTGCCGACTTTGCCGGCAATCACTCCGAGATCATTTCGCTGAACCTGCTCGCTTGCTTGCCCGCTTGCCCGCTTGCCTGCTCGTTTGCCTACCCACTTGCTTGCCCATTTGCTGCCTGCTTGCCTGCCTGCTTGCCTGCCTGCTTGCTTGCCTATCTGTCTGTCTTTATCTTACACATCCGACTAAATCAGTTTACATCTACTATGACGTATAGATTTTATATCAATATCGTACATATTCACGTATGCAGTTTACGGAAGTCATGAAACTTAACCATCACAATTAGTTAATTTCAATTCTATAAAATTATTGTTTCACTTGATTTTCTTCTCATCATTATGTTTAGAGATGAATATTTTTTATATTTGAAAAAATTTATATCTCCCTCTTAAATGTATACTAATTAATAATCGACTTAAGGATTTCTCAGAATTCAAATAAACAATATTATTTAACTGAGTTTAACAATAAACGAGTATATATACGATACGAAATTTAATAAAGAAATGAAGTTTTTGTTAATTATAATTACAGAGGAAGTGTTCTTGATAGATCGAAATAGTTTTGAACTCTACAAAATATTTTCAATTAGAAATTACATTGAACTTTAAGTGATCAGTTGGAACGATCAATTTCACACAATTACTTTTATATTTTACATTAAATTTAATAGCACATTTTTTAATGTTTTAATTTACTGTCAGCAAAAAATAAAGTTTTCATATTAATTAATTATATTCAAAATTTTTTATAATATATAACATGTTACAAAATTATTAAATAGAAAAAGAAAGTTTTGTAAAGACGTGATTTTCGTGAATTTTATTTGTTCATAGACTTCTTTTTTTTTTCACCGTCGACACTAATGCAACGAAAGTATACAAAAAGAACAAAGATGAGAACATTATTCATTTGGTCATTCTATCACGTTCCTTTTTGTTAAATCACCTACTCTCCTTCAGCGTGATTTACCATCAATGCCTTGACCGGCTGCATCATCATTGTTGATTGCATCAAGGGACTTCTTAACGTTCTCGACTCATTAACACCCCTTCAGTATTAAGGCAAAGAATAATTCCGAGTCATTATAGTTACTTATAAATCACCGCATCAATTTCATTGTCAGATTCGTCCTCAGGCTCGGATCCATCTGTTAAAATATTCCTTAAAAATACATATTTTTATTGTATTTTCTATTCTAAATAAATTCTATAAAACTATAATGTGTATTTCATATAAATAAAATAATTTATTATTTGTTATATATACAGGGTGATTCTTGAAACGGAGGCGGGTAATAACTTTTTTTTAAGTAACAATAGAAAAAAATCATAAAGGAAAAAGTTATATGGCACAACAAATGTCAACTTTCTATGACCTTACTTTTTTTGAAAATGCATCAATGCACCCGCTAGATGCAGTTGCATTTTTTTTTTAAATGGAACTTTATATTTTTTTTTTACACTATTCGATTCCTTTTTTTTATTCTGCGTTAAAAAGTATTAAGTGAAGGTCATCGAAATATCAATAGTTTACGAGATATTTGAAGTTATATAGGGAGCGTATAACAATATATTGTTCCAATATCAATTCAAATCAATTAAAAAATGTAATGAAAAATGTAAAAAAGCGCAATAGAATGTGCGCATCTAATTGTTTAGAATGAAATGGGAAAACATTCGAACATTTATTGTAATAAAATACATTACTGATATAAAACTTCAAATATCTCGTAAACTATTGACATTTCGATGACCTTCACTTAATACTTTTTAACGCAGAATAAAAAAAGGAATCGAATAGTGTAAAAAAAAAATATAAAGTTCCATTTAAAAAAAAAGTGCAACTGCATCTAGCGGGTGCATCGATGCATTTTCAAAAAAAGAAAGGTCATAGAAAGTTGACATTTGTTGTGCCATATAACTTCTTCCTTTATGATTTTTTTTTTTTATTGTTACTTAAAAAAAAGTTATTACCCTCCTCCGTTCCAAGAATCACCCTGTATATATATATATATATATATATAAATCATGAATATTTAAAGTTACATATTTTTATAATGTTAAAAGTTTCTTTATTTATTATTAAAATATTTTTATTTAATATTTAACATTAGATCCAATTTTTATTATTTATCGACATTGTATTTGTAGAAATCTACATAACCGACGAATCGCTGGACCACGCTGGATTATAAATGCTAAATAATCATGTAATTTATTGAAATATTTTTTTACTAATGAGCGATTAAGGCATTTTTTATTGTTTTATTTTGTATAAACAATACAAGCTGCTTATATCAATAAAACTTTTTTGATTCTTTTCTTATATCGTTGATTTTATTAAAATTTGTTTGTTCTTCTTTTAGGTTATAACCTAAAAAGACGTTGATTATCAATTTAATTTTCTTCGCATAAAATAATAATTAAAAATTGATAGATTAAATTTTAACCGTTGTTTTATTTTAGAATGACACCTAAAGCTAGAAAAAGCTTATCATCATTAACGACATGTGAGAAATGTCAGTGCATTTATGGTCAAAATGATGTAACCTTACACGAATCTAACTGTCCACCTTCCTTTGACAATTGGAATCACAGCTTTATTTTCAATGATACTTTACATAGTACATTAGAAGTGTATAAGGCTCCAGGTATATATATCATTAATTATGTTCATTTACTATGACTTTATATTCTTAAGTTAATTCCTTGTTCGATTAGCGCCAACAAATATATCTACGCAAGATTTAAACGACATGGTCTTTGTATCACAGACTGTGATGCAGTTGTGCAATATTGCCATAGCAGATCCTGTTATTATTGCGACAAAAAATAGCATTTTAGTTAAAATAGCTTGGCTTGCCAATGACAAATCATTATTAAGCGTTTCTTTACCTAAATCTAGTAAGTTCAATCTTTACGTTACATTTATTTATATTATTGAAGAGAGATGATACATAATCACATAATCGCAATATTTTTAGCTATTGAATTAAACAACTTAAAAGATTTAATTAAAGTGCAAAGTGCAAAGGGAAATATATCTGTGGCTAAGGAATTTACTGTCAAGTGTGCTGGGAAACACGCATTATTGCATATGTCTACCGATCTGGAGATACTTTTTAAAAACTCTAATGAAGGCAAAATATTTTGTGTTGGAAATAAGATAAGCATCTCCTACTATGGAAGAAAAATGGTATATGTGATCGTAGCAGCTTCAGAGCAGATCGTAGATCATAATGATGACACAACGCACGTGGATGATGATTTATTAACGGCTTTCAATCGTTTACATTTAAATACAGATAAATCCAATGTTAAATATTACAAGGCTTTGTATTCTACAAAATGGATCATTCAGAACGATGTATCAATAACTGAGGAAGAACAGAAAAAAGTAAAGTATAAAATAGAAGATATAGGAGGATATAATGATTTAATAGCGGATATAAAAGATGTAATGGACATTGCATTAAATAAATGTAATATTGGTGATTTTTTTATCGGCAAAGGAATTTTACTTTATGGTACTCCTGGAGTTGGCAAATCTATGATCGCTAATGCTATTATATCTGACTACAACATCAAGTGTTTTATTGTTCACAGTTCAGACATTTATAGTAAATCTATGGATGAAGCTGAAAAGAAGCTGAAAGACATTTTTACTGAAGCAAAAGATAATACTCCATGTATAATACTTTTGGAAGATATCGATACGTTATGTCCAAAGAGGATTAGCTCAAGTACAGATCAGGGAAGAAGAGTTCTTGCTACAATAACATCATTTTTCGATGAATTACAGAATACAAAAGATAATATTATTGTAATGGCTACAACATCGAGAATTGAATTTGTAGATGTGTCTTTAAGAAGACCTGGAAGAATAGATAAAGAATTTGAAGTTTATGTACCTCTTCAAAGTACACGTTTAGAAATATTATCAAAGTTACTCAAAAGAATACCAAATACTTTGTTACAACAAGATTTAGTAAATATATCTTTTTCCACTCATGGATTTGTTGGTGCTGACATTTATGGCTTGTGTTCACATGCATTAATGGCTGCGGTTAAACGGCAACATTCTATTAATGTTACCGATACTAAAACAAATGAAATAATTGTAACAATAGATGATTTTAATAAAGCTTTAACTGTAACTAAACCCTCTGCAATGAAAGAAATTTTGGTTGAAGTCCCTCAGGTTAGATGGTCAGATATAGGTGGACAGAGAGAATTAAAATTAAAATTAAAACAATCCATTGAGTGGCCTTTGAGACATCCTGAAGCATTCACCAGAATGGGAATAACCCCACCTAGAGGGGTGCTTATGTTCGGTCCACCTGGTTGTTCCAAAACCATGATCGCCAAAGCTCTTGCTACAGAAAGCAAAGTCAATTTTTTAAACATCAGGGTAATTTATTTAACAATAAATATTTTCTTTTACTATGATATATTAAATATAATTGCTACTATTCGTAGGGTCCAGAACTATTCTCTAAATGGGTTGGTGAATCCGAGAAAGCTGTACGTGATGTTTTTCATAAAGCTCGCCAGGTTGCACCCTCTATCATTTTTATAGATGAAATCGATGCCCTTGGAGGAGAAAGGGGATCTTCATCGGGTAATAGTGGAAATAACGTTGAACAACGGGTCTTAGCTCAATTACTTACAGAATTGGATGGTGTCACTGCTTTAGGAAATGTTACATTAGTAGCAGCAACGAATCGTCCTGATAAAATAGACAAAGTATGTATTTGATATGCAATTTATATTTAATTGAAATCTTTTTAACTAATGCATCATTTATTTTATCAGGCTCTTCTTCGTCCTGGTCGTTTAGATAGAATAATTTACGTTAAATTACCGGACTGTCAAACGAGACAAGAAATCTTTGAAATAAAGCTCAAAAAAATGCCAATCGCAGAAGATGTAAATATATTGGATTTAGTCGAACTTACTGAAGGTTATTCAGGAGCTGAAATTCAAGCAATATGTCACGAAGCAGCAATGAACTCACTCGAAGAGAACTTAGACGCTGCTATTGTTACCAAAGATCATTTTAAAGTAGCATTATCAATAGTGACGCCAAGAACGCCAACGTCTCTTATACAATTATACGAAAACTATATAAATAAAGTACATTAAATAAATTATATAATGATAATAATAATAATAATAATATATTTTTATTACATATTTACAGTTTATACTGGAGCTTCTCAAATTTGTCCACTTAACGACATTATATGAGGTTCCTTTGGAAATTCTTAGTTTATACAATATTACAATTTCAAGATATATATATATATATACATGCATATAATGATATTTCACAATGGTGAATAAAATAAATGATATAATTTGTAGAATTTATCGATAATGAGTATAAGTTGAAAAAAAAACTAAAATTGGAAGTTAAAATTACTTACATTAGTTTTTAAATAATGTTGGTGATCAACACTATTGTACATCTCTGATTCATAATATTTTATATTATCTTTTAAAATATTATTAATAAGTTTTTTATTGTTTTTTTTTTTCTGGATAATTCAAAGATATTGGATATTTTATAAATGACTATAAAATTAAAATCTCAAAAACAGAAAACAAATTGAAATGTGATAAACTATTTAAAGCTTCAATACAATGATTAATCAATTCGATTGAAAGGTATTAACTGTAATTTTAAAATCGATGATGTAATTGTAAACAATCAGTGCTTCCAATATTCTTTAAAATATACCCACCATATCCATCCCACTAATCCCACTTGACATTTACCCACTTGACTCTGTATACCAGAAACCAAAACTAATGGTAAGTTATAAAGCTTATTTTCCAAAAATTCAACCTATCAAAATTTTCAGATATTTAAATATATGAACACCGCTCGTTTATTATTCAGTAATTTGTTTTAATTTTGGCTTGAATTATTTTTAATTTCATTATCAGATTCGTACCAGCACATAATCTTGCCTACGGTTGTGGACAATGGACCAATCTTATGTATCGTTTAATTATTCTAGGTGGTTTCACCTACCTGTTCTTTACCGACTAATTCCAATTAAATCTTTTGGTTCACGTGGTATGATTGAAAAAGTGATTCCAAAATGTTCTCTCGTTTATGTTCCATTATTATTATACAAAAAATTATTCAATATTAATAATGTTATTAATACAAAAAAATAATTTAATTTTTTCAATTAGAGAATTACTAAATTAAATAATAAATATAATTAAAAAATAATTTATATTCCACACACACACACGCGCGTGAATGATTTGTGATTGTGTATGTGTGTGTAGGATGTGCGATTCATAACCTCAAATTCTACATCACATCATTCGATGCAGTGGGATCAGTAACTCGTTGGAAGCAAGGTTATGCTTGATTAACACATTTGTATTTTAATAATATAATAATTTTTATACATTTTGTAAATTAAAATATGGAAGCTATTTGGAATAAAATTTATATTGAACGGCCGCCAAATATTACGTGGCGTATTAAAGCTCAGAAATTTGGTAAGAATATATTATAATTCAAAATTTTCACAATTTCTATTAAAAATGTATATTTTTATGTAAATATAATTAATATTGTAAATTTAATTTTCTATGTAGATATCAAAGGACTTAATGCGACTTTACAACGTATTATTAAAGATTTAGGAGCCCAAAATGATCTCCACAAAGAAGCAGCAATATTAAGCAGAGTTATTTACCGAATGAAGTGTAAATTTCGCAATGACAAGGGTTTTAAGAACATGGAAAAAGTAAATAGAGCTTTACTTAATTATTTAAATTTAGCCCTTGAAAAAGAGTACAAAAATTTTAAAAGTAACATCGAATTAAACGGTACATTCGTTACATTGCCGAGCAAACAAATGTTGGAGTATATCCTTGTCAAAACTCAAGGTTTCGCGAAGCTTTTAGCAAGAGTTGAGGAAGTCACAAAGAATGCTGGCATATTTTTACGATCCCGCGTTGCCTTGGGTCATGCGTGGACTATTACGCTTGTAGCATATGCAGTCATAAGTAGAATTTGGTATGTCATTTATTTATATATGTATGTATTTTAAAATATATATTTTATAAAACGTATTATTTATATTTTCAGGGTATTGTCAAAAAATTTAGTCAGAAAGTCTTGCATTTGGTATAACAGCCTCCATCGATTCTTGAATACGTTCCAAACAGTTGGTCTTCCTTGGCTTTCCAAAAATGACACCTTACCGGTTAATCTAAAATCATGGCTTGCTTTACCATGGCTCGATGAAAATGAATCAAGGTATTTTAATTAAATAAACTAATTAAATTGAAGTTATAAATTTGTACTGTTTTATAAATATTTTGTTTATATTACCATAGCATCGACGAAGAAAATATTTTGAAGGATAAAATGTTTAAATTAATTGAATTTCAAGAGGATAACTTAAATAAGGATTTAAATTCCGATTTGATAGAAACCACTGAATTGATCTCCGACGTATCAGAAAATATTTCGAAACCTAATGTTTCAAAGAATGTTGCCGAACTCTCCATTCATATGAGTGATGATCTCGGAGGTATGAAAAAGTTATAAGTTAAGAGATATAAAATAAAAGAGTGTACACACACACACACACACACATTATACATATATATTAAACATTTGTTTACATTATTTTACAGAAATTGTTGATCGTTCAAGCTGTGCAATAAATTTCAAAAAAAGAAAACACAAAGAAACATCATTGAAAGAACAAAAACAATCGGTAATTGATCAAAAACACGAAAGTGATGATACTAAACAAATGATTGAATTAAAATCTAATTTTAAGAAACAGAAAATAATGGAAGACAAAAATTGTTCTTTAATTAGCAATAGTGATATTGTAATAGATCAATTGGAGCCTAAAGTAAAAAAGAAAAAATGTAAAAAGAAAAAGAAATCGACTGAACCATATGATAAAACCTCCAATGAAAACGTCGTTTTTAATTTCGATAATATGACAAAATCAGATTTGATTAGACTCTTACAAAAGGACCATTATCAAGGAATGGACAAACTGCAGTGGAATATTATTAAGAAACAGTGTAATAAATTACTGAAGCAATCGAACAAATGTACCAAAGAGAAAAATGAATTATTAGTTAGGAAAGCAATAAATATTATACGAGGGAAACAATTTAATTTTAAATTAAAACAAAAAGAAAAAAGTTAAAATTGTAAATATATCGATAAAGAATATTTTAATTTCATGTTCATTTTTTCATTCCCTAGTAGCACAAAATATTGAAAAATATTGAATACATGTGTATTTAATATCAAAAAGACTTTATGAATCTCTTTTTAATATTAAATACATATGTATTCAATATTTTTCAATATTTTGTGCTTCTAAGGTTATTACACGAACTTATTCCTAATCAACATTTTTTTTTATTATAATAACGTTTAATAAAAATGTGGCTTATTAATAGGTAAGTAAGAAAAGCAAGATAAACGATAAAATAAATTAACAAATATTATAGAATTTGGATGAATAATAAAGAAAATATTAGCAAATGGAGAAAACGGGTATAATTATTAGATTAGTATTTTAAAATTAATAATTCAGACAATCAAAGATATTATATATTGTAATCAAAGAATTATCCCTGAGTACGTACTGTTCTAGAATGTCTTTAATATCATTCAACAATGCGTTCATTGAAAAAAAAAAATATTTCATCAGATATAGTGATTAGTTTTAACAATGTAAATCATTGAAATAATCATAAGTATATTAGATAATATAATAGATCTAATAATTTTATGCGTTGCAAGCTATACGATAGAATGGTATTATATATTTTCGTGGCCTCATTCCAAATTTATATACGAAATCAGAATTTCTCTTTCTCATATTGTTGAAGCAACAGGCTCGGAATTGTCGTGTACCACAAATTCCAGCACATTCTTGTCCACATTGGTCACATGATAAAGTCTCTCCCAAAGTCCACAAAGCACAAGCTGAAATATTCATAAATATGTCATAAAAATCACGTAAAAAAGTGATTTTTCGTAAAAGTACGGTATATAAATTATTTTCAATTATGATTCAAAAGTATATGAATATAAGTTTATTCTTATAATAAAAAATAATTTTTATACAATATAATATAATTCAAAATTATGATAAACGCATAAAAAAAATATTAAAACAAAAAAAAATTATTTATAATTTATCAATTACAATAATTTCTAATCGAATTTAATTCAATTATAATTTAAAAAATATAAACACAGTTAATCAAATAGATCATAAATAATTTATAAAATATAATATAGTTAAAAATGATAATAAAATACATTATTAATCGAATTACGATTTATAATGTATTTATTATATTTAATATAATACGCGAATTAATATGTTCAAAGGAATTCCGCAAAAAGTTTTTTAAACATTTTTTTAACAAATATATATTTAACGTTTGTAAAAAGAAAAAAAGGGTGAGTGTTAGATTAAAACACTATGGCGACTGGACTACACTTGATGCATTTATGGATGTGATAGCACGAACTTTATATTGGTAATGAATGTCAATTAAGTAATTACAAGTTGCTTTGTTAATCTGTAAATTGACGCATAATTTTAAACGACTTCCTTTTTTACAACTTTCGATATTTTTGTATTCCTCGTAAGGTACTTAAAGAATCAAATATTTTAATAAAATCAATATAAAGTAATACCACGTCAATTAAATTTAGTATAATTTAATACAATTAATTATTTATGCATACAAATATGCATATAAACGTCGTTTTTAATTTATACAAAAATAATAATAATTATTTGTTTAATCAAAATGATTTACAAGCTATTTTTATCAAAAACAATTAATCCGAAAAATAATCAAACAATTTTATGTTCTGGTCTTCATTTTTACAAACATAATTACACATTGTATTAATGTTTTTTTGTTTTTTGTTTTTTGTTTTTAATAATTATCTCAATCAATTCGATCGATGAAAGAAACTCTTTTACAAATACATAACATAGAATACAATAACTAATAGGATTACAGTGTAGAGAACACTTAGCGTTTTCATTAATGAATTTAATCTAATCTATAATCTCTTTGATTCATTGAATTCTGTAACATGTTATATTTAACTCTATAAAGTTAATTATATATAATAATTTTCTTATTGAAATATTCTTTTTAAAAATCCGTAGAAAAAATCAAATTCAAATTACGATAAAAATAACAGTGATAAAAAGAAAAAGAAAATACATCTATTAAAAATATTTGAATTAATTTACCTGCAATAAGGATAATTATACAGATGCGGCTCATAATTGCGTTATACTTCAACACTTGGTTACTTTTTTATTAATTCAATTATTCTTTCTTTCCTTGTTTTTAGCTAATAATAAGAATAAACAAAATGTAATTAAATACAATTAAATAAATTAATATCTTAATTAAAATTACGTGATTTAAAAATTATACATAAAAAAACAATTCGACATTAATAACAATTTACAATAAACTTTAATAAAAAAAACTATCAAAATAGCTATAAATTTGAAGTAAAAAATTTTAAACGATATAATATATGAAATTTTATAAAATAACGGTAAAATAATTCAATTAAAATTAATAATTTTGAATGAATAATTGTTATAATAGACTTGACTATTATTAATAGATACAAATTTAATGTTAGAAATGAACGCTTACTTTTGTTGCAGGTAAGAGCTGACGAACGAATGATTCTAAGGAGTATCGGAAGGAAGATCCTGTTGCTCGATTTCTAAGTAAATTTTCCCTCTCCCTCTGCCGACTTATATATCTTATCATCCACCCTCGACTTATACGCAATCGCCGTACCCACTATAAATATAGGAATATTGAAGCTAATTAACATTCGATTGTCGATCCTTCTTAGTAGGGCCGTTAACTAAAGTATACCAACAGATTTCACATTTTAAATACAGATAAAAAAACTTTTTTTTAATAATACATTATTTCTGCAATGTAATTTCACCTTGACACGTTCCGATATTCTGACAATTCTAAATTTGAGATCTTTTCGTAGAACAAAACATTTCAATACATTGTTGTTATAGTAAAGTTAGAAAATGAAGAAGAATCCTGTGTTAAATAGCAGCAAGTGATGACAATTTTAATACAAACACCATCATTCATTTTTTTTATTCTTATAAAGTATGTATTGTCTTACAACCGGTTTCTTTTTAGGTATTTAATAATATGATTGTTATTTTTTTTTTTTTTTAATTTTATTTTGTTTCAATTTATTAAAATTAGTTCAGATTTTTACACATTTAACACATTTTTGCATTCGTTTTTTGTATTGTATATTTTTAGGAAAATAGGATTTTATTTGGGCTTATATAGGAAAATTAACTGTGTTAAAGTAATATTTAAGAAATAAATTTTGATTATAGATAAAAATTAAATTTTATGGATAAAAAAAATTGATTAAAACGCATCATTAATAACACAGTTAATATTAACAGTATATGTTAAATAAAATTATATATTTTTACTGTGTTATTTTTTTTTCTGATAATTATTTTGTCATAAATATTAACATTATTTTAATTTTACTAAGTAATATGTATGCATAATTTATTATCCTAATTTTATACGATCAGGATAATAAACCATTTTTTCTCTTCGTTTATAATTCGTTTCGGAAATAGAAATCTCACATTCTATTAATACTGGATTAATCATATTTTTTACAATGACATTCCGTATTACAGAAAAATTATATTTATATATATTATCATCAATAATTAATGATGATTGATCGGATTTATCATCGATTTTGATCCCTTCGATATAAAGTTCCAAAGTTGGTCTCGGTTGTGCTCCTAAGACTGTACATTTAATATTAGTATGACTATTATTGAAACGACTGACATGAATTTTGGCACTGCTTTCCGGGACTGTAAATAAACAATATTTATATATATATATATATTATTTATTATTAAAACAATATTAAATTAAATGTTTATTCATTAAATAAAATCACTGTTTTATGAAACTGTAAATAAATGGTTTTAATTATTTATTACTAAAAAAACCATAAAAATAAATCTTATCTTTATAAGATGAAAGAATAAGATGAAAAAGAAATAATTTTCGAATTACCGTAAACGATCATCCTAGTTGCTTTGGTATGTTCACTAAAAAATGTTTTGATTACGCACATGTATTCTCCGCTCATATCAAGGGTAATCATTTTTAAATCGATTATCGAGCGCGTTTCCGGTTCTATCAGATTTTTTGCTGGATATTTCGAATAGTTCGCGATTATTCCCGTATCTTGTGGTGGCACTAAAATGTTATAAATTATCTCAATAATGTCCAATAATCTTTCCATTTGTTTTCTTTTGTTATAAATACAATAGGAAGGGTTTATTTACACGGTGGGATCCATTGATAGATTTGATTCAACTCGTGATACCATTTAACAACCAGACCATTTTCATTCTCATCGATTTTGTAAATGCAAGAAAGTTTGACTGGTCCAGTACCGTTTCGTATAACAGACGGTACATCGATTATTTCAATCATAGATGCATCGATCGCTATAATAAACAATTTAAAATAATCATTTTTAAAAATTATTACAATTGTATTATTTCTTCTATTTGAAAAATTCTATTCTTCTGTTTGATATTTTAACACGTTTAATTCTATAAAAATTAAAATAAAATTTTGTGTACTTAAATAAAAAAGTCTATCATCTATACAATTTTTGAACAACATTAACACATAACTCGGTACTTGGTAACTCAGTTAAAATGTAAATATTAAAATAATAAAATAAATATTTATTGAAATTGAATTTTTCTTACCATAAAAGTGCCACAAAAAAATAACTCTGATCAGAAAGAAGCAAACCAAAAGCTTTATTGACGACATTACCTTTCAAGGTCTTTTTTCAGACTGATGAACAATTAAATACACTTCGATTAACTTTAAACATTGCTGAAACAAGATTCTGCGCAACTTTATGGATATTCCGTGTTTTATATACGTCGTGTTATTGCATCGATATGCTACATTTTTAATTTTTTTTATTTTGTGGTTTAATCTAACATTTGTAACCAATATTATGCATACAGTTACAAATTATTTTGATTGATAAATAATTCATTTATTTATATTTCTTCCCTGATGCGCATAAAAATATTCGTTTATAAATTTAAACGCATCTCGCGTACGGTATTTATGGTACGCGCTGTCACCGCTAGATTACTCTGTTTCACATTGAACAAAATATTAACTCCTAATTTTTTATTTTCATATTTTATATTCTTAATAACATGTAACATTTTTTATATGTAATAACAACTTATAGAAAACATCACTTATATAACATTAATATATACATTTAAAATACAATTATACTAGAAATATGGTAAAGAATAAGTAGAAATTTACCTATCATATCTATCGATTGATTTTAAACTGTGTAGTTTTTTATCTATATTATTTATCAACTCAATGACTATTTTTAACCGTCAAAGATATTAATATTTGAAATCGTGTAAACGTGACAGTTAATGAAAAGTTGAATTTCTGTTATTATATTAATTTAATAATATGTCTAACATAAACGATGACCCACGAGAAGTTCTTGCTACACTTAATTCATTGGGATTTATTGGTATTACTGCACCACAACTTAAAGCTTTTATGAAAGGTAATAAGATCGATTCATATAACGCCATATATTGTTTTTATTTAATACATTTCTATAACTTTTAAAGTGGTTAGCAATTGTTTTCATTATAAATGAAATATATGTCTGAAATATATGTTTTTAATTGTTTACCATTATTGTTAAAAGATTTGAAGATATACAAGAAGATAAAGGAATATGAAAAAGAACAGCATAAAGAAGAAATAAGAAAGAAAATATTAAAAAAACAGCAACAAATGATTCATGAAATTCTTAGCGAACAATCCAAAGAATTAAACGATGTAACTAACAATAATTCAACATCTTCCAATTTTGAAAACGAATCTTTGGTCAAAATAAAAATCAAATGTATTCCAAAAGATAAAGAAAATCAACCAGAAAAATATTTGAAAGAAGAAATTGTTACGCCAGTTAGAGGGCAATCAAATTCGGTTAAAAGTAAACATAGATATATTAGGTATAAAGAAAACCTTATTGAGGACTCTCGATCAAATAAAAATGACTATAATTCCATAAATTATAAATCTCAGTCGAGTGTTCAACAACAATCCAAAAATGATACTCAATCTTCCGTCACTTCTTGTTCCATACAGAATGTTTACAATACAAACTATGATAGTAATAAATATAATACAATTTCTCAAGAACAAGCAGTACATTCCAAGCCAATATTGCCAGATTGCAACAAACTGATTAGTGCACCAAATATTATAGAGAATAATTATAAATCAAGATCCAAAAGTATATCCTCCAATCATTCTGTCACCGTCCGATCGCAAAGTCTTCCACGTACTAAAAGTTCAAGTTGTTCAATGCCCAAATCATGTAAGATAATAAATCTTTAAAATTTAGAGATTTATAAATTATATATTATCTTGTATAAAAGTATATTCATAAATTTGTTGTAGTTATTAGACCATGGCGATTACATCCAGATGTTCAAAAAAGTACAAATAAGAAATGCGATCCAGTTGCTCTTTATCAAAAATATCAGGAAGAGTGGAAGCAGATAGCATTTCCTGGAGAAGCGAAACACACGACTGTAAGATGGGCTGTACGTGAAAGAATGCTTGGTGTTGATCCTCACCCTCCAGTAAATATCAAATATATCATAATAATTTAATCATTTCATTTTTACCCCTCAAATTAATATATTTTTAAAACTTTGTACAGCCTTTGCCAAGGAAATCTGCGAGCGTACCTATATTGAGGAAAAAATGACCTTGGATGTTATGATATAGATAGTGCATATATATGAAAAATATTTAAGTTTACCTGATATAATTGTTATTATATTATAGTTTTATATGGAGATATTTTTAACGGATTATGGGACATTTTTATTGTATTAGCCGCATGTTGAAATGCTTAAAAGCTGAGCATACACCATTGTTGTTTAAAAAATGAACTTTAAATATCCTATAATTATTATTTTATTTTACTTCCAAAGTTTTTGAATTGTGCATTTAAAATGAACAAAAGATTATCCTTAGACTATAAAAACATTAATCCAGATATATCAGGTAACAATTTTTATAAACCATCAATAAGCGAATCTAATTATAATGAGTAAAACATTCATTGTCTAGAACTATTAGGGTAAAAAAATATTCATATTTAAGAGATTTATTTTTTTAATTCAAGTCAATATGACAAAGATGCTACAATCTATGCAAGTAAAGTGTTGATTAAGTGATGTAACAAGCCATTTACTGTTGACTTATTTTGAATTTCCCTAACAATTTTCTGCTGTCTGGTCTATTCAAATGAAATAGTAATTTTTCTTCTATCAATCGTGCCGCTCTGTGTGTTAATATTAAAGTATTATGTTTTAGCATACTGTACACATTCAAACCTAAAAATATAAAATTTGATTAAATACAATACTTATCATATAATATATATATATCAGATAAGGTATTTCAAACAGACCATCTAAATAGCAATCAAATTATGCCAATGTACTTTGAAACACCTTTATATAAATTTGATATAATAAGATAAATATGTACCATAAACAGGCATTAAATTTACATGGGGTATAGCATCTGTTGCCATGGTCAAATTAACTGGCATAATATCTTCGCTATCTACAATAAGCACCGAAGGTCCCCAGTTTCTTTCTTCAATCAATTGCTCGATATAAGATGGTTCATTGGAAGGTATTTCTAAATCTTTTACCAAATGTAAATCATCTTGAGCAAGTTTAACAGATAATGTTGATGTAAGACCAGCAATGCGAGAATAAAATGGTAACATATAAAAATGGGTAGTATGCGATCTGGGACCATGAATTCGACCACCTTTTCTCCATAAAGGTGATCGTATGCTACCATGACGTGCTCTTCCTGTACCTTTTTGTCTCCAAGGTTTTTTACCTCCTCCTCTTACCTCTGCTTTAGTCTTCGAATGCGCATAACACTAGAAACAAAATAGAAATAAGATTAATTGAAAAACGATAGAAAAAATGTAACTAACTAATAGAATGTAAGTTCTGTCCAATTAAACTCTCTCTCTCTCTCTCTCTGTCTTTCTCTCTTTCTCTCTTTCTGTATGTGTGTGTGTTATGTTGTGTATTAATATTGCTTACCACAAAATTATATAACCTTTGCCATCTAACATTTTCATGAATGAGATCAATTCTTGGTTGAGCCGCAAATATTTCCGGATGCAAATTGATCAGACCTAATTTCTTTTCCTCAATCGTATCTAAATTTTCCATCCACACTTCTCGTGGCTTGTGAAAAAATCTTTCACTATCATCATATGATTTTATATCAATTATTGGTTTGAATATATCTGATACAACTGCGTCTGATTTAACTGTAGTACTGTACTTTAACATTTGCAAACATCGTTTTTGTAAATTTGTTAAAACGTTATGAAATATCGACATTATTTTAATTCCAATTATATATGAAACAAAAGTAAGGTTATACAATCATGATGTCTCTCAGTATACTCAATGCATCCTCAAGTTTTTTTTAGACAGATGTCTCTAGTGCCGCAATTAAGAAATTCTAATGTTGTGTGTACAATTAAATAATATTTAAGAATAATTATAACAAAAAATTTAAATTAACAGTAATTATATCGATGTATCATAAAACAGGCAATTTTTACCTCTACAATTTTTATATTTATGACTTTAAAGTTGTACAAATTTGTATATAGATAAAAGTAGGGTTATATTTAATGAAGTGCATTTAAATTCAAATAAATATTGGTATTAAATATTTAATAATGTTTGGAAAAGAAGCCTTCCAACTTATCGTCGAACTTGATTTAACTGATGATATTAAACCGTTCAATGTAAGTAAGAAAAATGATCAAATTTACAAATATTTTAAAATATAAAAATGTATAAAAGAGATTAAAATGTTTAAACTTTTTTTTTAAAAAGGAAACTGTGATTCGACAAGTATTAGAAGAAATGCAGTATCTTTATGAAGCAAATTTACTTGATAGGTGAATATATTTCATATTTAGATTTATGCATGTGTGTGTGTGTGTGTGTTTTGCTTTAATTTGTGATTAATTGTTCATATCCTTTATTTTAGTAACGCAATAAAAAATGATGGCAATACGGCGTTACTTCCATCGGTAAAATTTAGACACATAGTTTTAACTAGAAACAAAAGGTGCATCTTAGCATATTTGTATAACAGAATGAGAAGATTGCGTCAAATGCGTTGGGATTTGGGTAGTATTTTACCGGCAGAAATAAATTCGAATTTACTGAATGCTGAAATTCAATGGTTCCGTTCTTACAATAAATCGTTAGCTACTTACATGAGATCTATAGGAGACAATTGCGGACTTAATTTAACTGTTAATATGTTACCACCCAAGTCGCTTTATATTGAAGTAAGTAACATTGTGTTTTATCTATTGTTAGTTTCACAGTTTCTCTTTTTCAACATTCAATTGTATTAAATTTGATTGTTATTAGGTTAAATGTTTAACGGATTATGGGAAATTGGAGATCGAAAATGGACAAGTAGTTACTTTGAAGAAAAATACATATCACTTATTACCCAGAGTAATCTGCGAACCACTTATCAGACAGGGTATACTAGAACATTTGATATAATGAATTATCTAATTAAATACTATGAAAGAAGAAGAAGAAGAAGAAGAAGAAAAAGAAGAAATAGAAGAAATAGAAGAAGGAAAAAACACTAATAACAAAAATACGACCCGTAAGGTATACTGGAACATTTCACATAATAAATTAATTGCTTAATTTAATATTGTACAAAAAATAAGAAGACAAGAAAACAAATGATGAAGTTTTTCGATTAAAACGATAAATATTTGTATATAACTATACACATACATTGCAATAAAATTTGAATTTGTGTTTATTTATGTGAAAAGACGCATTTACAACAGTCAATAGATTAGAAAGAATTAACAAAAATTCGTGAACGTGGGAGCAAATTTTATTTTTAGGACCATTAAACAATCAAGCGGCTGTCAAGAATATCCAAGGGAAAGTTCAAACCTTAATTTAAGGAAATGCACTGGGAACATGTTTCCTTAATACTTTCTTTCAACATAGTTTATACATGGTTGTCTCTCTCTCCCCCTCTATCTCCCTCTCTCCCTCCCTCTCTCTCTCCCTCCCTCTCTCCCTCTCTCTCTCTCTCTCTCTTTCTCTCTCTCTCTCTCTCTCTGAAGGATTTTCTTAAACAGAGTTTAACACGTTCATCGCTATGTCATCATATACAGTGACAGGTAGGCTTCCTCGGGGGCTTCGTCACCGGATACCATGACGCTCTTCTTGTTGAAGTTATAGGATTTTTAGTTGGATTTTATATTTTATTATTTTCGGTAAATAAACGATATTTTTATATTTTATTATTTTCGATAAATAAAAGATATAGTTTTATATTTTATTATATTTTCGGTAAATAAAATATAATAATATAATATAATAATAATAATACTCGGATCTCATTGTTGATATTTCTACTTATCGTTTGTTTACGTTACGGCGCGCCGACAGTCGAATTTTAGGCCTGACGAGAAACTCAACCGAAACGGGCTGGGCGACGAACGTGTTAACAGCATGTCTATGCTGTCAATTAGAAGTTGACTTGCACGGAACTCGAGTAAATGTGTGCGCAGTCGGTTGTTGTCTTCGGTTCGCGTTATAAGTAATAGTAAAAGTATTGTATGTAGTATCTTTTAAAAAAGTGAACGCGCGATCGACTTTTATATTTCCCATGTCTTTTACAAAACGAATTTAAATATTTCTATTACATAATTATTTAAGTTTGTTATTTAATTGTGCAAAATAATTTACACGTAAGCGCATCCTCGTGTACGATTCATAATATTTTACAAATTAAGGAAATACGTCACACAATGTTTCAATGCGAGATAAAGAAAAAAGCAAACAATAACAAAAAACAAAAGATAATTCTTCATAAAAAGTGAAGAATATTTACTTTTATTTGCTAACTCTTCATCGATGTCAAAACAATTTAATGCATGTAAGTACTGTTTACATTGTTGATTTTTTAATTTGTTTATTTTATTTTTAATTTACATAAATTTAAAAATATTCGAAACAAGCGATCACAAATAATTGGGTTTCAAGAAAAATGTTTAACAAAAAAGTTCTTTGAATACCCTGATTAATTTATTATGAAGAAAATATTAAAATCCGTAGATTGTTAACAATTCCATGAACTCTAACGTAAACAAATTATTACGATTATTTCAAAACAGAGTTCGTATTATTATAATAATTGTTTGCAATAGAAACACGCTTGAGTAAAATGCAACAAAGCGTTATCGAGTAAATCCGTAAGTATTTACGTTCAAAATTAAATTTTCTTTTTCCCAAAGAAAAGCAACTTTTTCACCTTCATTCTTCATGATCATGTGAAAGTGTATGAAAAAAAACATCGTTTAAAATAAAGCAAACTCAAGCGCAAAAAATCGAGAAAATTTTTAGAGAGATCCGGGCAAAAATATCTACTACTTTCCGTTTTATCATTGAGTCATCGTACTTTCCCAACCTTATGTTTAACCGAATAACAACGCTCGACATTCGACAAATTTTACGATGATTTCTCGAAAATCTCCGAGATTCGTTTTTAATATATATGTTACCGGCAATGTACGAAATATAAGAATTATTACATACTTCATCTAGACATTGTACATATTACTTAGACATTCTATAGAATGACAAATACTATTTAGGCAAAGTATGAAAAAAGGTCCTGATAAGGCTATTATACAAATGACGTGCAAAAAATACATATGTTATTCGAAAAAAATATAAATATTAAATATATTATATAATATATATATAATAATAATAATAATAAATAAATATATGTAATATAAATATATAAATAATAACAAGTAAAAATTAAAATGTTATTCTGAAAAAATAATGAGAGACGTGATATTCGAAACGAATCGGAGATGTACTATATATTTGACACTTTACCGGTTTCTCATTTGGCATTCTATAAAATGCCTAGGAAATGTGAGAAATATGAATATATTTCATACATTTCCGGCTAATTTTAGGCATTATTTACAATTCCTAGACATAGGATTTCCGTTTGCCGGTAACATATAAAACGAGTTTGGTTTGAATTTAGATTAAAAAATGTACCGCTCAGATTATGTTATCTTAAGTTGGATTAAATATTAACGAGAAAAAATAAAAATATATAAAAATAAGAAATCGATAAAATGATAGATAGAAGGATATTTTTAAAGGGTCCTGTACAAAAAAAAAACAAAATAGAATAAGAAATAAAATCTTATCGTTATCTTCCTAACAAAATTGAAATTACATTGAATACAAAATTACGTTAAAATTACGTTGAAATAAAAAAACGAGAGATTTTGCAGGAAAAGTTAAGAAATACCGCCCTATCTCTCTTCTATTTTGGAAACGAATTCCAAGAATTTGTTGACGATAATACTGAATCGATAGAGATTTGAACATTTTCCTCGTATAATCATTTATGCCTTGTTTAATTATAATTATTCAGGATGCAAATATTCGAATGAAATATTGAAATATTTTCCCCGATGTCACGCGTTGTAAAAATGTGGTAAAAAGAGTTCGATTGTTTTGTTATCTTTTTTTATTCTTTTTATTTTTCTTCTCGAAGGTGTTAAAATTTCGGCGCAATTTTAAATGAAAAACGTTCGAATAATCGCAAACCTTCGGGACAACAAAGATACCCTCGATAATATATTTTCTGTTCTTATCACGACCAGGTTTTTCCCAGATAGCTCGAATAAAATCCATTAAAATCAAATAATAAAAAGAAAAATAATGCTACCTACCTCGAGGTCAAGATGATTACACAGGATTTTTTATACTACGTTTTGGATTAATTGAATATTTTAGGATTGTATATAAATTAGCGATATCTGACCATTTTATACTACGATTTATTTATTATTTAATATTATCTTCGATATCCTAAACAGGACCATTTTATTTATTGGTCCATTCAGATCGTAAAATTTGGTTTGTAATGAATACGATAACATTTATTGCATTCAATCCTGGCGCGATCAAGTAGATCGAGTCCGGTAATAATCAATTTCTTTCTTTTTCCTTGTTTTCTCGTTTTTCTTCATTTTTTATAAAAATGATTGAAAAAAAAAATGATAAAATCTTCGCGAAAGAAATATGCATCACTCTGGCTTTACGTAGTATGTAACAAAGGAATCCATCATTCGCGGTGACCGCGCTGAAATCTCAATGATTCATTAAAATCAGCATCGGCTCATAAAGTGTCTCCTTGGAAGGATAATCATTCTTGAAGTAATTTTCTCTTTCATACGTGTACTTTAAAATTACGTGAATCCCAAATCGATCGAATTGAAGATATTGAAAATTTGTCTTTATGTGAGATTAATATTAAGTTAATAATCGATAAGTAGGATGATATTATTTAGCTAACAAGAGCTCTTCGACACCGTTATCAAATCGATCAATCTTTGTGTAAAGTTTGATAACAAATAGAAACATCTTTCGTTGACATAAGTTGAGAACAAGAGGATTGGGCCAACGATAAAAAGGGAAAACCCAAGTTTAAAGAAGATTCTCTTTTATGATCGATTTTAACTAAATGTTTTCCAAGTAAAGCTTATTTGGTATTATTGCCTATTCATAACCGATTTGTTTCAAGTATACAATCGCTATTGGAAATACCACTTGGTATTTACGATGAGTTCACATTCATACCGCAACGATGGTTTGTAAAAGAAAGTAGACCAACTGTAAACTCTAAAGAGACAAGAAAGTGTTTCTTTTAATAGAGAAATCGGCTCTCTACGATTCGTTTGATTAAAAAACGATATAACAGATTATTTAGGATAATCCTTGATCAGTCGCATATCCTGGAACCCGTCTGTTCTTTTCTACAAAATTTATGCTTGTTCATTGAAATGTAGGAAAACATAGACGTAAATTTTGCAAAAAAGAGAAAAGATCGTAAATATGCGGTTATGTAAAATTATCAATGGTAATAATAAGAAATAATTAAATAATCCAAAGTATGACAAGTTATTTTTTATTCTTGATCTTCGGGTTTTATCTAAGGAAAACATTTTATGTTAAATTTATAGTAAATTTGAGTATATTAGAAGCCAACCACAGATAAGATCGATCAGTTAATTAGATTATGATCAGTTATGAATCGTGATTGGTGTGGTCCATCATTTTGTTTATCTTCGGTTTGGCTAATATAAAATGATGTATAAAGTTAAAACGACAATCGATCAAAAATTTGTCCATTTTATGTTCATTTGATTAAAATATTGTTATTATTCGTGACATGACATTATAATGACATTATATATTAATAATTGGTTATTTTTCAGTTATAATCCGGAAATTTTTAAGAATAAAAATAACGGATTTGTGTGTGTTAAATCAAAGTTAAGATTTTTTGATTATACTATACGGTCGATCCGTTAATATTTGTTGAATTACAAGATAATGGATTAAAGTATTCAAAAAAAGAAAAAAAGGAAAGCTAACATATCCATAATATAACAATTCCTTGCTACATAAATGGTGAAATCGTGCTAATGAGATTCAAATTCTTTTCTTATCGAAACATTTGGGTTTGTTGAGGGCGACCCTGTCCGGTTCAGATGGGTTTTCCCGCCCCTACCCTGTTTCACGGCAAGTCTAAGAAATTCCCGTCCGTGGCACTACGATCGCCAATTATTTCTCCTGTGCGCAACGTGTCTATGTTCAGTGGACACAAGCATTTGTACGTAGAATCAACTATACGCGCAGGTTGCTAGTATTTTAAATTTGTCATCTCTTTTCGTTATTTGAAAACAACCTCATTTGATTAATAACTTTTGACGGAAACATTTAGAGAGAAATAAAATAAATTAAGTCAAACTGTTTATCGTCAGTAAGAGTTAAACAATATTTTGGTTATTTGCTTCGAAAGTGTCCGAATACGTGACGTTTAATCTGAACAGACGAAGATACGACGACACACGGTGTCCGACGGGTAAGCACGAGAGCAGCCGAACTTGACCGGATTAGGCCGAGCGAAGAATGCGACGAAGGGGTGGGTACGAAAGGAAACGAGTGGTGCTGAGAGAAGTGCAGTAGTGGCAGCTGTTTGAGGATAAACGGTGAACGAAACGCATCGTCCGAGAAACGTATACTCACACGGTTCGGTGCGTCTAACGCGAACGACTACGACGAAATTAAACTTAATACGTATAATAACGCGACGTACTAAGCGGCAAGTTCGATAAATTTGTTCTTTATCATCGCAAGTACGAAATTAAATAATTAGAAATTTTCTTTTTTCTTTCTTTTATCGTGCGTGATACTACAACCCACGATTGTAACGAAATATAAATGCGTACATAACCTAAAGCACATACATATACATATATTTATATAATATAACATATGTATATATATATATAGTGTATACGTAAACGTCGCGTGTTTTGTTGTTATTGTTGTTGTTGGTTGTTAGTTGGTTGTTGTTGTTACTGTTACTGTTACTGTTATTGGTTGATAAAAACGAGAAAGAGGAAAAACCCAAGGTGAAAGTAGCAATAAAGAGAACAGGGAAAAGAAAGAGAAAGAAAAAGAAAATGTGGTACTCATCATCAAATAGGAAAGTTGAACAGACGGAACATCGGGATAATGTTGCAGATAATATCGCCGAGAAGAATTGGAAGAAAGAAACTGAGGATTCGGATCGCATTGATTCTGGATTTCTTTCCAGTGGAAATTTGCAACTCAGCTCCGAGCTCGAACGCTCGGAGTTGGACGTTGCAGGAGATTTCAGTGTCGTAAAAACGGAACCAATGAGAGCTGACAGTGGCGTAGATGTTGGCCTAAGCGAAAGCTTGAGCCAACTGTCCCTCAAACAAGTTACTTTGAATCCTTTAGCAAGTGGAAAAGTACAAGTCGAGCCTATCACTGAACTTGCACCTCTAAGCCCAGATCAACAAAATATTATTAATCAACAACAACATCATCAAGGAGACTATGCATCCCCAATCATTGACAATAATATTGAAATTCGTGAAAATCGACAAAAAAGATTTATCGAGGAGCCTTGGCAGCTTTATTACACGCAGGATAATGAAGGAGACACGTAAGTTTATTTGTTTTTATTTATATTTTCATTATTCAATTGATTATTTATTTAATATTTACTTTTTATCATTTTACCAATTTATTCGACATTATTTGATCTTAATTCTTTACATTGACGGAGCGAAGCCATTTAAAATTTGTCTTTAAACTGGAGATCTTATGTTCAGCTCCGGTGCTATTTTTATTTTAAATACAAATCATTTTCAGTTCATAACATAATGACAAAAACAAACCACAACGATTTCATTTATCTTTTTAAGAAATTGTAAATGAAATTTTTCTAGGAAAATATTGTGTAAAGTATTAATGGCAATATTTAGCAAAATATATACATGTAAATAGGTTAGAATAGGTTAGAAAGAATTTCTTACGTAGGAACTTTGAAAAATAAGATTTTTCATGTTGCATTTTGGAATGGTTTAGGAAACTTTTCTTATGTTTGGACTTTGAAGGATTATATTTTTAAAAATAAGTTTTTTATTTAATAATATTGATATGAGAGGTCATCGATCGACAAATGAGCCGTTCAGTGCACACATCGATTAACTGAACTTTTTGAAAAATCTTAAATTTAGGTGTCAAAGCACTTGGTATAGTTATAACTTTTTATATTTATAATAACTTTCCTGAATAATAAAGATTAACACCATTAAACGATAAAATTTTTTTGGCCATTGAATAATAAGTAATATACAATATACATTATTTAATCGCATTTCTAAACTTTTTGTTTTATGGAGTTAATCGATGTGTGCACTGAACGACTCAAATAAGGAAAATTAGATTGATAAATTATCAGTGCATAGGTCGTTAGGAACGTCATTTCGTTAATTTTTTTTTGGTATTCTTTATTGTTTTTTTTTTTTTTTTCTATATTTTATGAATCATTCCATTCACATTAGTACCATGTACTTTTTCTAGTTAAGATTTTTTTCATATGAATATGTTTCAATAAATCTCGCGATGACTAATAATTTTCTAACTAATGTCAATTTATTTGAACACGTACACGTATTTACTTTTGAATACTTTTTGATTGAAACATTCGCTTATAATGATTAATTATTTTCAACTAACATGAATATGTTTATTATCTTTTTTCAAACTTTGATCGTTTTGCTTATTTCTTGCTTATTTTTCGAAAGACTCCTAAAAGAGAAATTTGATCAGCAAATAAAAGAAGAAAAAAATTATGGTTAGGTACATGACACGTTTTTATTCCCGTTCTTTACTCTATTTCTCTCTCTTCTTAACTGATAAAAATTCTAGGGTGAACGTTTTATATAAGCAACTACTGTTTTCAAAGATAACATTATTTTTAGATACAAAAAAAAAAAAGAAAAATTCATTTTTATAAAGTTTATCGTTCAGTTTACGAAACAAAAAAATATTTTCCAATATTCCAAAAACGAATTATGTTAATAATTTTTGAAGAAAAATACATTGAAAGTTTTGATGAAATATTAGTATAAGCAAACCTTCGAACAGCTCGCAATTTCAACAATTTTGTAGATATTTAAATAATTACGTGATCATAAAGCTAAAATATGAACGAAACATAATAAATAAAAGGCAAAAATTTTGTAGTTTTTTTATTGTGAATTAAAAAAATATTCTTAAATTTTTTGTATCATTTTATTAAAGTCACAGAGCAGCATTTGTTACGTTAAACATGTGCGAATTGATTAAAGAGGTTTGATACTTCCGGTTGTAAATCCTTAAACATGTAGAAGCAACTTATGCAATTATTAGTATATAAAATTACATAGATCTTATGATAATATTTATTTTATTCGATGATGATGATTATTTGATATAATCATTTTAATAAAACATATTAGGTTTTTACATATAATGCCAATATATGTTGTTAATCAAGAAGGTCTACTGCTGCCCTTTTCACCGTACTTATATATACATTCACCCCACCAATGGGGTGATGGGGGGGTCCTAATCGCTTCCGTCAATCCTTTTCGAAATTTCTAGATTATTCTAAATACATTTACAATAACAACTGACAATATCGTTATACATATACTTATTATGAAAGTTATATATATATTGATTGATTGATTGATGACGCGCGCGACTACATTCTATATTATAAGCTTAAATTTACTTATCAAGTAATATTTCAACATATGTCTAACAATATTCCCAGAATTACTCACATGTCAAATGAAATTAAATCCTTCAAGAAATCTAAAAACTTATTTTTATCAAATTACAAATCAGAGAAATTTCCATTAATGAAATTAAATTCTTGGAAAATTCACAGTTTTCAAACTAAAAATATTCAATTTACATTTTAAGAGAATATTCTAGTCTAGAGAGCAATAATTTCGGCTTTTTTTAAAGTTTGATATAAAACAAATTATTAATATTTTTACTATCCCTTTTATTACTATCTATTTATTGATATTTGAAAAACTTACAAAATAATAGTCTTCATAAAAACTGAAAATTGAAGAACTTCTGGCGATTTAAATATGGCCATGGAAAACAAGTGATGTGTAGTAGATTGACATGATTTTGGGGTTTGTGAAACAAGCAAACTAAATTGTTATTTAGAAAAGTTATCATGGCAAGAACTATAATGAAAAAAATGCTGAAATTTTCTTTTTTCTTTTAAATAATAAAAATTAAAATTTCACAATGCGCGTCGGAGCGATATACCTGATCCTACAACTTTGTAAATGTTTTTTTCTATAGACATATTTTTAACATCTATACTTTTAAAAAAGAAAAATAAATCGAATATTTGAAAATTCTAGACTAGAATACCTTTTTAACTGTAATGATAGAAATATTTTGTTAGAAATATCTGGAGATGTGGGACCGCAACGTTAAAATTTGACTTGCTGGGATTATCTCGGACTTTAATGAAAATGAAAACAATAAATGACCAGTCAGTTGGTATTCCTAATAGTATGAACAAATAGTTATAAATTGAAAGAATTAAGCTCATTTAATATTTTATTTATTGATACAATATGGTTATTATTAACAAGGTTTTATGCACAACATGTTTCTTTAGATTTATCCTTTTCTTCTCTTTGTAATTTGTCCTCTATCTCTGCTTCTTCCTCTGGCCCCTTTTCAAATATTTATCAAATGTCAAATATTTAATAAGGTGTGTTGACACCTTATGCTACAAATCGTAGATACTAAATTTGAATCATTAAGGAAATAATGATACGAAATATTTGTTTTCGGTTTTTCCCATTTGTAATATCATCGTATTATATAAGTACAAAGCATGCACTTACGAAATTCTGTATGAAGAAATGAAGAAATAAATATTGTAATAATTTCATTAAATCAACTTGATGAATTACGAAAGAGAAAATGAGACGTTTAAAGTGTATTTATCGTGTCACCGATGATTCTTTTTTATGGCCACGTAATTCATATGTTGAATTATAATTATACCTTCAAATGAGCGATATTATCAAAAAATGTAGATTTATGATTGAAGTATTTGAAAAAAGAGGTCATTGAACGATCATCGTTAACAAATATATATTTTTTCATGAATTTTAAATTACCGAAAATGAATGATAAATGAATTTGATAATTCAATATTGTTAAGACTATTACTTATTGTTTTTGATAATGTTTACTTCAATTTTGATCTCATTAAACATTTAGAATTGTTAATATTTTATTACGATTATTTCTTTTTAATAATTCGACTTGTTTAAGTAAAAAACCAATTTCTCAATTTTTCTCTTTCATTTATATAATTGATATTTAAACGAATGATATATTATATTTTACACGTGTCTTTCAATTTTTTGATTTTATGATAATTAACCCTTTTACTGAGGAGCACAATGCGTGAGTCGTTTTTTGTTGAGAAAAAATTCTGAATAAGAAACATATGCATAAAAAAGACCATGAATGTGCATTATTAGGAAACAATGACTATAGAGCTGAGCGTCTTTGGCGCTGTTCATTCAGAGATAGCGACTATGGCTGACATGAGAGCTTAAAAGTGCTTATTTTATCAAATAAAAATGAAGAATTAAGATTAATTTATTTGTCCAATTCATTTTGATTATATATATATTGGAAATGAATTTTGTTCGTTTATTTGTTTATAGGCAACTACATATCGCCATTGTACAAGGCTTTTTGGAGGCCGCCTTTTGTCTCATAAGAATGGCACCTCATCCGTGTTTGTTAGATATTCTTAATGATGACGGTCAATCTCCATTACATTTGGCCGTTTTAACTCGCCAACCAAGAATCGTCAGACGTCTTATCCTGGCAGGTGCGGATCCTTCCTTGAGGAATTTACGGGGTAACACGGCACTTCATCTTACATGCGCAACCGGCGATTTGAGTTGCGCTAAAGCTCTGACCGATCCCTTGACTCCTGTGGAAAGAAATTATTTTCTACCTGGCAACAAGATTCCAGCACTGCCACAAAATTTAGAACAGAGAAATTATGACGGTAAGTGATGGCTTTAATATTTTTTAATTCTTAAAATAAGTTTATATTGCAATTATTGCAATTGATCAAATTTGATAACATTGTATCTTACACAACATACGTTACGTTTCCTTATTTTGTAATTCAAATTATTCCAAAAATAACGCACTAACGCTGCACTCTATACTTTTCTTCTAACGCTATTTTGTTTACTTATTTTATTTTATTTTATTTTATTTTATTTTATTTCATATATATTTTAATTTATTTTAATTTATTTTAATTTATTTTAACTACACTACAAATAGAAAATCTTACCAAGGAAAATACAAAATTGCATTGGAAGAATAGAACATTAAGAAAATTATAATCTTTATACGTTTTAAATTGTCTCGAGAATCATTTGTTGCCTTTGTCGATTATACGAGCACATTCGTGGATTTCCCATGATTTCATCGACGAACATATGTACCATCTGGCGTTTCTTTTCTCTCTCTTTCTCTATCTCTCTCTTTCGCTCTCTTTTGCGCGCGCGAACACATTTACAAGACCATACCAAAAAAATTTAATGAGGAAATTTTATTACTTTTTATACTGGTTTTTCTATGAAAAATTGTTACTAATTATAAATAAAACTATTGTTTGAAAACGAAGAAAAAAGACCAATTCTTTTAAACGCATATTTGGAATTTACAATAAAATTCCTGGACGATGATATATATTTCGGTAATTATAATAGTGAAGTTAGTTAAAAATTACAAAATAATAGATTCTATAATTTATTTAATATTAAAATATTATTTATATTGTGAAATAAATGATAAAATCAATTTTTTGGTCTACCATTCACTGTCATAATCAGTGAGTGCAATAGCACTCACCTGTAATTATGACGTACGCGCGTGAATAATTCAAATTGTCTTACTTGGCTCAATATATATATATATTGAGTGTATATATATATATATATAAGATCAGATTTGATTTGTTAGATAATATTTCGATCATTATTGTCACAAGTAGTGAATGATACCGATCACGAATCGTCTCGAAAGTTGTTTTTTCTTCATTATATGTGTCGTAATGACGAGTACAGCGTGTTTCAATCGCTCTGGGAAATCCCTAAAGACCGTGACGACGGCATATCGACGCAAATAAGTGTTACAACCAAATTACGGAAAAAATATTGACGAGTTAAATACAATAAAAGATTACACTTGCATTTATTACTTCTTGTTTGTCATGTTTTTGTCCATTTATTTATTTATTTATTTATTTGTTGTGAGTGGGCGTTAGGACGCATCCGGACCACATTTTCGATGACTCGATTGCAGGGTTATGAATAACAATTAACTCTAACATATTTTATCAGATCAATTATATTTCGTAATTTCATATTAGAATTGTATTATTAACCGCAAATATAAATGAAGGTCGGCTTTGAAAAAACATAAATAATAATAATTATAATAATAAAAAAAAAAATATTCTCTAAGAAATACAAGGTTCTTAAAGTTATCACATTCCAAAGTTTAGTCATTAGATTTTCCCATTGTCGAGTATGTTCTTTCCCCTCTAATCAAATCACCTAACCAAGCACAACACAATACGCTTGCTTTCTCTTAACACTTAACGGACGGGCCCCGTAGATTTACGTTTTTCCTTTGTGACTTCCTAGGACAGGTCACGTAGATCTATGTTTTTCCATGAATTTTTAGTATGTTGCATTAGGGTTTTCTTTTATGCACATTGTTATTTTTTCATGATATCATCAGTTACAGGTATAAATACCGTTGTAAAATATTATAAAAAATTTAATTGATTTAATAAAACTACAACGCTTTAAATCCATATATTCATGTTTATTTAATTCTCCTGAAAAATGGCCGGAAACTAGGAAAGACAGAGCAGATTCGACTCGTCCATTAAGTGTTAACTCTTTTTTTATGGGTGCCCTTCTTTGTGATTTTTCTAGTTTGCCTCTCTTTTTTTAGTATTTTTCATTTTTTCAAGTTGACAGATAATGCAAAAAACATAATTTCCAAGCGTTAAACAGCCGTTAGAGGAGAATATATTTCAACGGGAAATATTGAGAGAATATTTTGTAAATTTCTTGGAATTCCCACATAACGTAATACCTCACGATCGTACCACCTTTACTTCTTTTACACGTGCATCATCTTTTCGCAATCGACAATTTAAAATAATGATCAAATTTCCATGACAAATTAACGTAATAATTTATTTTGTATTTATTTTCTCTTACACTTTATTGACAGCTAACCAATTAATCAGCTTTTCGGGTTTTAACTTTACAATATATACTTAACATAATTTATTCCATTTTCTAGATTTGGAATTATTACAAAACTTAATAAAAAATGGTCATCCACTTTTATCATTAGCGATGGATTAAGTGTTATATAATAATCATTTATTTTTAATTTAAATTAAACTTATTAATTATAATAGAGAGAACTGCAATAAGAATATTCTTTTCAGTTTTTATCTTGCTTACTTTAGTTTTCCATGTAAATTTGATCTAACTATCCTTGTAATAAGTAATTCGATAAAAGTTCTTTTATACATTTAGAATATTTGTAAGAACAGAAAAAAAAGAATGTTTTTATAGTATTTTGACATATCGTGGAGGGAACGCGTGCGTTACATCATGAAAAGAGAGAAAGAGAGAAAGGAAGAGAGAGAGAGAGAGAGAGAGAGAGAGAGAGAGAGAGAGGCGCTGAGACAAAAGGAAAAGAAGCAGATGTTTTCTGATATTTAAAAATACTTGTTAGACTATTTACGTGCCATGCTATTCTTGCATCAGTTGGCGGCTTTGGAAAACCCCACAATGGTGTAGACGATGGTGGATCATCAAAGTGTATCATTCTGATTTTAAGAATAGAAACACCGAATCACTGGTCTTATTATTTCACTCAATATTTTTTGAAATGTCCCATGAGGAGAAAGAGAAGAAAAGTGTTCAGATGTTTGATCTAATTAACAGTTTAATGATGTAAAATCTGTAACATCAATTATTCTAGTTTATTCTAATTTTCAAGCGAACAATTTGTTATCATTCTTTTCTTCTTTTATTTGTTATTTTGTTTATTTTATTTATGAAGATGAATTTTTGTACGTACGTAGGTGTATCATCTCACAAATATACACACGTAACTCAACGTAATTTCCATGAGATATCTTTATCCTCAATTATTGTTGTTTTATCATACGCACATATGTATATAGTCTCATGTGTTTTTCGATTTAATTCCGCCAATGCGCGGTCGTCGCCGCCGGCACGCTAACTTGGGAAGATCTAATTTTAGTGGTCACTTTGATCGGTACAAGCCTAGTTTGGACCCCGGGACTTCGGCCAAATCTCCGTCGACAATGATTCACCGGCATCTTCCTAGTTCTATCTATATCTTCTAAAGGCATGTGATGCCGATTGCGATCGTTCCAAATTAAATGTACACCCTTCTTCCCTTCTACCCTTTTTCACAATTCATTCTTCAATTTCCCATCCACTCTTTTACGTATAGTCAAATGAAATCTAAAATGGTATATTCAAAAATGAAATACAAATGATATTCGATGTTTCATTATTTCTCTAATTATTGCTCGTTCAACCAACGAGTGACGTGGCTTTTATCTTTTTGCGTATCTCGTTAATACCACTTGGAAAAAACATATGAAAGGTCTTACATTAAAGTTTGTACCAAGGATAGAAAAATAGCTACTTGCGGTTTTGTTTATTTTTTTTTTATTTTTTTTTAATAATATTTCTAACATATTGTATCATTTTTACTATTATCAAATGTTGACGCAATACTGAATGGAAATAGTAGTGTAACTGTTTACGAAGATTGTAAAGACCCAGCAACAAAAGTTCTTTTGTTAGAGCCTTGTTTATTTTAGTTTATATTTTGATTCGTAGAATAATATTAAATTAGTTTATAAGCGATATAAGTAAAATTAGATTAAAGAATAATATATAATAAGAAAAATAGCGATTTTCTAACAACGCCTTTATTTATTTTTCAGGAGAGATGTGTCTACACATAGCCGCTTCCGGTGGTCAGGTCGAGCTTGTACGTTTGTTGCTAAGACTCGGAGCTGATCTTGAAGCACGTGAAGCACTCTCAGGCAAAACAGCCCTTCATCTTGCTGTTGAAGGACGTTGTCGATCAGTAATAGCCTTCCTACTGCACGAATGCAGGCCTTGTTTGAATGCCCCGACATATGCAGGCATTACAGCTTATCAAATTGCACTTTGCTTGGACGGACAACTTGCGAGGGAACTGGTCAGACTTGGGGCAACACCACAACCTCTTCCTGAATCCGATTCTGAGGAAAGCGATGACGAAGATGACAAGCCCGACGATTATCTACCGTTGATTACAAGGCACCGACAACAAAATATTGTAGGAGTAGGAGTATAAAAAACAATAAATAAGAAACAACGTCAAAACATGAAAAAAGTGGAGAAGCGAATAGAAAATGTAAAATTAGAATGGGAAAATTACGTTCAATGAAAACTTTTAGATCTGTATGTTTTAACACGTTCCGTTGCCGAATTAGATTTTCAATGACTTTTAACGTTCGAGCCTCATGAGTTAAGATGAACCCATAAATAAGTAGTGAAAATTTTAAATAACCTAAACGAAAAGTTCACACGGTGGGAATGTATTTAATACGTGTGACACATGTAATGTTATAATTCCTATCGAAACGTATACGTAACTATATGTTTTTATTATATCGAGGTTGTTATATAAACAAAAAATAATTAAACATTTGACGATGAATCGATAGTTCATTAAATGTGATGAAATTTATATTTTTTTTTTTTTTTTTTTTATAGTACAAATAAATTTTAATGAACGATCTGCTGCGTTTTTATACGTGAACAAATTCGAGATCTTTTGTTTCTTTTTCTTTTATGGAGGAATACATACTATTTGATTTTACGTAATAGTAATCAATATTTTCCTCGCATTTTGTTATCATCAATGGAACAATTAAGATAACTTCATCGAATGTTTAAAAAAGAGGATCAACGACGTCAAATACGTTATATGTATAATGATAAATACGAAAAGGTAGATTCAAGAAGAGAAATGAACGATATATTATAACGAAAATAAAACGAATAAAATATTCGACAACGAATGAAGCAATCAAGCAAGCAAACGAACGAAAGAAAAAATCTCACGACGTCTGAAAAACAAATCTACGAGAAAAAATAGACTACTTTATATACGATAACAAATTATTTTGCCCAAATAGCTATTGAATTTTTGTATTCACATATTAAATGGGACAGAAGACCTCATCGTTTAATGAGAAATAAACTTAAATTGTTATTTAAATTTAAACGCGGTTATTAGAAAGAAAGAAGGGGTTTCATTTGTCTTAAAAAAATACGTGTTGTTTATTTTCAAGATTAATATATTTTATTGAAAAAATTGATAATATCTATATATAAAGTAATTAATTTATATATATTTATAGTTTTATATTGTAACACGTATTTTACGAGTTTAAGGAGAGTTTTGTTAAAAAGTAATTTCGTTTTTGGTTTGAATAATTCCGTGTAGAATTTTTTCATCATTTATTTGTTTTAAAAGTTATATTCAGTACCAAATGTAAAGGATAACACGGAATAAATAGTAAATTATCGTTACTTAAGATTGTTCTATTTTTTAAGTGGAACTTCTTTTGGAAGGGTTCCGAAACTTTTCAAGCGATACGGAAAGTGAAAGCTTTGAGGGAAGCATGTTATTTGAGTGATATGGGAGAAACAGAAATATCGATCTGGCAAAACTTACAGGAAACGGCAGGGGAAATTTAACAAGTTTCATTTCAGTCACATGTGGGTTCCACTTTCATTTCTTTTTTTTTTATTTGATTTTTTTCATATATTGAAAAATGTACGCTCATCAAACGATTAGTCCTTTTGTGCCATAGAATAATTACAACAATTATGGCAAAAACCATTAATAACGTTATAATATGGGTTAATATGTGCGATAACATATATATATATATATACACACACACACCACAAAATATATTTACGCTTATTAATCCTCGAATTATTGAGAATATTCTTTGTAAATCTTACGTAATGTACATAAATATATAATATATATAAACATACTATCGTGAAAGTAAAAAAAAATCGTAAGATAATCTCGATTGTTTCTCGAAATTTTTATTTTCGTTTTTTTTTTTTGCGTGAATTTTTTTGTGCACCCGAACATATAGGATTGGACTCAATGTACATTCAATTAAAATAAGATTAATCAATTATATCTATCATCATTAGGTAGATTAGTGTACATAAATATGTTTAATGTGTTTTAGTAATGCCCGTAAAAGATTAATAACATTTAGGTGTGATATTTATCAAATGTCTTTGATTCCTAATGTGGATCTAGCAATGCCTTAGGAGATGATTTATATCTTCATATTTACATTACTACACCATTTAATACGCCATCAGTCTTCTCTATTTGTAAATATATAACTCTACTTTCACTTCCTTTTTAGAAACGTTTAATAGATTAATTAAATATTTAATTAAATAATATTAATAATAATTGTATGAAAGAACGATGCGAGAGAGAGAGAGAGAGAGAGAGAAAGAAAGAAAGAAATTGATGAACGAAAATTATATGATAACATAAAACAGACTTATTGTTAAACGTCCATAATTATTTTTTAGTAATAAAAGGCCCTACGATGTAAAGGGGGTGTCTTATATATTCAGGTTTTTTTATTTTTGTCATTTACTGTTTGTTACTTTTTTCAAACAATGAAAGTTGGTATCAATTTTACACGATAATTTATAAAAAACAAAATGTAAGGTAGACTGTTCGTCTTTTAAATCTATTTTGAGTGAAAGCTCAATGCGTAATGGTCTAGATATTCCAAGAATTTATTTAACTTATTCCTTTTTGGGGGAGTTTGGTCTACAGACTCTGCCGCTTGAACCTTTAGAATTATATTTTTGGATTAGAGAAGGAGGAGGAAGTTTGCACGAATCATCTACTGTTTCTCTTGAATGTAGAAAGTACGAACTTTAATAATAATCTTTCCTTTCGTTCACAGAAAATGATGACGATGATGATGATGATGATGATGATGATGATGATGATTCGTCGATAGCACGCAAAAGAGAAGTACATATATATACTTATGCTTAAGTACTTGAATAGCTATTTCTACGTTATGCCTCGGCCATATTCAAATATCTTAATATATTCACACATCGAGTAGATTTGAAGTTATTTTTTATTTATCACGATTCATGTTATTTTCGCAAATTTAAGGCCGACGATACATGTAAACGCCTAAATTTTGACCGTTTTTCAGAGGCTTATTTTTAAATCATTTTTAATCCATTTTTAATCCATTTTAATGGATGAAATAAATGAATCGTTTTGAAACGATGAAGCATGTTTATTCATTACATATTAAAATATAAGAATCTGATATTTTTAAATTTTTTTTTTCAAAATGGCCGCCGTAGTAACCAATCTCCTGAGGCCCTCGCGGCAAAAGGCATTAATCGGCGTGATTTTTAGCTTCAGTTACAGCAATTTGAAATCAAAAAGAAGGGTCGGAGCGTTTTCATAAAACATGTATCTTCTAGTTGAACCAAGAAAAAAACAATAAAGTCAAAAAATTGTACATTGGCACGACTCTGGCAAAAAAGTCTGATTCTTGACCTTTTTTTTCAACGGTTTTTGGGTTAAAAATTGCAATTTTTGAAAATGTTTGTGGCATTCTTGAGGTTCAACTAGAAGCTAATACTATAAAGAAAATGTGTGCTAAATTTCATAAGAATCGGTTGAAACCTTTTTGAGTTATCTTTCACCATAGTTTGAAAAAAGTCGTTTCGAGAAAAACGCGTTCAAAGTGTAGCGTTCGCGTCTAGCGCCGAGTTGAGGCGGAGCACTTAAATAAATTTTTAATCGATAAATAATGCAAATTTCATTCTAAAAATTTACAGGCATATTTTTAAGATGGTAAATTAACTATTTATGAAAAAAAAAATTCGATTTTTTTTTTATTTTACATGTATCGCCGGCCTTAAAACCGTTCTAAATACATATACGACCGAGCACGTGCAGTTCTGATATAATATTATCAGATCGGTAATGTCGCTTCCTATTTTATCGCGAAAAAATAAGCGTCAATGTTTATTTTATTTTTTATTACGATTACAATTTATGAATATAAATATGATAACGCGCAATAAATAGTTTATACAATGTTCTAATTGTCTTCAATTTTCGAACATTTTTCATTGTTTTCTTAGATGGGAAACATTTTTTTTTTCTTTGCTTTAATTTATTTTGTTTTTTATACGAGCCGACATTCCTTCAAAGTTATTTTCGAGATTTTAAAACTTGTATATCAAGATCTCATTTAAATGTCAATAAATTGTATATGTATATATATAGTAACCTTCGCGATCAGGGTCAATAGACTTTAAAGAACAAATAAAAGTACGCAACAGGTCGAGAGTTGTCTGGAAAACCCCAGTTGCTTCAGTTTATTGTCGGAAATACCAACTAACAAAGAAAACGATAGCATGAACAAATCGCATAGCTTTGTTAAGTAATTTATGATTGTTTTAATATCTTATCCACAAATAGATAGCCGATAAAAATTGATGTTTTTACATAATACTTGAAGTGAATATTTTCGAGTATGTACTTGTACTTACAAAGATATAGATCTTAAAAGGTCGTTCAAAAATACTAAAATTATTTGTAATATGCAACAAGTTCTTTTTTGTTCTTGTTGTTTGTAATAAATATTATCATCGAAACGTCATCAATAAAAAGTAGCTTTCATAAAACATCATGATAAATAAAATGCAAGAAAAATCTAATAAAATGAGGAAAACTGAATATTGTGCTAAAAAAAAATTGGATTTTAAAATTATTTTGGACGCGCATTAAAATTGATAAATATTTATTTTATATTTTATATTGTAGTAAGACAAAACAAGAAAACACGATCTTTTTATACTAATATATCGACAAGTATTACGACGCATATTTAAAGTAGAAGAAAAAAAAAAGAAGAAGACACAAAATCGGTATGATATAGATTAGAAAATTATCATTACGTAAAGAATATGTACATGTGTGTATGCATTATAAATTGAAAATAGAGCACGGTAAACATATACATGCTTATGAAGTAATCTATATGAAGGACAAATATAAAGTCGGAATAAACATTTATCAGTCTCACAATTAGAATAAATAAATATATTTATATCGATTGTTCAACAATTGCATCAAATTATCGAACTAAATTTATTGGATCAATGCAAGCGATAAAAAAGATATCAATGCTAAAGGAATTTCATAATAAGGAAAGGTAATAGTTTATTAATATGATCAAATAAATGCTTTGTACAATAATTTTCTTCAAATCAAACATGGCGAGAATGACAATACACTGTTGTAAGGATAAGCCAGTGCTTCTCAACCGACTACGTGTCGCTGACCAATCAATTTTTTCATTATTTTTATTACGAACCAAATGCAGTAGCGATAGAAAAATATGATTAAAAAAAAGACGAATATTTTTATAGTAAAATATAATTATTGTAACATTTAATAAACTGAATATATATATTTGCATATATAATATTATATAATATTTATTATAATTAATTAATTATTATATATATATTTTTTTTCTTTTTCAAAGAATGATTAAGAAAACATAGAATAATAAATGAAACTGTATAAAAGTAAATAAACTAACAAAATATTAAACTAATAATAAAGAATAATTGAATAACTTAACTAAAACCATAAACTAGTATTTACTAATTTATTAAGTCTTATGTTATATGTTGTTAATTGCAAATTAAGCGCAAAACTAAATTTATTGGATAAAATATTGACTTTGTTTATTTTATGAATATCATTACCGAAAATATCAATTGACATATATAAGTATACAGTCGAAAATGGTAAGAACAAACACTCTTAAGGGTTTTTTATGTAATTGTCTGATATTCAGTTTGAATTTGAAGTGAAAATGAAATGACATTTCTTGTGAACCACTCACATTTTTCTGCGGTCCACTGGTTGAGAAACATTGAAATAAGCGATGCTTGAGAATGTGCTAGAAAATACTGTCGAATGTAAAGGAAGGTATACTTCATGCTATACGTAGAAGTGTTTTCTCGGTGAACACTGAGTGGCGCTAGTTGTCCGTTTCTAGAGCTTTCTGAAACCTGCACCGGTACGCATTAAAACGAGTCATCGACTGATTTTTGTTCATATGAAAGAGAGTTTGAGTGAATGAGTTAGAATTTAAATATAATTCAAACGACTATTTTAATTCATATCGAACGATCATTATGGACAAGGTAAATATTTTTCATTAATTTATTAGTTTTTCTACAATATTCGCTTTGAGTTGCGTCAATATTTGTAAATTAGAACGTGCGTTGGTCATCTTTCATAAATCGACACGATGATGTTAGGTGTGTGTAATTATTAAAACTTATAATTTTTCATTTAGGACTTTTTTTTCATAGTTAATTCAAGTTGATTTAATATAAATACTAATTTTGCAATTGATAAATGAACATATTCAATTTGTATATTTGATTAACGTCATGACTTATTACTACGGTTTTTATTTAAATGATGCTTTATTTTGTTTAGGTGTCTATATTAAAAGACAAGGGTAATGCTGCTTTGCAAGAAGGTCGCTTTGATGAAGCTGTTCAACATTATACAGAAGCTATAGCTTTGGATAATAGTAATCATGTTTTATACAGTAATCGTTCAGCAGCATATGCAAAAGCTAAATTGTATGAAAAGGCTTTGGAAGATGCTGAAAAAACAGTTAATTTGAAACCTGATTGGGGGAAAGGATATTCTCGCAAGGGCAGTGCTCTTGCATATCTTGGAAAGCTAGATGAATCTATTGCAGCTTACGAAAAAGGTTTGATGTTAGATCCAGAGAATGCACAAATGAAAACCAGTTTGGCAGATGTTAAAGCCCAAAAAAATGCAACTAGATTCAATCCGTTTAATCATCCGGATCTTCTTAAAAAATTGGCTAACGACTCTAGAACAAAAGCTTATCTCAATGATCCAGAATATTTAAAATTACTGCAAGAGCTACGCAATAATCCTCAAAGTTTAGGTTTAAAACTTCAAGATCAACGAATATTGACAACCCTTGGAGTACTTTTAGGAGTAGATGAATCAATGGATGTAGATCCAGAATTACCACCAGAACCTCCCAAACCGAAACCTGAGCCTAAAGTAGAAAAAAAAGAAGAGGATAATTTACCGGCAGAAAAAAGGGAAGCTTTAAATGAAAAGAAATTAGGAAATGAGGCCTATAAGAAGAAAAACTTTGAGGAAGCTCTTAAACATTATAACAAAGCAGTCGAACTTGATCCCACAGAAATAGTTTATTTGCTTAATATAGCTGCTGTTTATTTTGAACAAAAAGAATATGACAAATGTATTTGCCAATGCGAAAAGGCCATTGATTTGGGAAGAGAAAATCGAGCAGATTTTAAACTAATAGCTAAAGCATTTACCAGAATTGGTCATGCATATAAGAAAATGTCTAACTGGAAGCAAGCCAAAATATATTATGAAAAGTCTATGTCTGAACACAGAACGCCAGAAATTAAAACATTACTATCAGACATAGATAAAATTATAAAAGAAGAAGAAAGGAAAGCTTATATTGATCCTGTCAAAGCTGAAGAAGAGAAAGAATTGGGTAACCAAAAGTACAAAGATGGTGATTATCCAGCAGCAATAAAACATTATTCAGAAGCTATAAAAAGAAACCCAGATGATCCCAAATATTATAGTAATAGAGCAGCTTGTTACACTAAATTAGCAGCTTTTGATCTTGGATTGAAAGATTGTGAAAAGTGTGTTGAAATAGATCCCAAGTTTATTAAAGGCTGGATTAGAAAAGGAAAAATATTACAAGGAATGCAACAACAAGGAAAAGCATTAACGGCATATCAAAAAGCATTGGAATTGGATCCATCAAATAGCGAGGCATTGGAAGGCTACCGTTCCTGTGCTGTGTCTGTTAGTTCTAACCCTGAAGAAGTTAGAAAAAGAGCGATGGCCGATCCTGAAGTTCAAGGTATCCTGCGAGACCCAGCCATGAGATTAATTTTAGAACAAATGCAGAGTGATCCCCGAGCCTTACAAGAGTAAGTATATCAAGTATATCAATAAAATCAATTTTGTCAGTAAGGAAAAAATCAATGACATCTGTGTTAATATTCTTTTATTTTTTCAGTCACTTAAAAAATCCGGACATTGCTGCCAAATTACAAAAGCTTTTGGAATCCGGTCTTATAGCCATTCATTAAACAAATACGAGGACATTTATATGTGCGCGTTGGTGCCTACACACTTAGCACCAAAATTATCAAATTCAGTTCCTTCGACATTAAGAACACTATGCTGTTTATTCTGTTTCCATCTATATATATTGCTGGTTCATAACCACACATTGCACCGAATGCTTGATCTGATAAAAGTTTCATTTTATATCTTTATTCAAAATAATTATTTCAAATATTAATTTTTATCGTTAAAAATGTTTCGATGCAGTGAAGAGAAGAAAAAAAAGAAGAACTGGGTAACATCGCTGTCCATTATTTCCATTAGAAAACTTGTTACATTAACTATCCATAGTATGTTTTATTATATATCTACTTATGTAAACAATGAAATACTTAATCCAGAAAAGAATTTCAATATCGCAGGTGTTGAAAATGTTTGCCACCATTTTATAATAATAAAGTTGCTCTTTTCATTGCTAGTCGTAAAAAGTATTTATTCAAGAGCAAATTTTAAATTAGTTTAAATAAAAACTAATAATACAAATAAGTTCAAAGTCAAATTTTATTGCACGAGATTAAGAAATATTCATTCTTGAATAATAAGCAGAGAGTGTTGTTCATATATATTTACTGGGAACGATGATATTCGTCATTAACATAATTGAATTCTCTAAAAGTCTTTGTCATTAAATAAACATTTATTTCCTCATCAAATATATTAATGAATAATTTTTATTTTTTCATTATATTTATATGATTAATTTTATTGTACGTTTAAGATAAAGTGTTGATTTTTGATTTAGTATATAATCGATTCCATTATTAATTACAATTATAACTCGCTCAATTGAAACTACCATTATCGCTTAAATAAATATCTATTATAAACGAGAAGAGTTTATGACTGTTCGTGGATCTGTCAAAGCTCATAAAATTTGAAGATGCGAAATGAAAGATACCAAAAATTTCCTTTTCTAACTGGTATTTGTATCTGATAGGTTCGTTAGTATTGACACAGTAACGCCATCAAGCAACACATTTTGGAAACAAATTTCAATTCTTTTTAAATAGTTTGGTATAAATTTATAAATTTCAAATTTCTATTTAAAAAAAAATCAAATTAGTTGATTAATTTAATTTGAATATTAATTATAAGTATTGTACAATAAAGTCTGACTAGTTAAATTAAATACTTATAGTCAAGAATACCTTATTACGAGTTCGTATGTTAATGATTTATGATTCTGAAGGGGCCGGTAAATTTAAAGATGGCGGTTCACTCGTTTTTCGGAAGTGTTGAAGTAATAACAACAACACGTTGTTTTGTTGTGAATGTAACATATATGCGAAAGAAACATTTTAAGGATTTATTATTGATAATAAATTAAATTTATAATTTAAATATTTAATTCGATAAGTTTTCAATTAGTATAAAGGGTATTTATGATGGCTTCAAGTAAAAGTACAAGAGAAGTACTTCTATCGATAATTGATGATATTGAATTAATAGCAAAGTAAGATACATTATTAATTTTGATAAATAAATAAATATACAATAATAACATATGTAGCTTAGTCTCATATAACACTGTTAGTAAATTTCCCAAGAAAACTGTGTTATACGATATAAACAGTTAATACAAAAAAAAGGGGTTAAGTTGTAAATATTAGACGTATATATATATATATATATATATATATATATATATATATATATATCCAATGTTTCCTCTGTATTCATTAAATCTAAATGTTTTCTAAATCTTTGTTTTTCTTTTTACATTTAGGGAAATGATAGAAAATATAATAGCTCCAAAACCAATGAAATTATCCAGCGTGGAACATATGCAGTTAACAGAATTATTAGTTGCCAAAGATAAAGAATTGAAAGGTACTTTAAAGCAAGCTGCCGAGCAAGCAAAAATCAATTTAAAAATGGAAGCCTTAAAAGCAGAAGTCGAAAGACAGGATCAGGACATTCAACAGTTGCAACGTCAGTTAAAGGAAGCTGAACAAATATTAGCTACCGCTATATATCAGGCTAAACAAAAATTACAATCTATTGCACGTGCTAATAAACGTCCTGTACCTTCAGAAGAACTTATTAAATTTGCTCATAGAATAAGTGCATCCAATGCTATTTGTGCTCCATTAACATGGCAACAAGGAGATCCTCGAAGACCTTATCCTACCGGTATTTTCATACTTTATCTTTATCTTTAGAATAAGTAAATAAGAAATGCATATTTTTCAGATATCGAAATGAGATTAGGATGTTTAGGTAGGCTAAGCGACCTTCCTTTAAACGTGCCAGTATTAGGCTCTCATCCAGGAATACCATCAGATTTGCACAGAACAGGTCATCCTGCTGGTGGTATATACTTTGTACAGTCTTTTAGAAAAAAAACCCACAAATATTTTAGATAAATAAGTTTAATATATTTTCAATTGTCAGAACCTCCGGTTTCGCAAGCAAATCAGTTTGCCTGGCATCCATCAGGAGAAATCCACATGTCTGTGGGTGGACAAGGGAGTGTAGCTATGAATACTCACAAACAAGAAACGGAAGATGTCGAAGTTATGTCGACAGATTCGTCAAGTAGCTCATCTAGCGATTCCCAATAGACTGATGTAAACATTACATTATAATCAATATAGTGTACGTGATATGAAATTTATTTATGATTATTTTTATTTACGATATTATTTATGTAATTGTAAATAAACAATTTTATAATGAAAAATTAATAACACTTAAGAACATTGTACCATTTTTTGAATAACTATGTCGTCACGAAGATCCCAGAAGTATATTTGGCAAGAATTTATGTAACTTTTGAGGTGTGTAATACATTTCGCTATTTGCCTGAAATATAGAAGACGAGTATAGTAAACGTTAACGAGAATATATAAAATGTAAGAGAGAATAAAATCATGCAATATTCTTTAACATGTTCGTTACTGCGCAGCGAAGAAGAGATTCCAACCACAGCCTAGAACTTATTTTTTATATTGATTACAGTCACAAATATGTGATGCTGAGATTTCAACGGAAATTGTGGAGACTGGTATCGAATATGTTCATTAATAATAATTGCAGTTTTAAACATCGAATACTCACCAACAATACTTCATTATTAAACGATGTTTTTTGAAACAAAACATTTTCATTAATAAATTGTAAATTAAATATTTCACAGTCTTTTTTAAGTTTTTCTATATCTTTGTATAATAGGAGTTCTTGTAATTTCAATCCAGGAAATGTAAGATTTTTACTATTATATCCTGAACTCATAATTTGTAACACATTTCTATAATAATGTACAAAAAATAGATTTAATGAGTGTTTGTAAAATAAGAATAAAAAGATAAAATACCTTCTCAAACTCTTTAAATTGCACATCACGGCACAGACAAATATTGGACGGAGTTTTTCTATTAAACGAAATACTCGTACATAATTTTTTAAGTACCAAGCTATAGAAATCTTCGTAGCTAATTTAATTTCCTCCGAATTTCTACAAAATATATTTTTCATTATTTATCTACTTATATTAGTTATTATTATCGAATATTATTTCAATGATAAAATTAGGTATAGGAAACATTAATATTACAAAAAATAAGATGAATGTGTTTTATCTTACTTATTGTGACGTGCCTTAATTTTTTAGGAAGAATTAATGCTCTGTTCAATCCAGATAAATTTCCAATGTTTAGAAGAATATACAATGTTTCCATTTCGACTCTATTATCGATCAATGTAATTGCTTCTATTTTTTCATGAATTTCTAACCTTCCTTCCCTGTTTAACGTATCATACAGAACCAACAATTGAGTCATACATTCCAGTAAATGGTGATCATTTATTTTAGAATTAAATTCATTTATATTTCGTTCACAGAGCCTGCAAATTGTCATAAGATTTAGATAAACTAAATCAGATTGTTCTTTTTTTTTCGTTTTGATTATCGTTTTACCTTTGACTAGCATAAGTATGAAACCGTACTATGGGTTCCAAAATTTGAATACTCATAGTCGTACCAATTCTTTGAATTACTAAATCCTGCCGTATAGATCGTAATCGGTCAAATGTGAAATCATATACATGTATCCAGTCTACATCTGTGCGTGTTACTATCCTAAATTGTATAAAAAATATATCAATATTTATTACACACTATATACCTATAACTGTCATTAAGATAAATATAGTAGCACAATACTTAGTAAATAAATATTTAATTGTAGATAACAATACAGGTCCTGGTCGTAAGGAACTTGGATCCGTCATTACTTGGCCTGCAGCTGAACGGGAATAACTTTTGATTATTTTGTTTGGATCTGCTTTTGGTTTCTTTAAATGTTTTGTTTTTTCATCTATTTCAAATTGATGCAGCAAGCCTTCCCTTTCTCTCCTAAATTAATTTGAAATACAAGCGAGTTTCAAATTGTATTAAATAATTCATCGAAATATTAAAAAATAGTTAATAAGAAAGTCTAGTAATAATTAATGTCATTTTTGTATAAGTTTTGTTGTATTATGGAACTTAGCAAACACAGACAATTCTTGGTCTACACTTAAATCTAAGTCAAAGGTTACTATTAATAAGATTTATAGAATTTATCAGTTGTGTAATAGCAATACTTCATTCTTAGTTGCTGTTAATTCTAACAAATATTTACCAATTTTAAGATTGTTAGAGAACTCTAACTTATTCTCATTTTTAGCAGGATACAAAAACGACATTAATTAATACTAAACCTGATATATGTCAAAATAATTTACATCCATCTTTCTTTTTGAGGACACATTAAATGACATGTTCCATTTATAGTCTCAGCCATTTTTACATAAATTCCAATTACTGAGAAATTATTTATTTGGTTTATTAATACCAAAAATACGTTCTACGTAAATTGTTGATAATGAATTTTTGAAGGTTATGTTTCTCGAACAATAACAATCGTGGCGCTACCGTATCATTTTGACACAATTTCCGTCTTTGTAAATGTTGTTATGTTAATTAATTTTTTTCATTAATATACAAGACGTATTAATTACGTTAGTCGTTATAAATATTAATTAATTTTTTCATAAATTTATTGAATTATTTCAAATAATTTTTACGCTACTTTTTCCAATGGAAAAGTAAAAGGACAAAGTTTAAATATTAGATTCGAATGTTTTTGCCTCCGTGGTTTTTGCAATCGAAGAGAAAGTCAAATTTATTATCATACACGTATTTACAAATATATTTTATATTGAAAAATTTCTTATATCGTTAAATGTATTCCTTTGAAATGTCGCGAACTTTGCTCAAGTATTTTTTCTTTTTTTTTTTCTTTTTATAAGATAAAGAATAGCGGAATTATTTCAAGTAGTTATTTTGATCAACTCATTCAATTATCGTTTACTCATCCGCGCGATATAAACTTATTATATAAAAGATTATATTATAATATATATTATATAATTTATAATATAGTCAATGCACATTTTATTTTGTAAATTTTTAAATATATTGGGTCGGAGAACAATTTTCTTCGTATTTTAAAGTAATAGTGAAAAATGTATTTCTCGTTAAATACGAAAAAACTTGTTCCCTGACCCAATACTTGCACTCGAATTATACGAGATATTCTTTAAATTAATTTTTCTTGAGCCATAATTTAATCATCACTCCACGTGTAGTTTTATATATAATAAGAAAAGCATAGGATAAAAGAATCTTTTGTAATTATACAATTATAATGATACAAAAATATGTGGTGTTAAACAAAAAAAAAGAAAAAAAAAAGAAGAAAAGGAAAAAGAAGTATATTATATAATATATATAAGTATATAATTAAAATGATCTCTAGTGATTTCTATTTTTTTTTTATTTATCTCCTAACTTCTTTATAATTTGTCCCTAGATATTTGATAAATTGTTATATGATTGTTATGTAAGTAAAAAAATATAACGCGTGGATGGTATCTCTAATGACAAGCCTCACTGTTGTCATTTATTTCGTGTAGATTTAATTTTTTACTAGATTTCCAGGGTGGATTATTTTCAGTCTTCTAGGGATATATTGATTGTAGTTGTCATTGCTCAGCAGGTTTATGTGCGTATAAATACTTCATTTGTATCTGCAAGTTCACTATTGATGTCATAATAATGACTTCTATCATCAGCAATATTTCATCATAAATACTTGAAAGTATAGATCGCTATCAATGAAATTATCTTTCGCCGGCATATTATTTTTTATGAATATTCTAATCCATTTATAGTAACTTAATGATAAAAAACAAAATATCGATCCGATGATCAAATTATGGAATTATTGTTCCAGTTGTTGTTGTTTAAGTAATTTACGTTAACAGGGTTAAGAAATTATTTCTACTATGTCGTAAAATAAAATAAAAATTAATTAGATATATAAATGTATATATAAAATAAAGAACATTTATATGCAAAGAATACATGTTTAACACGTGTTACACGTCGAAAATAATAAAATATAAAAATATCGTTTATTTATGGTTTCGGTAGTGGAAACTATGCATAAAGGAACTTTGTCTATAGTATCTGAACATCATTTCTTTTTATGGTGTCGCATGTGGTTTACATAAGAGACAATGTCCGAGACCACTTAAAGGGTCCGACACTGTAAAAAGAGTTTTCATTGCACCAATATATCTTGATAATTATTAGGTTTGTTTATGGTTTTTTGGTCCTCCTAATCTTTTCTTTTACTCTCTGAATAGAGTTTTCCTTTCTAGAAAATAAAACATAAAGAAAAGAACTGAATACTAGTTTTTTTGTCTACAAAATATCTTTTATTTACCGAAAATAATTTTGTTTCGAAATGGAAAATGTGATAAGTTTTTCCAACTAAAAATACTATAACTTCAACAAGAAGAAGGTGCCATGGCGACGAACGTGTTAATGGCATATTAGTTTTTTAATATTACATTTTCGGACATCATTAGAAACATTGCAAATATTGAAAATAATGTAATTTCTGATAAATGAAGAAAATTATTCTAATATAAAAAGTATAAGAGAGAAAATTGTCTTCAGTATCTTTGATCTTTCTTGTTGATAAAGTTATGAAAGAGAAGGGATGAATTTATTGATTTATAGAATATCTAAATTAGATATTAAACTACATATTATTTAGATAGTCTTAACGAATATAAAAGAAATAACGGTTCCGTTGACCGTACGGTTTTATTTCTATTTTTGTTGTTTATTTTGTCCTTTTATATTTGGAGTTGAAATTCCGCGCGTTTTGTGCAACGATCACGTTTGAGACAAATCGTTGAAGTAAACGATACGGAATAAACGATTTATTTTTTTACGTGATCGGAATAAATATCATTAAAAATAATCAAACATCGTGGGCGAGCTAACTTGAAATGAGATAAAAATATCCAAAATGGTTAAGAGAATAGAGAGAAAAAAAATAAAAATAAAAACAACAAACACATATCAAAAATTGGAAAAAAAATATCAGGTAGATATATAAATTGTAAAATTACTTTGACTCGATTGATAAGTGCAACAATAGATAAGTGAACAGTTTCGATTGCTTATCTTATTGTTAGCTTTGTTTAATTTCATTCATGACGATCATTAGGCATAGTTGAACAAGAGAAAACCCTGCTAGATCATACTCGGTGATAATTTACGACACTTTCGCATCGATGAATCCCTCTCGTCATTCTTTACACGTTCATTATACGACCTTTGTGCGTGCCTTTTCGAAATTATATAATTGCGCCATCATAATATACCAACCTTCTTACCGACCTACCTGTCTGTTCAGGGAGAAACCAAGAAATCTAAATTCTCGTTTTAAAGATAGTTTAAAGATAGCTGGGAACAAGCAAATAAAAGTCATTCTTAATAACAGGTTTTATTAAGTTAGCGAGGATTTTGTAAACATCATTAGAAGGACCGACCATTTTTATTTCGTTGAACATGACAATAAGTCACGTACTAAGATAATGACTTTTTGTTTGTTTAATTATTTTTTTCAAATAAAATATATATTTTAATCATATTTACATGAGCAAAGGTTTTCATTTAACGAACATATTTACCTATTAGTTATTTTCAATTATTTTCAAAAATAATCCTCCCCCAGACAGAGTTTACAACCTTTAATTATCAATTACTTGTTTTCAGCTTATCTGTTATATACTTTTCGTCTTTTACAAACTAGCGTATAGAACTACTTATACGTATTTATGATACATCGTCCATGACATCTTTGTCATGGGAATTATGCGGAGGATATAACGTCCGCGAATTGTGTCGTCACTTGTTAGTTGAAGCAAATGATATTTCTTCTTTTACATCTACACTCATATTAACAATTTTTATTATTACTACTATGAAAGTTGAACAAATCAGTGATTGGTAGGTAATATGTTATTTGCAGGTTTCAAATATCCTACTGAGAGAGGAAAGATATGTAGAAAAAAAGAAAGGAAGAAGGAGATTTTTTTTAGTTTGGAATCTTTTCTCGGAGGGAATTCCCCCGAAACCTGTTGCTCGTCCATGCAACGCTCACGCTCGCCCATACGCGCACATGCAGACGGAAGACTAAAGAAATATATCTATAGTTTTGACTAGACTACATAATGCTTGCGGTGAGCGGGAACGAAAGAAAGTTCTATAAATAAGTGACTAATTATAAAAAAAAGGTAAGACTTGTATTTTATAGTCGAGTTCAGGTACAAACTTACTTCGTTTTCTCCCGATAGACCGATGATTTTATATGTTTTTTTTTTTGCTTAAAAATCATAATTCTAATTGTAAGATAAGAAATAAAATAATATAGTAACTTAGTCACCATGTTTGATAGAAGGAAAACTCGTATTATTATGTGAAAAATAATCAATTGATTAATATATATAATGAATATCTTTTAAAATTGTACAACGCGCTACTGTTACTAGATTTTTCCTTGAAAACTATTGATATAGTATATTTAGAAAGAAGAAAATTTACAAATAAATACATTAGTACACCTCTTAATTACTATTAAATTATTGAGTCTTACTTCAAATTTATTTATATCAATGAATGAAACAAATACGAAAATAATATATGTATAGAAAACATCCGTACTTTACAATTATATATGCTGGTATAATAGGGGAAATACTCGACTTTTTCATGTCTAACAATTAGTCATCCTTTGTTTTTGTAGTTATTTAAATGTTTTTTAATATTAGAATCCGTATACACATCAAAGTAAGAATAGAACAAATTAAAATACATATCTATTAACCAATTAAATATCTATTGCTATACTTGGAATATTAAACAATTTCGAGCAGATATTTTATAAGATGAAAATTTTCAACTCAGTCAAGGCAAGGAACTTTAAAACAAATATATTCTATTTTAAATAATCCTAAATATTAATAGAGTACACTACTATATTAGATATACCTTAAATAATTGTTAATTAATCGAAAGAAATGTATATCTTAATATAAAAGCACTGAGTATAAGTTCGATGCACCGTCCTTTTAGAAATCCACCATTAAACTGATTTATTGTTCTCTATGGAAGTTAATTTCTTTTATTGATTTTTGTTTATATGACTTTCCGAAGGTTACATATATATGCATAAATAAGTATTAAGTTGATATATCACCGGCTAGAGCAAGTGCAATATGTAGAGCAAGAAGTAGCTGGTGATGAAACGTCAGCTCTTGAATCAGTGTTAGAATGTGATCAAGAAAGAAGCACTTTGTTAAGCCGGGAAGCAGAATATATATGTATAAATAAATTATATTTGGAAAGTCATATAAACAACAATCGATAGAAGAATTTTAACTGACTTCCACAAAGGACAATGAACCAGTCTAACGTTGGATCTCGAAGAAGATGGAACGTCGAACTAATGCTCGACGCTTTTAGATTACAATATACATTTTCTTTAATAATTCTAAAGTTTAATAATAGATACTGTTTAATATTCCAAATATATTAATAAATATAAACTTTGTATTATTCTTACTTAAATAGATATTAAATTGGTTTTGACACACACACTAACTGACATTAGAATCTCCCATAATCTCATTTAACTATCGATCAAATATGGATTCTCTCTCTCTTTCTCTAGTAAGAACATTGGTACAAAACTTGTTCGAGGGTTTTTAATCTGGAAATTTGGATGTCCTTGGATACATTTAAACTTGTTAAAGTCGATGAAACGATGGAAAAAATTAAGCAAATCTGACACATTAGTAGACGATAAGTAACTATATTATAACTTAGTAATATCAGTAAGAAACTAAACGTTGACCATAAAACAGTTTGAAACCATTGAAGAAGGCTGGGTTCAAAATATGAACAAAAGTTTTTTTTACTTTTGACTCATTATATTCTTATATTTAAATTGTTTTTTTTTATGTGTGACGTTATAACTTCGTTAGTTATTTATGTAGAAAATCATTCTCTCAGAACGTATATTCAATCGTTTATTGTTTTTTTTTTTTTTTTTAATTATGCTTTAAAATTCGGTGCATTCATTCGCGCAGAACGAATTGTATAATAAAATGAATTCAATCGGAAACCATATTCTGGATTTTCTTCTACATTTATTTTATCGTTATGATGCATCTAGGAAACTTCGTATTAAAAAATACACAATGAAAAGCACAATATATGAAGAACAAGGTATGAATAATATTAATTTGAAGTATCTGAAAAAAATTGGTAAAACTGTTTACCTTCTTATTCTTGGTAAACACGGACGTTTCCGTTAAGATGTTCAAAATAGAAAAATCGAGTAAAATTCCAGTCTCTTTTAATAGTATGATCATCATTTAATGACCGGTGACTAAGAAAAATATATCAGAATTGGAAGTAAAAGTAAGTTGAGGTTTTAATTACTGTTTATCATCATGTGATAATTACATTAGTTGTTTACAAGAAACGATTCACTTCAAAGTCTGGACCATAATTGATAAAACGCGGTTTGTCACGTGAATGTGCAAAAGTTTCTTAGAAAAAGCATATCAGTGATTGAAAAGGGATTCTGTTTAAGTGCGTGCTATTTTTTTCTTATCATTTCAATGATTCCGCTGATTAACAAGAGGAAACAGTTTAAAAAAAAAGGAAAGAGAGATAAGAAGAATAATGACAACAACAAATAAGGATCGATCGATAAAGGATCTTATATTTTCTATAATCCAATGAAAAAATCTAACTATTATCATAAGTATCACATTTCATTACGAATTTGTACGCGAAATGCTATTATCTTTTTTTAGTTAATATTCATTTTGTTGATATCTATTTATTTATAGTCTATCTAAATGAGAATGCATCGCCATTATGTTAGATAACCGAACGAAATTCATTAACTTTGTAAGTAGTATTCTCGAATAATATTACTTGGAGAGAAATTAAAAAGCAAAAGATTTCCTTTAGATATACCAGATAAGATTGGTGGATGATAATCAATAAATATTTCTTGACGTCATTTAATCTCTTCTATCCGTTTTCATTCATTTACAATGCTAGGAATTAGTGTTGACTGATTATGAGTATTAAAACGTTTCTTTTTTTCTCTCTCTCTCTCATTTTTTTTTATAATTATGCGTCTGCCGTTAAGTCCCCGTTTTGATCATCGGATGATCAAATAATTTAATGATCGAAGCTACTGTTGCCACTTTACGTGGAAAATCCATTGACGCTATGCGATTAATAAAGAAAAGAACAGGGAAAATTTAAACAGTATGTGGTTTATCTGTATACCTGTTATTCAGGTATCATCGCATACCTGCTGTTTTACCATCACGTGAAGTAAGGGGCCTGTTGCTGGAGCACGTGTGGGGTACACACGACCTCCAAAGGAAGACTTGTATAGAGAACCGAACACACTCGCTTCGGTCCAGTATTCTGTAAAGCTTTGACTCGTTGAAGTGGCAGACACATTTTTATTCACCCTATCAGAGAGACGAAGAAGAGGAAGAGGAAGAGGAAGAAAAAGAAAAAAAAAAGAAGAAAGAAAAGTGAGTGTAGGAGACTTCGACAAGATCTACGGATAGATTGTTATAAATACTCGTGGTGTGCTCGTGTATTTAATTATTCTTACGATAAGTTCGCGATCAGTTGTGTCCTATATAAGGAGTATCTGCTGATTTCTGATAAGAACTTACAAAATACTTTAGGTAACATTTCTTTTTATTTGGAATTTATAATTCTATTTCGTTAAATTTTTTTTTTTTTAATCATTTGCCATTTATATCTAATTAATTTATTTAATCGGATTGTGTGTAAGTAGAAAATAAGAAAGATATAATATTTTATGATTTCAGGATTGTGATGTAAGATATATTGAAATATTATTGAAATAATTTCTTTCTTCTAATAGATTGTCTAATTGTAAAATATATTAGTGGTTGATTTAAACTGTGTGATATCAAAATGTATGAATATTATAATTTTTCTATGAACTTTTTTAATTGTGCCAATTGTTGAGTTGGAAAATAATTTTTTATTGAAATATTATTTTTTTATTTAATATAACGTGAATTTTGTAAGTAGTTACGAGTATTTCATTTGAAGAATATTTTGAAGGTAACATTGATAGATATTTTAATTATTTATTTTGTTCACTTGTTATGATTGCTTGATTCTTTCTATTCATGTAAAATAACGCGATAGACATTTTAATGATTAATTTTATTAGTTGTTGCAGTGATTTGATTTGAAAATAATTTTATTATAATATTTTGTATTTATAACGAAAAGGTGGATAAGATGGGAAGAAATATTGAAATTTGTTTAAAAATAATCTAATATCTTTGGTATTTTTAGAGGAAAATACGGTATAATTTAATGAAGAATACGTCTCCATTAATTTGTTCTTCGAAATGTTTAGTGCGTAAGTAAAACGGTGTTCTCTCTGTTGTGACATTACTCCTCTCGTTTGATGTTGCAAGAATGCATATTAGGAATTTCGACATTCTGTAATCGCAGTTTTCTATTTGTACCGCTTCTAGCAACCTAGTTTGCTTCTTCTTAAAAATTCAACTTAAGAATATAAACATTCCCAATTGAATCTCCGTTTTTATAACAAATAGAACTTTTATCAATTAATAAGAACAATTGTCTTCAATTAAAACGATATTATTTTATTGTTTACGAAACCAAGAGACTAATTATAGCGTCAATTGGCATTTTCTTCTTTTTTCTTGTTTTTTGTTGAAATTATTTTGATTACTTGCTCATTTTGCGTTGTTAAACTTTCTCTAAACCCATTTTATTAGAACTTAATTATAGAAGATCCATTTAGTAGACAAACGACCATATTCGCTATCGACAGTGAGATAACCACGAACGTACATAATTCCACTTCACTTAAATAGATTCGGAAGGTAAATCGCGCCGAGCGAATGGAAAATTCAAGTAATTTCCTTATCGCCTCGAAGCGAAAAAAGAAGTTGCTCGATCTCATCAGCGTGATCACTCTCGAATATTAATCATTCTACTCTTATTTCAAGGTTCTTTCATTTTACTCAAAGAAAGAAAAGCTTTCTTTTTTTCTTTTCTTCTTTCTTTCTTCCTGTCTCTTTTTTTAATTGTAGAAGAAAAAAAAGAAAAAAGAAAAAATAAGTTAATTACTTTTATCTTTTATCTGTTGCAGTTCAATAATGATAGCTCGAAGGTTACTGTTATTACTGTTACAAATACATCTCGCACGTTACTGTTACTCAGGTGAGTCATCTTCTCAATCGAGCCTACGTAAAACATTCGAATCATATGATCGTACGCTTCCTGATATCCGGGATTTTAATTATTCATTCCTTTTGATATTTAGAGGAAAAAAATCAACTAAATATATATGAAAAACCTGTTCGTTCGTTCGTTCGTTCGTTCGTGCACTGTTGTATTTACGTTCGAAAAATTAATTAAATTCATTTAAAGGTACGCACGATTCAAATAATTCCATAATCACACGCACATGCATGCACAGTTGAGAGCGATGACGATATCACGAACGTCATGAAAATTCGATGACGTGAAGATTATCAAACGTTATGTTTATTAATGTAAACGTAACAAGTCTATCATTTTTTATTTTTCTCTTGTTTTATACTTTAACGCGTTGTGTATCCAAAGTCCTGTACTTTTATATTTATTATTTTGAAAATATAATGTAATAATTATTATTCAAAATATTATCTACGATAGATGAAAAGTATCGATGAATAATTTTGATCAAATTTTTGTCAAGTGATTTATCATTAATGATATTATTGTGACATATAAGGTAGTTTTCATGAATTTCACTTTTTATGTTCTATTTTTAATCTTCAATGTGTTAACAAGATATTTGTAATCACTGTATATGTGATGTGTATATGTACATGCATACATGTAACGATAGGATTATATAATTGACGTACGATGAAACTTGGGATCTTTTTTTTTTTGTATTTTTATCACTGTATTAATTTGTTGGAAGAGATTCTCACGAGGGCAAGTAACAGTTTCTTCATGGCACCGTACAAAATCTTTATTCTGGTATCCTTTCGAATATTATGCAACGACAAAATGTTTCACGACTTTTATTTATCGCTTATGAATTCGTTATATCGTCCATTTACTTTTCTTTTTATTACAATTTATAACAAAATTTTACTCAAAAACATTCATAATTATTTAATTAAATAATTTATCTTCGTTTAATGTGAATTAATGTTAATTTTTCAATTGCGTATTTTTTTTTTTTAGTTTTTTTATTAGACAAAATTTACATAAATTTACATGATAAAAGATGATAATGATTTATTTTACGATAGTTGCTAGACAATCTAATGTAAAATGGATTTAAATGTTTTCTCAATCAAGTTTTTCCAATAGGGTGTGTTTTCTTGATGTATTCCTCGCATGAATATTAATCGTACAATCGATAATTAAAATCTTTAGGATTGTTAGGATGCCTTTTATTTTTTTGTACTCATAAATTAAAATCATGCTGAAAGAAACACGTGCGTACATATCTCGTAGCAATAAATCGGATCTCGAGTTTACAGAATTTAAATATTATTTCCTTTTCACTTTTACTTAAATGCTTCTACTAGTATTTTTTGTTTATTTTCCTTTACATCCAATATGTTAATTCGTTTAAAATTAACTGAAAAACAAGAAGTTAAAACATGTGCAAAAGCTAAAAATAAATCCAATTACGAAGTTTATTTACGAGGAAAATTGTTTTTTTATAAAAGTTTCATTTCTACGAATTTTACCATTTATATCGAAACAATTTTTTTTTAATGTTTCTTTTATTTAGTGATTTCTTCCTACAATTAATTTCTATCTTTCATAATTAGAGAAAACTTTAATAACAGTCTACAATGACATTGGACTGACACCGATCGACCCAGAAATCGCAGATACGATCGATTGGAACAAACATTATTGTAAACGACTTTGTAAAGATGGATCACCACCTCTGGATTGTTATTACACTTTCAAAATTGAATCTTATCGTACGATGAGCAAAGCCTGTTACAATTGTCCATTAAATTCTACCGATTGTTTCCGTCCTCACTGCATACCAGCCGATGGGATTAAAAGATCAATTTTGGTTGTTAATCGGCAGTTGCCTGGACCATCGATTCAGGTACTTAAAATAGCTATTTTCTATACTATTAATAGATAAATACTCATAATGAGTTATTTGGAAAATTTTAAAGAAATAATTATTTTCTTTCAAAATAATTTATTAAAAGATCATTAACAGAGACTTTCCTATCAACCCAATATATATGCACCTACATATATAAATAAAATGAACTTTTACAATTGGATAAAAGTACAATTTATTGGGGTTAATAAATTACTTTTGAAAACAAGATAATAAACACAAATATATACAATTGTTCTGTTTCAATCAACTAAACCGACAAACGCTTTCTTTACATTACATTATATAAGATCTCTCGTTAATATTTACATTAATAACGAAAAGTATGGCTATATCTTAATCTTGCCTTATCTTTGCGTGTCTTTCGATGAGTAAGATTATAAATTGAAAAATTTGAATTGTAGGTTTGTCTAGGTGATAGAGTAATAGTCGACGTTATTAATTTATTACATTCCGAAAGTACTACGATGCATTGGCATGGACTGCATCATCACAAATCACCCTACATGGACGGTGTACCGTACATTGCTCAATGTCCGATTCCCCCGGGATCAACTTTTCGGTACAATTACATTGCTACTGAAATTGGTACCCACTTTTGGCATTCTCATATAGGTGAGTTCAATTTAAAACAAGGATTAAAATAATTTGTAGTTTTTCAAATTTTGTACACACTTCAGTATTTATTATATATTTAACCTAATTATTTGGTAGGTTTCCAAAGAGGTGATGGTCTTTTTGGACCTCTAATTGTTCGTGCACCACCCTCTAAGAATTGGCACAAGGATTTGTATGACGTGGACGAATTTACATTAACCCTTTATGATTGGACTCATAATATGGGTAACGACATGTTCCTTGCACATCATCACTCGAATGGCGATAACAAACCTGTTAACTTACTCGTTAATAGTTTGGGACGGTACAAATCTAATAATAGCGATATTGATGCTATTTCCATGAGAATGCCTTTAACGACGTTTACTGTTAAACAGGTATGAATCATTCTTGAAAAAGATTATTTTTATTTGATTAGTCTTGCACAAGGAGGATTTTAACAAATTTTTCTATTACAGAATTTAAGATATCGATTCAGACTGATAAACGCTGAATTTCTTAACTGTCCCATCGAAGTTTCCGTGGACAATCATACTCTTTTCGTCATTAGCTCAGATGGACGTGATATAGAGCCAGTAGAAGGTAAGATATGCAAAAATCATACTTTTCGAGCTTATTTATTCATCTCTATCGATAGATGTTCGACATGAAAATGACACGCATAGTAACATACGCGTGAATTATATATACCTACCTCTATTGTTTTTAATATAATCTTTCAGCCGAATCTTTAGTAAATTACGCTGGCGAAAGATTTGATTTTATTATTAATATGGACCAAGAAATTGATAATTATTGGATCCGGTTCCGTGGTTTGATGGACTGTGACGAGAGATTCCTTAGTGCTCATCAAGTCGCTATTCTTAGATACGAGAATGCTAAAGGTTTAGAACCAGAAGGAGAAATTTCCTATGATCGTCCTCCAAATAATCTACTTGGATGGGTAATTTTATATTTTATTATAATAAATAAAATTATAAATGAAATTTAACTAAAAATGATTCGTATTGATGCAATGAATATTTTGTTGTATTTGTTTGAACAGAAAGTGAACGCGTTAAACGAGGGTACAGAATCGAATAACAGTCTTAGCATACCATTGCTTACTTCTTTGGATGAAAATGACGAAACGAGTATCGAAAAAGCGGATTATCAATTTTACGTGGCCTATGATTTTTATGCTAAAAATAATCCACATTTCCATCGGGAAGGTCTTTACGGATTTGATCAAAGTAATTATCTGTTATTTTAAAACAATTTTATAAAGCTGCTACCTAATCACAAAATAATATGATATGCGTATGGTTGATTAGTTATTTGTTTATGATAAAATACTACAATTGATTTTGTTTTACAGTAAACGATTGGTCACAACGATTGTTCACGCCACAATTAAATCACATATCAATGAAGTTACCATCCTTCCCATTACTTTCGCAACGAGACTTAATCGAGCCTAATCAATTTTGTAACTCGAGTACTGTAACAGGATGCGATAAGAAATTTTGTAGTTGCACTCATGTTCTCCAAGTGAAATTGAATAGCGTCGTTGAAGTGATACTCGTGGATGAAGGTACATTTAATTTCTTGCTATATAAATAATTGTTTTCAGAAAAGAATAATATTTTATTTATGTTATTGATTATTATTCCACAGGTATTACTTACGAAGCGAATCATCCATTTCATATTCACGGCTATCAGTTTCGCGTTGTAGGAATGGAAAGACTAAGCAAAAACGTTACAGTAGACGAAATAAAAAGATTGGACGCAATTGGCAAGATAAACAGGAAGCTTGACCATGCACCGTTGAAAGACACAGTGACCGTTCCTAACATGGGCTACACCATTATTCGATTTTATGCAGACAATCCAGGTAAAACATTTTATTATTAACATTTTATCGATTGGTAATTGGCTTTTTGGTTTTTAACTCTTATCAACATTTTTTGGGAATGTATATTTACTTTACAACATATACATAAAACATTTCTTTTAAAGAGGCATTAGATTTTTGTTAAGAGAGAGAGAGAGAGAGAGAGAGAGAGAGAATGTTGTAAAATTCAAATAAAAACGTTCTATTATATTATCCAAATTTATGCAAAACAGGGAAGGTCTTTTGTGATTGGCGACTCTTATCATGATTCATAGATAAAGTATTGATAGCATTCTACGTCAGATCAATTCATGAAAATTTCCTAAATAAAATAATCGTTTCCTTAATCATTTCATTTCAATTTAGTTTTATTATACCATCGTATTTCTGACTCATCGATGGAAATAATAAATTCCTTCAAAATAATTTGCAGGATATTGGCTATTCCATTGTCACATCGAATTCCATGCTGAAATCGGTATGTCCTTGATCTTTAAAGTGGGTGATCACGAGGCAATGCAACAAGTCCCACATGGATTTCCACGATGTGGTGATTGGAAGCAGTCCTTCGATGAAAATCCAAGTACCAATACAACATCAACACAAAATAGTTCAACAACAAATTCGAAAGAAAATGAAGTTGAATTATCAAACGAATTACAATCATATATGAGTATAACTCCATTGCTACAGCAAAGAACTGATTCTTCCTCGCCTAATCTTACCACATCAACACATTTGCTAACTCTTTCCATCATTATTTCCGTTATTCTTAACGTACTATATTTGTAGTTTTTATATTTAAAACAAAATTGTTAGAAATATGACATAATTTTCTATTACTTTTCATTAGTGGTAACAGACCATTGTAAAAAGTGTATTTTAACAGACACTATATTCTACGTACTTACATTTTTATGTTTTTACTTGAAAGGATTTCAAGTTCTAAAAGAATTACCAGTAATGTATGAAAGTATGTTGTCACTGTGATATATTAATTATGACTGGCAATGAACTTGAATGGCCTCCTTAAAATAGGAGACTTCCTACTTTAAGAAAAAATGTACCCTATTTTGGATTGTGCCTTGATTATAATGAAAACATACAATGATAAGTCGTATGTATATACTAACAATAAGTACTGATTTATATTCAATAACCATACTTTAATTACCCATCAGTATTCGAATCCATATTAATTCTCTTTACCTAACAAAAATCCATCTACATAACTAACATTATCAATCATCAATTATAGATCATTATTATCATTTTGACATCGTAATTTTAAGAAAGTATTGTGATATTTAAAATTAAGTTTAATTAAATTATAGAATTAATGAAAGTATATTTAAAAATCATCGATTGTGACGTTTCATTGCTTTTTTCCTTAATTTCATATCGTTTTTCCATTTCATATTTAATGTAATATCTCATAACAATTTCTTATTTAGCAATGTATTCGATAACTTGTTGTTCTTTTTTTTATTTTATGTGATTGTGTTTGTCCTGTGCCTTTAATAAAGAAATTAATTGTTTAAAAAATTATAAAATTTTGTATCAAATAAAATTAACATCTACGGAGTTTTTTCAAAAAGCTTTTAAATTCTGAAACTGTTTAGAATTGCTAGTAACATTTGTTTAATTTATGAGAAAAATTCTGTTATTGATGAATCAACACAAACATGGTTTTTTCGATTTAAGAAATGCAATTTCTCAACAAATTATAAAACAATGTTATGGTAAACCTCAAAAGCAATGGAAATCCTCAAAAAGAAATATTTAAAAGTATAATTGCATAACTTTCGCATAATATGTAGAGTGATTTGAACGATTAAGTAAGTCAACATGTTAAAAATGTTCAAAATGATGAGAAATTCTGATTCAATGAGATAACTCCTTCGTGCTGCGAATGTAATAAAAATGTAAAAAATGTAATATTTTGAAATTACAAAAAATGATTGACATTCAAAATATCACGTATAATTTTTTAAATATGGAATCCATAAAGCACAATTTATACAAAAGATTGAAAGTTTAAATAACACAATGGAGGTTTTATTTTACTCACCAAATACGAATTTGCAATGCATAACAATGAAAACAAGAAAACAATATCAAAATTATAATAGTTTTACTATAAATAAGTAATACCATTTGTGCATGGTACATTATTTACAATGTAATTTAGTTGTTCATTCAAATATAAAAATTATAATAACAAATGAACAAAATAAAGTTAAAGGAATATTTAATTGCTTGTAAGAATAGTTTCATTAACACTATAACACGTATCTTCTTGAAGTGGTCGTTGTAATGGATGAGCCAATAGTTTGGCCATGTTATCGTGCAATTTAGCAGCATTTCTTCCTACTTCGTAGACATGACAAAAATGACATATGTCCAAAGAAGTTAATTCATTGTAAACATCGTCACATAAATTTTCCGTAGTTGGTGGTTCATGTACGTATAAGACGTCCAAAAAGAAATACGGATTGGAAGTAATTTTAACTAAACATTCACTTCCACTTGGTCCACTGCACTCATAAAACTTCGGTATACAATTAGATCTTGAATATATCAGAATAACACGAGTCGTAAAATCAGGTAGAAGATTAACGCAATTATCCTTAGGTATTCTAAACAATATCTCTTTAAATATTAGTCCCATATTAAATGTTTTTTCTTGATTAATGCTTTCTTCTATAGTATCAAGATAATTCAAAATAGTTTTGACATTGTTTGTGAAGTCACTGATCCAGCGTACAGTAGAAGATTCTAATATCATAAGACCATACTCGTGCTTTCTTTGTATCGTAGATTTGGCATTGATGAAAGTTTCTACGACACGCTTGATCATATACAAGGGAGAATAAGATTCACCTGTACCAACTTTAAATGGCGTACAGTTCTCTTCTTTGGCGGTATCAACGACAAATAAAATCTTCTCAGGTATATTCACTTCAGGTAAATTTCTATTGTTTTCTTGAACGGTATTACTACTTTGACTGTTTACATTTTGAATTGATGTACCACTGTTGGTATTTGACGTTGGCATTTTTGATTGTTCTGAAGTATTATTTATAGCGGCAGAAGTGAACGTAGCAGCAGATGTTAATTTTGCTGACATTGCATTCATTTCTTCATTCCAATTCATAGGCGTTGATATGTTCCCTTATTTACGTTAACATATATTCTGAACTGATACGTTCCCTATCTAATATCAAATTAACATCATAATCAGACAATGGACAAACGCGTGACATATACATATATATATATATATATATGTTATATTTTTTTTTATTAATAAAAAAATATAAAATCAATTTTCAGCGAGAATTCTAAGTAATTTTTGCTGACGTGATATATATTGACATGAGTTATATATATACTTATATATACATTTATTGCTAATACTTTTCTTTTAGGTTAGAATAATAGAATTTGATTTTTATAACACTTAATTCTTTGTGGAAGGAAAGCAAAATGATCATTCTAATTTTGTTATATATATATATATATATATATATATATATACTGTCTTTTATCTTTTAAAATTAATAAAACATATCAATATTAATAAATTAATTAATTGTTTAATACATAAGGACATATTTTTGATTATTAAGAAAAATTAAAAGTTTACATTTACAAAGTATACTTACTTATTAATTATTATTTCGTTATTAAATATTAATTTAATATTATTGCATTTAATATTAATGCAAGTATATATAAGTTAAACGGCAAAGGTGATAAGTCACGTTTAACACACACATTACACCTAAAAGATCAATAAAATTACAGTCTACGTTTTCATTAATTCTTCATTACGAATGATAGGGGTCAGCACAATTGCATTACCTTATCAACTGTTTCAATTATTCAGAAATAAATATATATTTCAATGAAAACTGCTTTTCATTGTTTTTTATTTATTCTTTCAAATTTATATTGTAGTTAGATCAAATTACGGAGCCTAGATACCAGGAGGGCGATCGACATAGGAAAATAACTAGCAAATGCGACTGGAAAGAAAAGGAAAGATTATTTTCAGAGATACGCCGCTAGGTCTCGTTATGTTCGCTAATGTCAAGTTTATAACGTCATATTTTTCATGGACAATTGTTGACAATACTGCATCATTAGCAATTGTATTAATGTTTTTTTAATTTATAAAAAGTAATACTTATTTAAAAATGGTAAATAAATGTATTGTTCATCGGTGTACAAGTGGACGAGTTAAGGATCATAATAAGAATACTAAATTAAATAAGAGAAATACGTTTTTATTTACTGTACCTTAGGTAATATAAACTTAATTGATAGTTATTAATTACAAATATAAAAAAATGCAATGATGCAAATGTTTTTTAACTCTACTTATGCTATAGAAATTTCTAGTCTTGTAAAAAGTATAATTTACGATAATAAATTACAATTTACTTTTAATTTGACTTTTTAAATTTAGTTTTCCATCCTTTACTCAATTGCGACTAGGTAAGATGATACTTTTTCAACCCCAAACTATGGTTAAACAAGCATCAATTCCTACAATATCAAATAATGTGGATATGATAGAAAGTGATCCAAAGAATATATTTAAGAAGAAAGATACAAATATATTATTAGAAGAGCAAATTGACAAAATTCAGAAAGAAAATGAAGAACTTCATTTTAAAAGAGAAACTTTGGCTGCATTCTTAAATAATGATCAGATTAAAGTATTACAAAAAGGTCGCTTGAATCAATGGTCAAATGAAAGTATTATTAAAGGTCTCAAATTTAGATTTGCTCTTTCAGTTCAAGGTCTTGATTTTTTGAGGAATAGTGGTTATCCACTGCCATCGTCTAGCATAATAATGAGAAAAATTCAAGACATAAAATTGAATTTTCGAATATTCGAAGATGTTTTACAGTTATTACATTTCAAAGTCGAAACTATGGATACAACTGATAAATTTAGTGTACTATCTTATGATGAGATGTGCTTTAGCGAACAGCTTGATTATGACAAAATTTCAGGAGAATTTTCTGGTCATGCTACACTGGGAGCCGATAAATCTCTATTGGGACAAAAAATATTTGTGGTGGTTATTAGAGGTATAAAAAATAAATGGAAACAAGTGATTGCTTGCCACGTTACTCGTAAAGAATCCATAAATCCAGTTCAAGTAAAAATTTGATTCTAGATTTTATTTCCAGTGTAGAAAAATGTGGATTTTGTGTTCTTTGACTTTCCCCAGATTTGAACGGCAGAAACAGATCTTTTTGGACATATTTGAAAATAACTGTAATGAAAAATGGCAAGAGAGTTAATTCATTTCATTACAATGAGCATGAAATTTATGTATCGCCAAATGTTTGCCATCTATTAAAAAATTTTAAATCAACTGTTTTAAGATAGCTAGTGTATCTGCTAGCTGAATTTGTTGAAATGAAAAGCTTATCAACAAATGTAGTTAATGGTTCGCACATAGTTAATTTATGGAATTATGAAGTATCAAATGTTGGAACAAAACGGTTATTACACCATCTTAAAGAGAGGACATTGAGCCATCAAATTTTGATAAAATGAATGCAGCGGTTCGTTTTTTTTTCGCTTAAAACTGCGAATGCACTACAAACTGCAATAGAAATGAAAATTCTACCCGAAGAAGCCTTAACAACAGCAAAATTTATTTTAATAATAGAAAAGTGGTTTGGCATTACAGCATCTAAAGTACGAAAGCTTCTATCACTGCAGGAAACTGTGATCAAAAATATATATTTCCACACTCAGTGATAGATCTTTTCCAAAATACTGTTTTTCAAGAAGGATGGAAGCCACTGAATTATGGTTTTGTTCTTGCCACTTTTTCATTTTGTGATATTGCTGAATATTTATTTGCAAATGGATATGACTTCATATTGGGAAATCGTTTCACTCAAGATGGAACAGAAAGAATCTGCGATTTTTCCCAATGTATCTTCGGGTTATAAGTTTGAGAGGTACAACCCATCGGTCAGCTGTTGTCTGCCGGTCCTTGTCCTCATTATATTGTTTGTATAGCTTTTTGTTCAGAAGGAAACATCAGATGGTCCTTTAATTGTTCAATTTGCTGAAGCGTATAGATACCGCTGGTGGCGAGAGTGCTTGGTGCGATATATTTCCATGAAAGCCTTGTTTTGTTTCAATATTTCAGGTGTGAGTACATCTATTGGGTTAGATGTTAGTCCAATCCATCCGTGTTCTGCAGCGTAACCATTATTCTGCATCGAGTGTAACGATTAACTTTGTATTCGATGGTTCGAAGCAGTTAAATATGGGTGCGTGAGGCGTTCAAACATCAGGCTGGATATTGCGATCAAATCCGATGAATTCTTCCATGATGTTTGTGGTGGCGAGAACCAGAGCGACGTGACGCAACATTTTCTAATACATGATATCGTACTTATTACATGCTTATGATCGAGGAGAGTCTTGGGTATTTGCATATGATAATGATTCGCTTACGGAGAGAGTCTGAGGTGTATAGCGGGTGGGGTTCGTCGCTTCTCCAGTCTCAGAGTAGTTTATTTTGAAAGTAACATTTCCTTTTATAAAAATTGAGTTTAGTCAGGATAAGAGAAATAACGAATACCACAGTGTGTAAAGTATATAAATTTGAATTTTAGTTTCTATATAATTTTAATCTGTCGACGTGTACTGTCCTAGTTTTACCCTCTTTGATTTCTATGGTCGCATTGTTATTTTCTAACAATTCTATCAACTTAAAGGGATCATTGTAAGTGTTGCCGAATTTTCCCTGCTTTACTGCTAATAGCAAGACATCATCTCCGACTTTTAATTCCTGTGATACAACTTTACTATCGTAATATGCTTTGCTTTTGATTTTTGCCTCCTCCAGGTTTTTGCGAGCGAGGTTTTGCAATCTATCCATTTCGTCAAAATGGTCGTTTAAGGCAGGATTCTACTTTAATCACTCAAAAAAAATGGTATTTTTGTCAATTTTTTATGAGAAAACTAAGAAAGATATTAATGTAGGGTTTGTTGTTCTTTCTAAATATACTCTTAAATTACATTAAAAAATTTTTTTTATTTATCTTATACGCTCTATATACATTGGAAAGGCCCTTGAACAGAACGCCTAAAAATAGACTAGCCTCTGCGCTGTTGATAAAATCTTGAGATCGGATTATTTGAAATGAAAAATTCGAATAGTTTTATGTTCACAAAGACTACAGTAACCGCTGGTAGCAGATTTTTTCATTTACAAGCAAAAATAACAAAATGGCGTCAGTTGCAAAAAAATCTCATTTTTTTCTTATTTTTTGCAAAAAAAAAATGATCAAAAAATCTCATTTTTTTCTTATTTTTTGAAAAAAAAAAAAAAATAGTAAAAATGAAAATTTTTTTATAAATCTGCTACCAGCGGTTGATATATGTGTATAGATTATGTGGTAAAAATTTCAGACGAATCGAATAGCTAGTTTTGAAGATTTTATAAACAAGCGGTATAAAAACGTGATTTCGAGAAAAACGCATTTAAAGTTTTTTTAAGTAAAAATTCGCGGAAAACGTTAACTTACGTTTAATCAGCGATACCTGTAATATATACTATGCCTTCTGACTGCTCCAGAAGATAATGTTCTTCAAGTCTAGCTTGTCTTTTTTTTGTTCTGCTGTCTTTGAAAGCTTCAGATGAGCGGCGATTTTCTTTGACAACGCGCTCGTTGTCTCGTTTGCTGGCATACTGAACAGCGGTTTCGCCGATTGTAATGCCCATTACCTCCATAATTTTTAAAATTGTTTGAAAACCTTCATTAAATATTCATGCCGCAGTAAGGCATGCAATTTTGGCAATTTTAACTGTTTTACGTTGCATTTCTTAGCTATTTTCCTAAATACGGTAGATATGAAATTTCTACCTTGATCGGTAATTATGGCACGAGGAGCTCCAAAAAGGCAAATGTATTCCTGATAGAAAGCTTCGGCGGTAGCTTCGCCGCTGATCGAGGCTAAAGGTATGGCTCGAAAGAATTTGGTTAATAAGTCTTGTACAGTTAANGTACAGTTAATATATATGAATTTCGTTTACGGGTCATGGGGAGAGGCCCCACGATGTCTAACGCTACTTTATCGAAAGCACGACCGGGAGTATCGGTGAGAATCATTGGTTTTCTTGGTTTTACTCGAGTTATTTTTCTTATTTGACAGGTCTTACATTTGTTAATGAAATTCCTTACATCTTCCTTCATATTCTTCCAAAAATAATAGTTTCTGATGCGGCAATATGTTTTGCTCATGCCCTTATGATCTCCCGTAGGGAATGAGTGATATTCCTGTAATATAGTGATTTTTTCGTCCTCAGAAGGAATACGAACCAATGATTACGGCTAAGTCGGTTTCAGAAAATATTTGTTTGAGTTTGTTTTCTATAGTTCTCCACGGAAGATCACCCATGTAATTCGTTTTTGCAATGCTAACTGAATTTATCCCTAATTCAGTGACTACTTTTTTTAAATTTACTAATTTTTTATTGCCATGCACTTTTTTCATTGCTAAATATCTGCCATATGCGATTTTTGTTTTTTTTTTAATAAAAAATTAAAAGTATCTTGGTATTCTCATGTAATTTTAATATTATGTTATTTAAGTATACAGAAACCTAAAATTAATTTGCCAAGTGTTTGTTCGCTTGTTAAACCTAGAATAAGAACGACAAACTTATGAAAAGTATTGCAGTATGATGGTGTAGTTAGAGAGAGATAGTTCAGAGTGCAAGAGAGATAGACAGCCACGGTGGCGCAACTGACAAGTTTACAAGATGGTATTCAGTTCCACAAATCTTTTGTAGACGATAAACTTTATATTTGTTATTTTTTATAATATTCAATTTCTGTGAAAATCTATTCTTTATCTATTCGTAATAAGTTTCTGTATACTTAAATAACATAATATTAAAATTACATGAGAATACCAAGATACTTTTAATTTTTTATTAAAAAAAAAAAAATCGCATATGGCAGATATTTAGCAATGAGAAAAGTGCATGGCAATAAAAAATTTATGTTTGATAAATCTATCTAAAGTCAATAAATAGAAAATTAGGCTTCTCAGCATTCTTTTAAAATCTAGGATTATTACCTGTACAGGTAGGATGCGCACTAGTAAACGCAAGACCTACGGCCAGCCAAGTAGTGCAGGTTCTAACCGAAGGATCAAGAAGAACGACATATCAAAAAATCAGTTCACCCACAACTCTCTCTCGAAAACGTTGCTAGTTCCCGGACTATAAATAAATCCTACAATTATTTGACTCTTGAAACTGTGCATTCGTCAGATTCTCTGGAAACTTAGTTTTTTGAAGGTTTCACTTCTTAACACGTGTGATCTGCACACATGATTTTTTATTCTTAATAATGAGAATTTATTTTAAACGTTAAAGTCTTATTTTATTTATTAAAAATAATTTCTTATACTGAAATAACATTTTATCACAAATATTATATATACATATGTACTGAAATTTATTTTTAAATATTATTATATATTTTTTAAATAACTAATTTAATAATTAATACCAGGAAATATTACCGATCGATAAAATAAAATAATAGTTTGATGGTGATAAATGTCTTACCAGGCGAAAAGATGAAGTAATTACTAGTACCGCTGAATGGCGGCACATATATTTCCGCTCAGTAAAATAAAGTAATTGTTATTACTGCTAGATAGCGACACATATTTTACCAGTCGGTAACAAAATATTTCCAATATATTTCTGTTAAATGATTGAAAATGAATGTAACGTAAATTATTTTTTATATGATAAAAATAAACGTATCTTAACATTATTATAATATTTGCTTCTTCCTAAAAACGAGATTGTTATTTTTACCTTTAAACATATTATTTTCTAGATTATTTTTTCTCACTGGAAAATGTTATCTACATACTTTTGAATATGTATATTTAAAGAAATTCAAAAAGAAATTGTTGTAAATTATTGCATTGGCGTTTTCTTTTAAATACTATAAATAATTATAGTTGAGAAACACTGATAAATAGTACTATCTTATGTATATTGCAGTATATATATAAATACATGTATATATATCAAAATTATTTATATATAGATGGACATGTATAATCTATATAATATATTTTAACTATATTTTTAAGAATAGTCACATATTTTAAAGAATATTTTATATAAAAATTAAATAAAATTTATTTTGTATAAATAGATTGAATAATGGTTTTAAAATGTTCATCTGAATAACGTAGTATCGTCCATATTTCTCTCCATATTCCCGTGATGCTTCGCGCCGAATCACTTTCGTGTTCTTCCGTCGTCGTTGCTTCCGCACGCCATTTTCTATTAGAGTGTATGGTTCGTTCGTGAGTTATACACGTTAACGTTTACATTTCTTAATATAATACAACTGGTTGAAATAGTGACAAATTAGAAAAAATAAATATAGCGAATATGAGTTACGGTAGGCCACCGCCGCGTATCGACGGCATGGTGTCCTTAAAAGTTGATAACTTGACTTATAGAACGACGCCAGAGGATCTCAGGCGTGTATTCGAAAGATGTGGAGAAGTCGGTGATATCTACATACCACGAGATCGTTTCACTCGTGAAAGTCGTGGTTTTGCCTTTGTAAGGTATGTATTTAGTTATTTTCTTATCTAAGAACAAAATAACATAAATTTGTAATATTATCCTATATGTGATAACAGTACCTGTGTAGGTATGTGTTACATCTTACCAACAGGCTTCTGTTCAATGGCATTTTTGTGACGTCATCTTAAAAAATCGTAACTCATAAATAATAATTCATTATAATAATAAGTAGAATATATTTTCTTCGTTTCTATTCGTTATCTATAAGATATATTTTTGTGGTTTATAACTGTTGTGCCAATTTCTACTTTGGTAAGTGATGTTTCAAATATGGGAAGAAAAAAGCGAACATGTATTCATGTTCATTTGAACAAAAAATATGTTTGCATGATAGATATTAATATATTTTTTTAGTTACAATTTATTATGATCATAAAAATGTTTCTATTAATAATATACTTTGTACTATGTAAGATTAAAGGAGGTGGCTAAACATATAATATGTGGATTATCATCGAATTAACTGAAAGTTTAATTTAAATGCGTTTCAAACAATTATTTTTCTAGTCATATTAATGATAATATCATGCTTTTTATATTATACAAGTATCAAAGGAATTAATTTGATTAATAACTTTTTACAGATTCTACGACAAACGTGATGCAGAAGATGCATTGGATGCTATGGATGGGAGGTTGTTAGACGGTAGGGAACTTAGAGTTCAAATGGCACGCTATGGTCGACCAACCTCTCCTCATCGAAGTCGTGGAAGTCGTAGACGTGGGAGGTAATGTTATATTCTTTTAACATATTGCTACGTGCCAAGGTATTCATGAATGTTTCCTGAAGACAAAGATAAGCATTTTGATTTGATTTTGTATATTTAGGTCACGCAGCCGTAGCAGAGATCGCAGACGATCTCGTACACGATCACGTAGTAGATCTCGTAGTCGTGATAGAGATCGTAGACGTTCCTACAGTCGTAGCCGCAGTCGTTCTCGCTCTGATAGTAAAAGTTCTCGTGGGAAATCTCGTTCTCGTAGCAAGTCTCAAGAACGACAAAAAGACAGTCGTTCAAAATCAAGATAAGGTAAGCTGTATTGATATAATCAACATTTTTATATTGTTTTATTTTGATGCAACGAATAACACAAGCCTATATTTGTGAATAATTGTAATATTTTGTTTTTGCTTTAGTGGGTATAAATTAGCTAAATTGTTCACTTTATTGTTTCATATTAATTGATTAGAAATATAGGCAGTAATATAGGCAGCAAATTTAATATATTCTAATATATTGTATTAATAATATTATGGGATTTTGCAGATACTGGAATAAAAGGATACGAGTACAAGCAAAATGATTTACATCCTTCGACCCACCATATTATCTGTCTTGAGAAGAGATTTGAAAAGGTATTCTATTACTCTATACCTACAGCACCTCTGTAACATATTTTCATTCAGAGTGTCATTTATATTTATACATTAATTCTGAATACGTATTGTTCTCCGGTTTTTTTTTGTTTTTTTTTTTTGTTTTTTTTTTTTTTTAAAGAACTAAAACGTAAATTCTAGTTTATTGTATTACTTTTTACATTATTAGTCTAACTTTACCAAATCAAATTCTTGATTAAATATTTCATTTGATTTTTCTTACATTAAGCATTATTGTTTAATGTGATACTTTTGTATGTTTGAAAGGAAAGAAAACTTGTAATTTTCTATTGTATACAGACTAATTAATTGCAATTTACTGTATATCACAATTACCAAAATTATATTGTATTTGATGGCACTTGTACTACATTCTATAGGAAATATCACCCATCACTAAACGTCTATGAATAGTAATCTGTGTTTATTAATGATAGTAGAGTCACACTAATTTCATGTAGTCGAGTTTGATAGGAAAACATTGAAAAATTAGTATTTCTTTTAAATTGCAAAAAAATAATCTCTCGTTCGTTCGTAGTCGTCATGCGTTCGTGTACGCGTATGTGCATTATAGATACATAAATACAAACAAAAAAAAACAACAAACAAAAAAAAACAACAAAAAAAAACAACAAAAAAAAAAAGAATAAGAAAATAGGGAAAAGGAATAAATATTATTATCGGCAGAATAGTCAATATTAATATATTGTACAGGTCTTTTCAAAACAATTCTAACGATTATTAAATACACTGAACGACAATAAATCTGTGCTTCTTTAATGTACGAGTAGAATGAACGATATCTTAATTGATTCATTTAATTTAGTTTGTACATAATGAATAGACAGGTTCATTGTCAACTAGTGTATTTATATATAATGTTGTTTTAACAATGTTGGTCATTTGACGACATATTGGATATTTTGAAAACTTGAAGAGAAATGATTACATTCAATATAATGTTTGCAAAATTGATCCATTTTTGAAATAGAGTATTAATACTTGTTACATTGATAAATTAATACGAAAGATGATATACATTTAATATTAAAATATTTTTTGATTCTATTTTTTTTTTCTCAATAACTCTATTGGCGCAATTAATATGTCCTTTATTTTTTTATTTATTATTTTCAATCCAATGCAATTAATAGTTACAATAAAACAAACAAAAAATACTTCTAAGTTATATTGAGATATTATTTTTTATTATAATTATGAGATTGCCCACAGTGGGCAAAAAGGACTAATAATATTCCTGGAAATAGTGTAATGGTGTTAATGTATAATGGTAATTAGCAGGTAATGTAAGATACACACAGTTGACTAAATTTTATACGTAATTAATATTACATCGCAAAACGTCTTTTTGATTTTTCAATTTTCAAACTATTCTTAAACAATGAAAAGTCTCATATTGAATGAAAAATTTTTTTTTTACAATATATATTTTAGAAGTAAGATATGCGTTTCTGTAATAATATAGGTTTACTAATGTAAAGTTTTGTCAGATAAAAATAAAGCATAAAAAGACATAGACGATAACACTTTTCAGACAAATTTAAATGTTAATAACTTTATAGTAACTTTTAGTGTGTGTTATACAAATTTTAAAGTTTGCAGTTTAACTTAACTTATTATAATAGTTAAATGAGCTTTTTTCTTAACAAAAATTAATAACATTTGCTGCATATATTTAAAGGATTATTACAAAATTATAACGAACGTGTATTTTATGATTTAATATAATTGTTGAAATTTTTTACAATCTGTATATAAATGTTCTATCTGTGAAAAATAATTGTGTAAACAAAATGAAAGTACTATTGTAGGAATTAACAGTTTATAAATATTGTAATTATTATAAAGATACAATAGTGTATTGAAAATTTATATTGTAATCAGAATACGATTAGTTTGGAAAATGTTCAATACGTCTTATGGAACGTGATTTTAGTAATATCCTGTAATATTGTGTTACTACTTAACTCTTTGTGGATGCGATAAATAATATTTTAATGTATGGCACAATACAATTAACATATTAATTTTATGTTCCCATAGAAATAAAGCTTCATTGTTGAAAAGTGTTATTTTTATAATAAACTTTGTTCAATTAAGTTTTGCTTTAAGGATTAGGAAAAACGTAGCTCTATAACAATACCGTCCACAAAGCGGTTATTTAAAAACAAATAAAAAGAGAGAGAGAGAGAATTACTTTTATATTAAGTTTTTAATATTAAGTTAAAAATAATATGTTTATTAACTGTTCAACAGTTATTCTTAATGAAACGTTAAAATCCTGTCATGGATATATCATATTATCTCGGTATAACTAAGTTATAATTTTATGGTGCCACAGGCGGTGGAAAGGAGTGGCGTGGCGAGTGTAGCCGATGATGGGGTAGCTGAGAGTAAGCTGTAAGCCGAGTAAGCAGGGCTGTAAGCAGTTTGCAGTAGCGAGCGGTTGGTGGTCTGGTGAAAGCAGGTTCGCGAGAGATTGATGCGAGAGAGTGTGCGAGCGAGCAGTCTCTTTGGGGGGTGATCGCACTGCAGAGAATTTGCGGATGGTACGGTCAAACGCAGAGAATAAAAAAGCAGAACGCAATCAGAGCAGCAGCACGCGGTTGCTGGTCGCAGAGACATCGTTCCGGGTAGCAGGTAGCACGTGAGCATATCACCAGACACCTCGCGAACGAGATTACGCGTCAGCTGATAAGTTACCACATCTATCTTAGTTGTCAATAATTATTTGACCAATTATTTGACCAATTATTGGCTATCGTTTTCGACACTTGCCGCCACATAGTCAAATTAAACTAGGTGGAATTGTGCTCGAAGAATATCACATTTTTTTCTCCGTTCTTTCTTTTTTGTGTTTTTCTTCTAGGTTCTTCGATATATATATCTCACAACAGGATTTTGGTGTTAACATATTACAGAGGTAAGCCATGAAAATTATTTACTATATATACATATATATGTGTGTATTTGTGTGGTGTGCATATATATATATAGCATATATAATATTTCCTCTTACCCATCGTTATGTTTAACTAATCATTTAAGTTATATATTTATTGATGTAAGGGCTATTAATAAAAATTTTCTTTCACTTATTATATGTGTATATTTTGTTTTTTTTCTTTTGCTCTTATTCTCCATTTTTATCCTCGAACTTATTCTAGTATTATGTATTTACACTACTATAATATTATTATTATTATTATTATTATTATTATTATTATTATTATTATTATTATGAATTATTACGAATTATTACGAATTTACAATTAATCCCTTAATTATCAATCGCAAATCATTAAAGTCTACGGAAAAGGCAATTATTTTGTAATACATACTTACGTATGTATATAATGTCATGTTCCTTCTTGCTGTGCAGGAAGACAGTATTAGTTCGGCCGTACTGGACCAAAAATTTTCGTGATATTCCTTAGGCGAATTTCAACCTATTGTAGCAGACATCTATCACAGAATTCGTATGTTCTTTTCTTTTTTTTTTTTTTTAATTCTTATAAATCCGTTTTCCTTTAATAAGAGTGCAGTGTATTCTTTTATAGCTGATAACCTAATGATATTTTTACATGTTTTTAATATTGTATTGTGAGTGTTTTTAATCGTTTATTTATGGTAGTTAATTATTAGTTGATAGAAAAATAAATAAATATATATATATATATATATATATATATATATATATATATGTATGTATATATGTATATGTATTTTTGTTTTTCTTCTACCTATTTGTTCTTTTCTGCGTTCTTCTTTATAATATAGGGTTTCAATAATCTGGCTACTATATATAGTATAAGAGAGCTAATATGACCAAGATAGTATAGATTTGCATAAAATTGTAATATTTGTCGGAAGTCGAGTAATAGAAACGGTACACCCAAATAAGCCATACAGGAAACTCTCATAGCCCATAGAGTAAATGTCCAGATTTTCCAACCCTATAAGAAATGAAAGAGCGTTTAGAAAAATATATTTATATATATTAATTATAATTCTGATAAATGTTAATACTGACGATGCTATCCTTTTCATGTTGGTTGTGGAACTTTACTAACAGATCTTCTAGTTGTAAATAAAATGGAACTGAACATATGCAAACATAGTAACCAACAGCATATCCATGCCACAATGCAGACAGAGTTAATGTCATCATAATTCTTAACGGTTTAAATGGAAATCTTTTGTATATGTAAACTCCCATCCAATATTGTATGCAAGAATTCCAGTATTTCATACAGGACCTAACTAAATGACAAGTCTCCACTTGCCATATGTTCATGTTATGTATGGTTTCAAAATCATATGGTTCTTGTGTTATTTTTTCCTTATCTGTACATCTATGTAAAATGGAATGATGTATATAGTTTGAAATTTATGTAAAATAATATTTAAAAAATCCATGCTTCCCAAGTAGACAAATTTCCTTACATTTCTTCAAATTCTTGATAATTACGTGGTCCCAATCCAGGTGCAGTTTCACATCTGGTCGGGTAACCACCTACTCCAGCCATCTGACATGCACATTCAGACAAAATTATTCCAGAAAATAGTCTTAACCGAAATGTTGCAAATACCGGGTATGTGTAGAGCCATCTGTATAATAATGATCGATTTGCATATTCTTCAGATACGGTATACTAAAATAGAAACAAAATGAATCGTAATTATGCTTATTATTCCTTATCTATATTGTTTTGTATGCTTAAAACCAAAGTTCTTTCTACCTCTGTAGGAAATGTATAATTCATTATGAGAAAGAGTACAGACAATACTGTAGCTTGTTTTAATTTATATAATGTTAGAGGCCATGGATCGATGTAATCAGAGAAGGGTCTATGTATCGAATCCCAATATGTTCTATAACGATAGTAGGGACCTGTGAAGAACACAATAATATAAATGCATGTTTATGTTCATTCCTATCGATATTGTTGTTGTTGTTATTGTTACATGTATATTTTTTAACTCTAATTAAATATATTACGTTGAATTACCAGTCAAAACTCCCATGTAACTTAGACCGTAATGGAAAACATCCATAAAAGTAATTTTTTTTAAAGCCACAGAGTTAACTCCTTGAGGATCATTTGGTATCTTCATAGCAGCAGCAGAGTTTATTTCAAATGCCAATCCGGACAACTTCAATGTAAGAATCATTTGAACTAAATTTGTATGTGCAGGTGGTACCGGCATACCAACCAAGTGTCCCAATCGGAAGATAATAAGTAAATAAAAAAATGAAAAGAATAAACTTGCTAAATGGCATATTCTGTAAATAAAAGATAAAAATGTAATAAAATATTATGAGATAAACTTTGAAGAAGAATACACCTATGAATTTAATATTATATGCACTTACATATCGCAGCATGTAGATGTACTATAGAATATAATTTTTTTTTTTATGTATGTAGTAGGAACCAAATTACAATATTATGCTATTTAAATAAATACTAAATATTCGATCACATATTAATCAATTTTATTTGAGAACATTTATCATAATAGAGCATAATTACTTCAATTAATTTCCCGTGAAAAAAAGAAAAATAAAATAATTTAGAATTTCGAATTCTAAAATTATATAAAAAAGAAAAAAAAAAAAAAAAAAAAAACAAGGTGCAGTAATAGATGTAATTTCATTTGGAACTTTGGACTCTGTATTCGTATTACAAAACAAAAAAATAAATTATGAAATATTCAACGATTTTATGCTTATTTCGTTGAAATACTTTGTTATATAAATGTCAGATTAAAACCAAAATATTTGAACTTCGTATGTTAATATTTAATAGATGAAAATGTCTTATATTGCTATTCTTATGACTACGAAATAGATCGATTGTGTCGTACTTCCAAGAAAGCCTGGTCACGATGACCGCATTAATTAACAGGCAGATGAGGGGGTGCATCACATGAGTTCCAGAAACAAGTATAATTAAAAGTAAGCCAAAACTTGTACTGATCCATTGTCTCTCGTGAGGATTTTTAAACTTTCGATAGACAACTCCGAAAGCTACACAGGAGAGTAACAAAGATACGTAAATGACGTCATCACGAAACATGGTTCCTGTACGTGCTCACTAAGAGGACTGAAGGGGACTCCAAGCGGTTCAAAGTGTATTTGTATATGCATTGCGGTAGAATACTTAATGCCATCTAGCGGAAAAATGATACTTAAAAATACAGGGCGCAGATAACAGCACACCACACAAGTAATTTTTATCACACGTGGATGTGTTGAAATTTGTATTCTTTTATATTACTTATATATCTCTTTTGTGTATGTGTATGTGTACGTGTGTGTGTGTGTTGTATACTACTCGAGTGTTTCAACAACTTTCCTTCTTATCATCTTAATAAGAAATGTCTAATGTTAAATGTGATTGATTTATTATAATTGCAATTAAATAAACAAGAAAAATGAAGACACGATTTAATACTTACGATCTTGTTTGTTCCGTAACGGAATTACAAAGGTAAATTATTTATTTATAACTTGTTATATAGAGTTAATTTGTTGCTTTACAATTAGGTTATGATATGACATAAGTTTTGTTATTTGATGCAATTCAATTCTTTTGTTAAATCATTTTCATTCCTTGTTAGAATTATTATTTTTGACAATTTTTATAGGTTAATTGGTATGCGTGTCAATCAAATATACAATGTTGATCATCGTATATACTTGATACGTTTTCAAAGAAGTGAAGAGAAATGTATCCTGTTAATTGAATCTGGTAATAGAATGCATACTACAGCTTTTGAATGGCCCAAGAATATAGCACCGTCGAGTTTTGCAATGAAGGTAAATTGAATAATATATATTTCTGTAACTGTAACTGATGTTACAAGCGAACAGTAATTTAATTTTTCATGTTGCATTCATACAATCTTTCAAATACAGATGAGGAAACATTTAAAAAATAAGAGACTTGAAAGTTTAAAGCAAATCGGAACTGATCGTATAGTTGATTTACAATTTGGCAGTGGAGAGGCTGCATATCATATAATATTAGAAGTATATGATAGAGGTAATATCGTTTTAACAGATCATGAAATGACAATTATAAATATTTTGAGACCTCATACAGAAGGCGATAAAGTTAGGTAAATGTCTAAGAAAAATGATAAAAATGATTAAGAATATGATTTTATATTTTGTTAATATCATTTGATAATGTTACATTGTAGATTTGCAGTTAAAGAAAAATATCCATCTGATCGTGCTTATACCTCGACTATGGCACCATTAGAAGATATTAAGAAGAAAATAGAATCTGCTAAGTCAGGTGAAAATTTAAAAAAAATTCTGAACCCTCTTGTGGAATTTGGTGCTGCTGTAATCGAACACGTTCTATTGCAAGCTGGTTTTCCATCCGGATGTAAAATTGGTAAAGATTTTGTTATCGAAAGAGACATGCCCAAGTTAGCAGTAGCTCTGCAGAATGCAGATAATATGCTGAATGACGCAAAAAAAAACATTTCCAAAGGTTACATTATACAGAAAAAAGAAATGAAGCCATCTCCGGACAATAAAGAAGAGTATATATTTACCAACGTAGAATTTCATCCCTTTTTATTCGAGCAATATAAAAATTGTCCTTTTAAAGAATTTGATTCTTTTGATGTCGCAGCTGATGAATTTTTTTCTACAATGGAAGGACAAAAGCTTGACTTAAAGGCTTTACAGAAAGAAAAAGAAGCATTGAAAAAATTAGAAAACGTTAAAAAAGATCACGATCAAAGATTAATTACATTAGAAAAAACCCAGGAATTGGATAAGTGGAAGGCAGAATTAATTTCTAGAAATCAAACTTTAGTAGACAATGCAATTTTTGCTATACAAAATGCGCTTGCAAATCAAGTATCGTGGCCAGACATTGAGATTTTATTAAAAGAGGCACAAGAAAGAGGTGATTCAGTTGCTTCTGCTATCAAACAGCTGAAATTAGAAAAAAATCACATTGCATTATTATTAAGAGATCCTTACGAAGAAAGTGACGAAGAGTCAGAATTAAAGCCTACTATTATAGATATTGACTTGGCATACAGTGCTTTTGGTAATGCAAGAAAGTATTATAATCAAAAAAGGTCAGCAGCAAAAAAGCAACAGAAAACTATAGAGTCCCAAGACAAGGCTTTAAAATCGGCAGAAAAGAAAACTAAACAAACATTGAAAGAAGTACAAACAATACATAGTATTAATAAAGCAAGGAAAACATATTGGTTTGAAAAATTTTATTGGTTCATATCTTCTGAAAATTATCTTGGTAAGTTGAGAATGACTGTACGAAAAAAATTACATAATAACATATTAAAATTTTGAATGGATTACAGTAATCGGTGGAAGAGATCAACAACAAAACGAATTGATTGTAAAAAGATATCTTAAGAGTGGAGATATTTATGTTCACGCAGATTTAACAGGTGCTAGTTCTATTGTTGTTAAAAATCCTGGAGGTGGACCTATACCTCCTAAAACTTTGGCAGAAGCAGGCACAATGGCTGTAGCTTATAGGTGAACAAAATTTATATTTTCTACATTAATGTTTACACAAATATTATTTATGGTACTTTTAATATTAACTATAAAGTGTGCATTTATACATGTTTAATACAGTATTGCTTGGGAAGCTAAAGTAGTTGCAGGAGCATGGTGGGTAAATAACGATCAAGTATCAAAAACTGCACCAACTGGTGAATACCTTAGTACTGGATCCTTTATGATACGTGGTAAAAAGAATTATTTACCACCATGCCAATTGATAATGGGTCTTGGTTTTCTATTTCGTTTGGAAGATGGTTCCATTGAACGGCATAAGGATGAACGAAGAGTAAGAGTTATAGATGATGAGATTGAAAGGAATGAAACTATAGTTGAAATAGATAAAGAAATAGAAGTAGAAGAAAACAGTGATGAAGGTAAAATATAGATATAAATTTACATATATCAAATAATTTGATTTGATATCTTGTAATGTTGATGTATATTATTTAGACGAAGATTTGGAAAATCCAACACAATTAGATTCTATCAAAGAGGAATCTTTTATGGAATCCGACATGATGCCAAAAGAAGATGAAGGTAAACATGATAGTGCTAGTGATGAAGACACAGATTTTCCAGATGTACAAATTAAAATTGATTATTCAACATTAAGGTATTACGATACGTTAATCTTATAATTTAAACAGTATGTAATATTATTTCATATTTTAACAGAGTGGAGCTTCACGATGAAAATGGTTCTATAGATAAAAAAAATGAAGAAAATGTTAGTTTTGTTGGTAAATCTATGTTAATAAATTCTAATAAAGAAGGAACTACAAAATTGACTCAACAATTGCCTTTAAAATCTGATAAAGAAAGTAAAAAGCTTGAGCAAGGTCAATTGAAGAGAGGTCAAAAAAGTAGACTTAAAAAGATGAAAGAAAAATATAAAGATCAAGACGAGGAAGACAGGCACTTGGCTATGGAAGTTTTACAAGTGAGTTAAATAATGTAATTTCATGATTGCATATATAAAGCTGTCGTATATTCTATAGTCAGCAGGAGCAGCAAAAGAAGATAAACGTCGTAACAAACATAAAGATCCATCCGGCCCTAAACAACAAGGAAAGAAAAAAGGAAATGCAAGGCCGCCTATGGTAAAAAATACTAATACTGATAATATTGATGAAGAAGATGTAGGACCAGCACCCGAGATGGATATGTTAGACCAATTAACAGGAAAACCAGTTCCCGAAGATGAATTATTATTTGCTGTTCCTGTTGTAGCACCTTACAATACCTTATTAAATTATAAGTAAGTATATCATTTTTATTATTATTATTCTTTTTTTTTTTTTTTTATAGATTTCTTGCAACATATTTGCTTATTTCAGATTTAAAGTAAAATTAACACCAGGTACAAGTACGAGGGGAAAAGCTGGTAAGACTGCCATAGCTGTATTTTTAAAAGATAAAGAGATAACTTCGCGTGAAAAAGATATGTTAAAAGCTGTTAAAGATGAATCAGTAGTTCGAAACATACCTGGAAAAGTGAAAATAAGTGCACCTCAAATTCAAAAAATTAAAAAATAAATAGTATTTCTTGAATAACGGTATAATTTTACGTATACTTATGATTGTATATTATAACTAATTATAAGTATATTTAAGTCTGTTTATTACTGATTGATCAATAATGTTTTATGAAAAGTGTACAAAAAAATAAAAAAAAAGGGATGGTCGAAAAAATAAATTAAATTAATATAAATCTTGTACACGTACAAACCATATATGCTAAAGAAATTTAATATTTGAATATTTACACCAATAATTTTTCATAAGAAATTAACAAAAGTAACAAAACTTGATATTTATTTATCACTCTTAAATAACGCTTAACAGTTTAATTTGTTTTATTTCAAGAAATTTAGACTGCATAGTAGTTAATACTTCAACGCAATGATTGTAAATATGCTTATATGAAATTTTCTTTTTTTTTTTTTTTTACATTTTTTTTTAGTAATCAACATTAAAAAAAAGTCTTCTTTTCTTTCATTATTCACATTATGTATGAAAATAATTCAAATATGTTAAGTTTGCAAACAATATGATTTTTGCAGCATCTCAATTATAAATTATGTTGATTTCAAAGGGTATATAAAATATTTATGTATGTACATTAAATATAGAAAATGGGTATTACAACAATATTTTTTATAACACTGAATGATTGTAGTATCATTAATCAATCTTGAAACATATCTTCATCTGATGTATCAGAATGGATTGTAGTTTTGAGTTTCGAATTTTCCTTTAGAGATTTTACCGGTCTTGATTTAGTTCCCTTTGATATAATCTGGAAAGATGGATATAGTTTAATTAAGCATATATAGTATAGAAAGAAATTGTTTGATGAGAGTATAAAGAGATACACCTGGTGACGAGAGATGACAGTTATTGTATGTTTAGCGAATAAGTTTTGTAATTTAGAAAGAGAAAAAAGAATAAGATTGACATAAGAGAATAAACTTTGAATGTCGTTTCTTTAATTACAGAGCAATAAATAAGAGTTTATTTTCTATTGTCAATCCTACCTTCATAAATATTGTTATACGTATATAATAAAAGAAATGAAATTTTCTTACTTCCGCACTATCAGATTCGGAATCATTAAAATAATAGTTCTTTGTTTTAGTTTTAGTCACTTTTTTAGTTTTCTCTTTTGTAGGTGTCTTCTTTTTGATCTTTGATTTTTTAATAATCTTAATATCATATTCTTCATCAGGTTCATCAGAAGATTTAATATCGCTCAGTGCCTTTTTTAAATCATCTAATCTAGCACGTTTTTTATCAATTACAACACCTACATTACTATCATCTAGGGCATTATTTCTCATAGGACTTGCTGTTTTCGCACGCGGACTTGATCGTTTTATTCCAACTATTTTATTTATTTTCTTAGGAGTAGATTTAGATACGGCAGCTTTTTTAGTTGGATTAGATGTGTTAGTAAATTCTAATTTCCCATCCGGTGTATGATTTAATTTCTTCAAACCATTAGTTAAAATTTCAATAAATTTTTTATAATTTGGCGTATCATTAAATTTCATTGCTTCTAATAACTTCATGTATTTAAGTACTGGTTCAGGTGTTAAGCCATCAAAACATTGATCCAAAAATGTTGGAAGATTTTCAAAGGCTTTTTCTTTTTCTTTTTGTACAACATTTGGATTGAGTGGTACTGAATTTTTATCCCACGGAAGAGCGCCGGATAACCATTGTATTATATTATATCCTAAGATTTCGAAATCACCTCTCATTGTAGGCACTGTATAAAAAAACACCATATGCAAATATTTAATATATAAATACAAAGTAAATGATTTAATTAAATTCCTTTTTTCTTGTATACTTACAACCTACGTGAGCATCTCTGCTAGTATACTCGATAGTTCCATCGTGTGCTCTTTTCGGATCTGGTTTATATTCTGTTTTAGTTGTGTATCGTGTTGCTAAACCAAAATCTACTAAATACACTTGATCTGGATACTTTATACTCAATAATAAATTAGATCCTTTAATGTCAGCATGAACATATGCTTTGCTATGAATGTATTCTAATACGTTTATCTAAAATTAATTACACGGAATATTGTTGAATGTTATGAAATGTTAAAAATTCTTAAAAGAAATTATTGTAGGATTCGTGACAAAATTGGACCGTTAGACTGACTAGACTATATACATCTTAATAAAAGATAAATCGACTCACTATTTGTATAGCTACTTTATATACTGTATGTTCTGGAAATCGTTTATTTTGTTTAAATAACTTCCACAAGTCAGTACCATATCTGTCCATTACCAAAAACCGATATTTAACATTTTTATGTTCATGGCTTCCAGAGGCAATATAATTGGGCATACCAAGTACCGATAACTTTTTTTTTGTTTTCCAAGCTTGAACTAAAATAAGTGATATAATATTTCAATGAAAACATCGCTAATTAAATACTGTCATTTTTTTGTGAAAAGAAATTTTTTAGAATATAGAACCCACTGTCTTCTTTCTTTGCTTGTCTCATATAAAAATGCATTTCAACAAACAATGGCCCATTTTCGTGAGGTTCCTGACAGAGAAAATTTATAATAACAATTGTTAATATTATTTTGACATAATGACATTACTTTGAAAAATATAATAATACTTACTATTTTTATTACGTTAGGAAAATTTTTAGGAACTTTGTCTCCATAAGCTGCACCTGCAGTCAAAAAAATATTTAATTAAAGGTAATACAAAATGGAAAAGAAAAAGATTATAAAGAAACACCATACATACCAGAATAGACTTCTCCAAAACCACCTACACCTATTGACTTATCAAGAATCCATTTTTTCCCTTTAATATCGGACAATATAGTTCCGGTGGGTATAGGATCAGGCATTTTATATAAATTGCCTTTTTTCTTGGGTACTTTTTTTGCCACTTTTGCGCACATTTTTAGGTTATTGTTATAACACTTATTAATAAGGATTAAATATAGATGAAAACCCAGTATGAATAAAAAAACGTGGTGACGTATTATTATACAAATGACAGGAAGAATAAAACTTAAAATTAAAAGAATAACCTATTGCCAAATATTAAAAGGAATAATGGATTTTGTAAAATGATCGTTGAAATAAAATATAAAAAGTAATTCAAACGCGGGCGCCGGAAATACAAATTAATAAAGCAAAGTGGTAATAACAATGTCCCTATACATATTTTTCAATGCCACCTACATTTAGAACTTTGACAATTTGAATTTATTTTAATTTATTACTAATTGGAATATTAATTATATTTTTATAAAGCGAAAAAAAATACAAAAAATTTATCATTTGTTTAAAATACATTGTTACTTTCAAAAATATTCAATGACGGAAATCGATGTGGAACGTTTACGTTGGTAGCCATGAAAGAGTTTAACTAGTATTCTCTGCGCGCGGTTTGATTGTTCGAAAATGTCAACCGACGTTTAGACGGATTTCATGGATTTTTTAGTAGAATTGATTAAGTTAATAAGATAATAATAGTTTTAAATGCATTAGAAATGACATATACAAATATATTGTTTTTATTACTGTAAATATACTATATAATAAGTGGAAAAGTTGTTTTAAAGTGGCGTCGGTTAGTCAATGCTCATACGAGTTATCTTTTTAGGTTATCTTTTTAAATGGAAGATTCGGCGGTCGAATTGCTCGATTCAAAATCTGACATAAATGGTGTATTTGGCGAGTCAGTTGATACGAGCTCCAGTATGAACGATGCCGATGACGAAGGGATTGAACGCAGTTCCAATTATGGCAATTGTACGCCACAACAATCCTTAAAGCTTAGGCACGTTGATAATTCAATTTTCAATACAATATCTAAAATAGTTAATCCCACCGCAAAGGTGAGTAATCGAACGTATTGTCATACATTATGACATATTTTTATGCATTATTATGATTTTAAAAAATATATTTTTACATTTAATGTAAATTTGATATCACTGATAATTTCAAACTTATTTTTGTTTGTGATAAATATTTATATATTGACTTTCTATTTTTAGGTGCCCGACATACAAGATTTTAAAATTGTGAAACCAATAAGCAGAGGAGCATTTGGCAAAGTTTTTCTAGGACATAAGAAGTCTAATCCAGAGCAATTGTATGCTATTAAAGTAATGAAAAAAAATGAAATGATTAATAAGAATATGGCATCTCAAGTTATAATAGAAAGAAATGCATTAGCATTGACGCACAGCCCTTACTGCGTGCAACTTTTTTATTCTCTACAAACTGTAAGCAGTGTATACTTAGTCATGGAATATATGGTTGGAGGTGATCTTAAGAGTTTGCTCGGCGTTTATGGTTACATGGAGGAAAGCATGGCAGCTTTTTATACGGCTGAAATATGTTTAGCTCTCGAATATCTTCACTCTCACGGTATAGTTCATAGGGATTTAAAACCAGATAATATGTTACTTTCCCGAGAGGGACATGTTAAACTGACAGATTTTGGTCTCAGCAAGATATCATCCTTGCATAGGGATCTTGAAATATCTGATTTAGTCAATTGTACACCTAATCTTTGCACTCGAACTCCAGGACAATTACTTTCTTTAACATCTCATTTGTCTTTCGGTTCTGGGCAACAATCAATCAATGATTCAATAAGCAGTAATGAAAGTGCTAATGCTATTCAGATGATGTCAGCTTTACAAAGAAATTGTACTAAAATACAATCGTCTCCTAATTCGGAAATTTCATCGACTGACGCTACTTCTTGCGATTATTCTCGTGTATCTGGTATTACACCGTTTCAATCCGCAGAAGATTTAAGGATTGTAAACGAATATGAATCAAATATGAGGACTGAGAATATGAGTGAAGAGAGTTCAAGTAGTTATCACACATGTGAAGCATCCTCGAGTAATACAATCAATCCTATCAATCGTAACGTAGAAAACGAAGATGAATCTACGTTAGAAGCAGAACAATCACAACATTTACTTATCCATACGAGTCCCGTAAGTACCTGTGTAAATTCGTTTGGACGAGGAACGAAAAGAAAAAGGGTTACGGCAGATTCAACATGTGATTTAACACGTGAAATTTGTCTCATGGAATTGGATGTAGATAAAACACCAAAAAGACAAAACCGCGGTACATCGTATTCCTGTGAGAGCCCTAAATCAATTGACAGGGACTTAGCGTCGAGCGAGATAAGTTATGAAAATGAAGATCAAAATGTGGATAATTGTAGCGGTGGTAGTTCAGGTGGTGGAGTTGCTTTTAGTACACCGGTATCTTCATTTAGTAACAATTCCGAGAGTACAGATCAGATAGAAAAAACGTCTCAGGATAATTCATCTACTATTCCTCCGGTGAAATCAACAAGATTTTATCTTCCACCTGCAATGTCGACGGAATTTACTCCAGATTCTAATGCCAATCCTACGGAGAGTGAAGATATTATATCTCCGATTAAGACACCCGCACCTTCGAGTAGCAATTGCACGACTTATCGTACACCCAAGTCAGTTAGAAGAGGTTTAGGTGCCGGTAATGGTCGGTCGGAGGAACGTATATTAGGTACACCTGATTATTTAGCACCGGAGTTGCTTTTGCGTCAAGGCCACGGTCCTGCAGTCGATTGGTGGGCTCTCGGTGTTTGTCTCTTCGAATTTTGTACAGGAGTACCACCGTTTAATGACGAGACACCACAGGCAGTCTTTGCTAATATTCTTGCGAGAGACATACCTTGGCCGGAAGGTGAGGAAGCTTTGTCTTGTGCAGCTATGGAAGCAATAGGTGCACTTCTTACGCTAGATCAATCCGTACGGCCAACCGCGAAAGAAGTAAGGGATATGAAACTCTTTGAAAATTTTCCTTGGAACGAACCATTAAAGGCTGTTCCTCCTTTTATACCACAACCGGATGACAATTATGATACGTGTTATTTTCAAGGTAAGCTTTTCATTCTTTTTTACTTTCTTTACTCCTAAGTATAATATTGCAATATTTGATTTTTAGCAAGGAATATTCTTCAGCATCTTAATGTCAGTAGCTGCGACACGTAACAATTATTATTATTATCCCGAAGAGTCCATAACGAATTAAAAACGATTAAATTAGTAAAATTACAATAATTAAATATATATATATATAGTAGACTATAATTGTTACGATATGTATAGTTTTATTATAATTTTTATTTTTATATACTGGTGTATGTAGATCATTATGAAAATATTTTGTTATTACATACAATCGACGAGTACGGTCTACACAAGTATCTATAATAGAAACGTCCGTAAGAGAATACGTAAAATATGTACGAGATAAATGTTGTGATGAGAATTTACGAAATGAGATGGAATATACGTCATATTTTCTGTTTTCTCTTAAGATTTTCTTCTTCATTTAAAGTCATTTGGATTTAAATATGGAAAATGCGCTTAGTATTTTTTTTTTTTTTTAACGATTTTACATTATTTAAATGAAATGTGAATAGAGAGAGGAATAGAAAATCAGTGACTTATTTAAGATTCTTGTAGATCCAAGGTAGAAAATGCGTTACTCTTGTATAAACACCAGGATACTGTCCTTTTCCACAACCGATTCCCCAACTAACGATACCTACTTGAGTCCAACGACCGTCATTGACCATTAAAGGACCTCCACTATCACCCTGTAAAATATGTAAGTTGTAACCATTGTTATTGAAATGGTCATTGAATATTTCTTGTCAAAATCTTTCAATTGTAAAAGTAGAAATATTTGACAAACCGAACAGGAGTCCATAGCGGCCTGTCCGGCGCACAAGAAACTGTCGACAATACCACCGGGTGCCGCAGCGCCGTATTTAAATTTACATTCTTTATTCGACCAAACTGGAATTGAAACTTCTTGAAGTATTGCTGCTTGGGGACCACCTTGTTAAACAACAATACAGATATCGGTTAAAAGGGAAGTTGTTACTTATTTTTAACATGTACTTATAGCGTCTTTTAAATATCTTACTTTCTCTCAAGGAGCCCCAACCGATGACAGTTGCGGTCATTCCAGTATAAAGCTTCGAACCACTTGGCAAACAAATGGGTCGAATCTGTTCCGTAAATTCGACCGGCTCGCTCATCGTAAGAATAGCTACGTCGTTGTAAAGAGTACGCGAGTTAAAGTTTCTGTGTCTTACTACTCGTTTAACGCGTCTTTCAATGTGACGTATCTCGCTGTTCGTCTTGATATTGTAATCTCCAAGATGAACCGTTAATCTTGCTACATCCCAAGAGTTCATGCTGAGAATAAATTGAAAACGAATGATTTATCTATACGTTCGATATTAAGAAAGAATGCAAGAAACATAACGTTAACGTACTTAACGACACAATGAGCAGCAGTAAGTATGTGTTTATTGTCAATTAAAGATCCGCCACAAAATTGACGTCCAGCATTAAAGAGTGCAGCGATCCATGGCCATTCATCAGGATCAGCATCCTTACCACCGATAATGCGTTCTTGATCTTGATTACCATTCTTTGCTCCACATTGAGATGAGTCTATCGACGAGAAAGTTGTCGAGCTTGGTTTGTTCGTTGTCGAAATCGTTGGGGCACCTGGCCACCAAGTCGGTTTTTTCGTTGGCCACGTTGTTGGCACACCAGGTTTTTTTGAACTCGTTGTAGAGGGATTCAAAGTGGACGGTGAAATTAACCCGTGAGAGGGAGGATGAGTGGGCAAAGGTGGGATTGTATTATCCGGTGAATGAGTTGGTAATGGTGGTGGCCAACTGGCTGTTGGTATCGGTTTTGGTCTTGTTACCGTTCCCGTTTCATCTTCCTTGGTTTTAGCATCTTCTATCTAAAATGTTTGACTTCAATTGTTTAAGAAGGCGAAAACATTCTTGCTAAATTGCTCGCGTTATGGACCTGAAGGAATGCTCAAGGACGAGGTAATAAAGCGGATCGTAAAAAGCCGTTTGTGAAATCTTATTGTTATTGTTGGGTAGTAGATGATAGGATTCTTAAACTTTCTACTGCAGGCCTTAATTGTCTTCACCATCGAACGCGAATTCGCAGTCGTGTAATTGATGTAGGAACGAAATAGGATTTGGAGTAAGTTTTACGAGCTTGGTATAAGAAGAAACGTTAGAGATTACTAAGAAGGATTCACCTGTGGATTTTGCTCGTTTTGACCGTCGCAATTTTCCCCGCCGGGAACAGCGGTAGGATTCAAGTTGGAACAACAAATTCCGAAACTTGTACGGCCGTCTTCAAGAATGAAACTGCAGGTATCGTAAACTCCAAGAACCCAACCATCGAGAGCACCAAGATCAGGTATTTTGAAATAGGGATAACATTCCTTGAATGTAGTGCATCGTCCAATTTCACCTTTAGATGTAAGACAGCTACCACGCTCTGCGGATCCACTCCAAAGGATGCTTCGACCATCTCTCGACAGAGATGAAGGATCAATTGTATCAACTGCAACGTAAAGCCAAGGAATATAATTAATCAAAGCTCGAATGATAGATGACTCGAGATCATCCAAGAGATTTCTTCAACGTTTAATTTTTTATTTTTGCAAGCATAATATACGCACTTAGTATTATTTATCTTTTTCGATTTTCAACCGTAGTATCTGCACGTTGTCTTATTTACTAAGGCTGAATTGTGGTATGCGAGAATATATACATTTGACGCTTCGGCACGTATTCGAGGCGCATTAACGATGTCCGGTGAGAATGACACATCGCGTACCTTTTATAATAGGCAGAGACCGTTCGTCACGTATTTTTACCAATGATTTTCTAATGATACACAGTGTAGTAGGAACACAACAATTATATTCGAGTTTATGTTAGTTGCAAGCAATTTATAAAGTATTTACAAGTCTAAAATTAGAGAGTTTTATTTTTAAAAGATAATTAACTACAAAGGAAAAAATTAGCTTATTCTTTTATATTATTCTCCATTGATTCTTAACGATCAACTTTGGTGCTAGCTTATAACATCGAGTAATGAGTTATGTTAATCCATGTAGTATTGTTATATCGTGTAGACCGCAGACAATGTGATCGGAAATCTGATGACATCATCTTACGAGTGTGTTTACCCCGAGACGAACAATGTGTTCCTCGTTCGATCTAAGATTTCTGAGGACGATTATACAAGTACGTTGGCAATAAAATTCCATCGAAGAATCTGAGAAGGTGGAGTTCGCTGACCCTGGTAGTCATACTGCGGTACACGTACGACGAGGTTGATGCGCGCCTGGAGGACTTCCGTTTACCGTCTATGGAACGATAAGAACGATCGTAGTAACGATTTATCGTTGATCAAGATTATTGTCCTTGTGAGAAAAACAACAATCAACGAGATCGATCATTTCATTAATCGTTATTATTTTATATAGGTACACGTAAGATCAAAAATTCGACATACATCTAATATTAAACGAAAACGATGGACTTCTTCTCAAATGTGGTTTATTTTCCAAGCTAAGTCAGGAATGACATCGTAGATCAGTTAATACAAGCTTGTTCTTACCTTCGACAACGATCGCGTCATCCTCTTCTCGATGGAACTCGTTGTACCAACGATCAGAAATAGATGATTCAGGAATCAGCTGAACGTCAGACGTAATTTCGGACGAGACCCTTGTGATTCCTAGGAATCCCAGAAACACGAGTAGCGTTGTTAACAATTTACTTATTCCTCGTTTACGCCGCATCCCGCAAATCTTGTAGCGTTTTATGAAACGTACGCGCGTTAGCAATGAAAGGTCTACGACTATGTCGTTGTCGTCGTCGCGTGGATCCGCGTTCGTATCTGAACTGCTTAGTCGAGTAGAAGAGAGAAGGTTCAGGATCGGCGTTAAGCTACCAACCTGCCGGGTAGACGCGGACTCGGGGCTTATAACGGGTTCGCCCTTCCATCGACTTACGCTCGCTCTTGCTCTCTAGTCTCAGCAGGTTCCACATCCAAGAATCGCGATCTTCTCTTGTTCTTTTAGCGTCTCTTCAAATACATCGCTGAGGTTAAACATATTCGTTAATCTTTTTTGATCCTTTTACACATCCTTGGAAGATAATGGATCACCACTGGTGTTTGTGTTTCAAATGATGATCAATTCGAAGTTTTTTCTATATCTTTCAAGGAATCAAAGTTGTTGTTTTTTTTTTATCTCTAAGAAGAAAAATGAGATCACGTTGAAAGTAAAAAGATGTAAATTGCAAATCGGTGTTCGTTCTTTTAGAATATATTACATATTTTTCGTGGTAATATTTTTAGATAGACTAATGATATTCTACGACAAGTTTCTAATGGACATTTGAAATTATTGAAAAAGATAAATAAGGTGTCAATAGAATTTTTCGTTGAAAGAAAAAGTGTCGTTTAAATATTTCAACATCAAGTTGTGTAGTAACATAATGGTGTGGATCGTACGGACTCTGACGAAGATCAATGTTCTCGACCAAATGTTTTCTACATTATAACTATGTATCGAAGTTGCTTGGATTATTTGCTTTTGGCATGTATATATGTACGGTTTTTTTTTCGTCGTCGAATGTAAATTGCTTCTCTTGTGCGTGCACAAAATTAGGTAGAAGAATTCGTGTTGGCGCCACTTCAGAATCTCGTGCTATTCTTTCCCGAAACGTGCAAACCGGTTGTGAAGCTTAAAGATATCCAAATGGGGTACGTTGCACTTGCAACGATGGACCTGGTCCTTAGAAAAGGGCATTCCTCTCCGGTGATAAATAAGGATACAAAAAATGGAGAAAAACATTTTAGCATAAACGTTTCGCGAATACAAGGTATCCTTTATTTGCAATATATATTTAACTTGTTCAAAATAATGTTCGTGAAACATTTGGAAAGTTTAGAATGAGAATCGTTAGGATATAACTGTCGTTGTCAAAATGGAATAGAGATAAGCCTTAGAGCTTAGAGGAAATTACCATTTACATTAGGGTTAGTGTCCCCATACAAGGTCGTGGATTCTCGCACAGATCGTCGTGAATAAGACGCGTCACGAGATCAGAATGATCGGGTGTATGATATAAAGAGAAAAATAGAGAATCTTCTTCCCATCATCTTCTTCTTCTTCTTCTTATTCTTATTCTTATTCTTATTCTTATTTTGATTTATCTACCCTTTTAACTTTTTTGTTTTGTTCTACTACAAGATTATGCATACCTGCTAATTAAAAAATCGAGTATGTATTCGTCGTTGATTTAAGATAAATGAATAAAAGGAAAGCTTTTTAATACCACTTTAAATACGAAGATAGATCAAAGTCGAGTGCGTATCATTAAGTTGGTATCATCCGATTGGTCCTTCTTGCTCGATCGTCTCTTATCGATCATCCCGATCCATTTTGGATCCGTTAGAACGATCGATCGATCTGTCGCCAAAATAGCTGTCAGAACAACTTGTCACGTCGCTTCATCCGTGAAGCGATCGTCGAACCCTGACTGCAAAGTCGTCGACACGATTTTTTGTTCTCTTCGCTTGACGTATTCTTCACCTTTCTTTATTCCTTTTCGCCCTTCACTTCTTTTTTTTCCCTTTTCTTTTTTATCCGTTTCTTCTTCTTCTTATACCTTTTCTTTATTTATCAGAGAACCAACCTCCTGTTTATCTTCCCTTATAGGTTTTCGCGCTCTGGATTTCCTTTTTTGAATTCCTTACTGACTGGTTTCCACGAAGACAAAAAAAAGGAACGAATAGATGGAATAGGTGGAGTCCTGTTTATCTGATCCTTTGGCGTGATAGTTCGATATACACACGCTCCTTTCATTTTGTAACTCTTGATTTTAAGTTATTGCAATTTCGAGTATTAAACACGTCAATGTAGATTTAGAGAAAGTAATTTCAAATCAATATTGACACGTTTTCTATTTTTTTAAATTGCAACCCTACCTATCTAGCAACCCACACCTATTGTATTTTTCTGTACAAATTAAAAAAAATAAATCTTAACATAATTATTTTACTATTAAATTTTAGAAGAGGAAATTATTTTGGATTGTTCTATTTTTAAATTATTTAATATTATCGAGTTTAACATTGACAGAGGAATATAATAAAATTCAAAAAGATTTATAAAACGTACTAATATAATATTTATTGTTGCAATAAACATCGAAATAATATAATATCACCTCTGGCACAATCTCACGATGGCAAGACAATGCGACGGAAGAAAGAAAAGATACCACCTTATATTTTATCGTTCTGTTATCATTACTTTCTCTCACTCTCTCTCTCTCTCTCTCTCTCTCTCTCTCTCTCACGTTCTCTCTTTCTTTCTTTCTCTCTTTTTCCGACGACATTTCTACAGTACATTCTCAAAATTAGATATTCCGTCGATTGGTTAAGCGACAGATAAAGAAATAACATTCTTTGCGATAAAAATACGCTTATAACAAAATTTAATGAGATGTCATCCCTTGAGAATCATCATTTTCTCGTTATTTCTATCTTCTTTTATATTGTCATATTTACGTCGTTTTTATTACGATCTCGGCTCGGATCAATAAAAAAGAAAAAGAAAAATAGCTACAAGGAGACAACGAATATTAAATCTTTCATTTATACATATTTCTTTTTACAATAAATTACTACGCGGAATTAAATTAATTTATCGTTTGGAATTTTTTTAGAAAAAATTATTTAAAAAAAATGTGTTTTTACGTGATTTAAAATAGAAAAATTTCAACCAATTAAATAGATTTTCTTTCAAATTCGTAGTCTCATCGTAGCTTTAACATGTCTTTATCCTTCGTAACGTAGGGAAATAATAATTATAATTATAAGTATTACAAAGAGATGATATAATAATAATAATAATAATAATAATAATAATAATAATAATAATAATAATAATAATAATAATAATAATAAAATAATAATAATAATAAAATAGCTCATCGACACAGCCGTTCGTATCCGAAAGAAAGATGCGTCAGAACGGTTTTTTCTTTTCGTAAATGAACGACCAACAGGCGGAAGGGAGCTTAAGGGTAAAGGTGATGATGGCTGCGTTTGGGGGATAAAAAACGGCTTTGATATTATTATTATTTATAAAAATGTCATGGAGCAACGCTAACAATTATAATTAAAAGAAACAAAAATGTTTTACCAACTTCTTCATTGACATATTTGCATACGTACGCAATCGTTTTCTTTTTATATCATTTTCATTTCTCAATCATATACTATTCATACGCAAGCATACTACTCACATGCACGCACGCACACACACACACACACACATATAATCACGCACGTGCGCATTTTCTATAATTTCTGTTTCTCACTTTTTATTATTTGAACGAACCTTTTTTTGCATTCCATATGATTATACATTCTCGTATAAAAATAATATTATACGTATTGTATATCTTTAAAATTAATAGAATCAATAATAATAATAATAATAATAATAATAATAATAATAATAATAATATTATTATTAGCCTATGTAGCGATAGATGTAACAAAATATAGTACTCAATAATAATATGCATTTTACAAGCGTATTTTGATCGTTGCTTTGATATCGGTATCGACAATACGTATGATTAAACGCAAAAACAATATAAATGTCGTGGTGTTGATATTTTTTTAATCTATTCTATATAACGATCTTATAACGAATAACAAGAGAGCGTATGCGATGTGTATAATAGACACACAAACTCACACGCATACACATTAAAAAGCGAACGGACGATCTTATGGTAATAACATTTTAATATTCTCTTCTTTGTTTGTGGTGGCAAACAATTTCTTTCTTGTTCCTTTTTATCCACATTGGCGGTATATTTTATAATATATTATATTATATAATATTATATATTATAATATAATATAATATACACACACACACTATTATATTTGATTCATATAATATTTTATTCGATGTCTATTGATTTAATTCAAATGAATTCTCGTTAGATACGTTACGCTTCGTTTGAATTTTATTATTAATACAGGACAAAAAAATGGCAAATGGTAAGCGCAAAATGTGATTTAATTATTAATACATTGTTATAGTTTTCAGACTTTGAAGAATTTCGATTGTTCGTCATTTTAATGCATAATAAAGCATTGAAACGATTAAAAACTTTGTTATCTATAAAATATCTTCAACAATGATTAAAATTATTGTAGAAATGATGGTAAAAACTTTAACTAATAAAATATAACGTCAACATTCTTACTTTAGTATGATTAATGGAAAGAACACAAATTTTAAAAGATCTACGGTCATGCACTAATGATTTTTTAATTGAAATATTTTTGTCGATGGGAAAAAACATTATTAGGTATATCGGAAAGTTTTTCCTTGTTCCAAAAATATAAGAAAATATCATCGGAAATTTTGATAATTAGAAAATGACGTTATTCTTCTTCCTTTTCCTTTTCTTTTCTTTTCTAGTCGTTGTTAGTCTTTTTCTAGACATATGTTTTTCCTTATTTTCTAACTAGAAAATTTAGTTATTGTTCCCCTTAGGTTCCAATGTCAAATTTTTGTAGATTACCGTTCATCTATTTACTTCAGAACATATCCTGCCCATTGGCATTTTTATTTCAGTCATTAAAATAAAATTGTGTGTGTAGTTATTTTTATTGTCGTCATTCAAAGTTTCAACTATTTTATAATGATTAAACTTTCCGATATCTTTAATAATTTGATAGAAATTGATTATAAGTTCAAATTGAACTTGGTCAAAGATTTGTTGTTTTATCTTCATCTCCCATTCTTATAAAATCTCATTTTGCGACATAATATAAAATAAACAAAATTTAAGCTCTACTATAGAATTAAAGAAAGACAAAAATTAAAGAAAAAATTAAAGGAAAGAAAAAGAATCTCATACAGAAATATAAGTCAGATACACGTACACTTAACATACTTTGCAGTTCCTCTTAAATCAAATTTGTTTGATTTACATTTGACAATCGTTGCGAACAATGATATGTTTCTATTATCTAAAACAGACGATTCTCTTACAATCTACAAATATGTTTCTACTCATTCATTTCTCTGATACTAAAGATTTTAATTTCGCTTTGTGGATATTTATGGTAAATCGCAGCATATATATATACTTGTCTTCTTTTTTTCTTCTTCTTCTTCTTCTTATTCTTCTAATTCTAACGAGTAAACAAGTAAGCACCTTCATTCCAAATAAAAAGGAATTCTTGAAGTGATGCAACGGTCTAATTGTTCCACGAATCCTACACGTTTCCCATCTAACATATCTTTATTAAAATGTCTTTTTTGTTTACTCGTTCGTAATGAGATTGAAGACATTTGAAATATTTGAGATTAACCCTTTACGAAGCAATAACCTTAATTGTGATTTTTTTTCGGTAACATATAGCAAATGGCAAATGTTTACAAAAAAAGAAGTTAAACACTAAATTGACAATTTCATTATATCTTCGAATTGTTATTACAGACAGTCATGTTAATACCATTGTGACTACCGACAGTTGAACTTCTTTTTATGCATAATAATTATTAAAGAATAATAATCGCGATGATTTTGATTTGTAGATATATCTCGAGCAAGCCGAAGTACAACATTTGAGAATGCAATCAGTTTGGAGGTTTGCCATCAGCGTATATACACCGCTTAAAAGTCATTCCGCCGCTTTTGATAGATTTTGAAGTACGATTGATTGACGTAAGGGCTTAAAATATGACAATCGAGCTATTATTCTTGATTTCATAGAAAAACTAGAAAAAACGAACGTTCCAACTAGTTCGGTATTTCACACCAGTAGAGATCGATTTAACATTCTCCTAATTATCGCATAACTTATAGGATAACTCTTCGGAGAACTTAAATTATCTTTTATAATTGACTTAACGCATTTTATTATTTACATGTCAAAAGGTTTAGTGTGCCCACCATATTTTAGTTTCCATTCTCACGTGTTTCCACTTTCGTGAACGTGCCCGTGTGTATGCGCGTGGGTCGAATTGGCGAGGGGTGAATGAGCGAGATGAGGTGGCGACGATGGTAGTTCGATGAGCGTCACGTCATAACCACTCGAGGGTGCATCACCGGGATCGTTTGGATCACTAGGGGAGCCAGGATTTGTTGCATTTCTTTCTGAGTCGCTGGTCAATCTCGAATGACTCACTTCCAAAAGGAATAAATCTTCGTCCACGTAAAATCTGATCATGTCGTCATCAATTTTCGCCGTAATGCTGAAACATTCAAAGCAAACAAAAATACGTTCTAGCATGATTCAATCAATTCTTAGAACAATGTTTTACTTATTTCTTTTTTAGGAGATATATCATACATATAAAAAACATTTGTGTCGCATGACTATAGTAACAACAACAGGACAACGGGGATTTTTAGGAAGAATAGGAAGACAGGCGTGATTTTTTTTTCTTTTTAGGTTAAAAACACATGCCAAAAGTTAGTACAATAATGTAGCCAAGCAAAAAATAATGCAGTTGTTTGCGTGACTGATGATAGCGAAGCTGTGTGATAAGCGAAAAAATATGGTAACAGTAGCAACGTGTATGTAGCGTCAGTGATTTAACAAAAAAAAACAAATCAAAAAGAAAGAGAAATTAAGAAAATAAGAAGAAAATGGAAAAGAGGAAGTTGAAAGAGAGTGCAGCATTAGTAGTAGTATAGTAGTAGTAGTAGTAGTAGTAGTAGTAGTAGTAGTAGTAGTAGTAGTAGTAGTAGTAGTAGTAGTAGTAGTATATNGTATAGTAGTAGTAGTAGTAGTAGTAGTAGTAGTAGTAGTAGTAGTAGTAGTAGTAGTAGTAGTAGTAGTAGTATATCTATAAAATTTGATGCCAAAGTTTGCAACGGTATAGATAACGAGAGCGCATTTGAAAATCCTAAGGAAAGAGGTTTATCAAATATCGTAGAACGATCGTTTTTCTTTCTTTTCGCAAGAGAACGCGTAATAGCAGGAGAAAGACTACCAAACCGGAGAGTCAGGTAATGTCACCGTTATGGCATGCACTACGTAACGCGTGCATGCAAGTAAAGATGACACTCTACTAAACTTACCCCTTTGTGTTTTTGCGATAGAGGTTATTAATACTCGAGGATGCAATTTTGTACTTTGACTCAATCTGCAAAATAGAAAAAAGTAGAATATTAGAATTTTGACAGTGATACGGATCTTCGTTCTTTCGTGCTCGTTTTGTTACACTTTCTTTTCTTCGAAAGAATGAAATAGAAAGAGAGAGAGAGAGAGAAAGAGAGAGAGAAAAAGATAAAGACTAATAGTATAAGAAAAAGATAGAGAAAAAAGAGGTAGAGAAAGAGATCAATGCACGCGTGATTAAGGAAAAAATAGATTTAAAAAAAACAGAACACCTAGGTAGAGATGAAGAAAAAAAATAATAGAAAAAGTATAATGATCGGTCAACTAATTGCAAGGAAGACTCGATGCCGACCGATGAAACGCATTAACGAAGAGAGACAAAACTGTCGCGACCGTGCCGGAATAATATCAATTGTTTTCCACTTTTTTCTTACATTGATTTTCATAAAAAGAAAACCACTCGTTATAGTGCAACTAACATAGATTAGTCATCGTACACCACTACGACGGTTTTTCTCGACGAGAGTTTCATTGTCGAACTTTTTTTTCGTCGTTCGATAGCATCACATCTAGCATATACATATACACCGTTGTTACTGTTTTCTTCTTTCGCGTGTCTAATACACGCGATTATTAATATAGGATTTTTAGAAAAAGTCAGGCATGCGCAATATTAATATTAATTAGCGACTGATACAGTGCAAACGAATTGATTATTTGTCTTGATGGCTCAACAACATGCATGGATAATATTCGGTGAATCGTCTTTCCTGAATACCCCTTGTGTAATGTTTGTATATGTGCATTTATATTTGCGTTTATGCATTCACGTAATAAATAAGTTAGTGATATTTGTCAAGGGTCGTTCGTGATAAAAAAAAAAGAATTGCTCGCTAGGCGTGGATTTGGATATATAAATAATAAATTGTCGATAAATGTGACGTATGTTTTTTCGTGTAAAAAAGATCTCTCGGTTCTTACAGCATTTAGCAGTCCTTGAACGGTCGGTGGTGTTACATGAAGAGGGGTGTAAACGTCTTCGGATTCTTGACGAACGTAGAGCATTACGCGTTCCTCGGCATCGGCTGGACGCAAATGCGATGGTTGTTGCTGCAGGTGCAGGCGATTACCGACACTTGAAACTACGGTACCAGCTAATCCAGCCTGTTGTACACCCTGGAGCACCGAACCTTGGAGTTCCTGCACCTGCATCAATAAGGAGTCCTTCTTGTCGTGTAGATTACTGAGATTGTCGGGCGGAAAGTGGTTGTGGAACTTCAAGGCTGGCAGGCTTGGTCTGCCACACGGATATGGGCTGCTACCCCCAGCCTTCAATCCTCCGCCCTCGCCGTTACTCAGCGACGAGGTGTCGGTATCACCACCTCCACCGCCGCCACCGCCTCCGTAGAAACTAGACAATTCCATCGTCGAGAACTGTCGTCAAAAGAAGAAACATATTTTTATCTATCGCGACATATTATTCCCTCTCTCTCTCTCTTTCTCCCTTTTACATATTTTTATTTGGTGGAGGGTCGTGGCGAAGTCGAGAGCAGAGGATCGTGGCGTATTTTTCTTACTACATTTAAGATTTGTTCGTTTTTAATGAAAACTTTGCTTAATAATTTAGCAATACTCGCGATCGAAGAATTGGGGGTGCAGATATTCTTTGAATTTGATTTCTATCATAATTATACTCATAGAATGGTAAAAATGTTCACTGATTGGATTTGATGGAATACCTTTTCTATTGTATGCTCGGCCGGTGGTGAAAATAATACGGGTGGTTTATGGAGATCTACCATAGAATAAAATTCGCTACGTTCAGTGACGGAATGATAAAGTTCGTCGAGTTTTTTCCTACCCGTTGCCGTCATTTTTCTTTTAGCTGCTCTTCTTTCCTCGTCACGAGTTTTCCTTTCCGCACCCTATAAAACATCCAAACGAAATCTCATTTTTATTTTGACGATTTTTACGTCACAAGTTGTATTTACGTTTAATCGGTCAATGAAAATTTTATTACCTTATCGCAAAAAACTTTGATTTGACAATAACCACGATGCGAAGGTGGTGTGTAAGTGTGAGCGTGTGGTGGTGGTTCCTCGTACGTGTCTACTTGAATATGTAGTGGCAAGCCTTTTACACCTTTCTGACTGGAAAAGTCTGTACTTAGACACTGCACGGCTACATTTATCTGCAAAATAATGAATTGAATAAGTATATTAATTATCGAACCAAACGAAGTTTCGTAAATATGTAAGTTTTTCATTTGGATGTACTTTCGCCGAAGATTCCAAGGGGTTCCAGTAAACAGCAATCGCGTTGTGCGCGACTTCTTCTATACAACCCACTAAACCCACACTGTTCTTCGTGTCTGAAAGAATGTGAAACATATGTTACATGATAAAACGTAATATTGCAACGATAAATTATTTCGTTTTGTCGTTATTCCTCAGGTTTTTCTGAGTATGAATACCATTGCACGATCTTACCCCTCATTAATACTTCCTATTCCAGATAGCTTGCGCAAATAACACAATTTTATTTCCAACAAATTATAATAAATTCCAAATTATGTAAATAATTACCAGCATCGAGAATACGTTGTTTTACGGAGTGTTGTCTTCCATGCCAGAATTGCCATGCTTTTATTTCGTCTTCGGGACTTTTTTCTTCCCGGAACATCAGCATAACCACGCTCTACGCAAAAAATAGAAAAAAAAAAGATGATTACTATTATTATACGTACATGATAATAATATTGATCGCGTCTCTCCTTCGATTGATCGAATAGTTTTTATTGCATTGGAAGAATAAAAAAAAAAAAGCAAGAACAGGGAAACTAAAAAACGAATACGAGAGTTAAACGATAAACATTGACAGCAGCAACGGCAAGACAGCAGACAGAAACACGGGCGAGTGAGTAACGCGCGCGTGCGTGCGTGCAAATCCATTGCTACCGGATTTTTCGTGTTTCGGGTGAACGAACGAACAATTACACGTGTGTGCTGGGAAAATATGGATCAGGTGAGGAAACGAGTGGAGAGGGAAAAAAGGGAGAGTTGAGAAACAAAACGAGAAACGTATCGCTCGGGAATAAGTCGAGTTTACACGCTTGCACTTACATCTTGATTTCTTATTAGCCATAGGGGGAGTATAGAGAAGGTGGGGAGAATACGATGTAGGTAGGTGTATTATACCGTTCTAGTCGCCACACGCCTTGGACGTTAGCTCGATTAGCAATTAACGAGGAAGTCGTAACTCGTTCGCGGCTAGGAAAGAAAAAAAATAGCCACCTTTATCAGAATGGAAATTGCTAACGGTTGCCACCGCTCTGCCAATTAGAGTCGCGAGAACAAACGAGCTAGCTCGACTTCTTCGATCTTCTTTTTGCTCTTCTTTCTTTCTCTTTTGAAAAAACCTTCGTGCAGAGGGTGTGTGTGTGTGTGTGAGAGAGAGAGAGAGAGAGAGAGAGAGAGAGAGAGAAAGAGAGAGAGAAAGAGAGAGCTCGAAAGCGTAGCCGCGTTTTCTATTGCGCTGTAGGAGTCAATGATAATCGGATTTGATTATACTGAGTACCTATGATACTTTCGTACTTTATTACACACATGTATTATTTCATTCGTATCTGTTGCGTGCTTGTTCGCGTGATATTTGCTAAATCGAAAAGTACTTTTTCAACGTACGATCACAAAGATTACACGATTCCTACCTTAACCGTTTGTCCCGATTTAAGAAGCGGTTTGTCTGGATCCGGTACGTAGTCCAGCGAAATGCCATAGAATTGACCCTTATTGATGTACGTTATTCTGTCATCCTCGCGTCTTTGAGAAGTGCTGATAGGAGACTCCAGATGATATTTGAAACCGTACGCCGAGAAGCTGTAAGATAAAAAACAAAAGTATGAATACAAGATTTTGAACGAAATTGCATTTATAATTATCAGGAAGGTACCCTCGGGGGAAAAGGAATCATTCTCGTGCGAATTTTGCTATACTTGAAAATATCTTCTGGCTAAAAAAAAAGTGGTGGTAAAAAAAATCGGCGCGAGGTCGGTAACTAATTGGCAAAGACATTCCCTCTCGTTCTCCGTTTATCTTTATTCGCCGACATAAGTTCCTCCCCCTCCCCCCGTCTCTCTCCCTCTTCTCACAGATTTTTCTCGACTATCTCGGTAAACGTAAATACACTTAATAAAGCAATAAATATGCAAATCGATGTGGTTCTCCTGTTAACAGGCTCTCTTTTCCTTTCCTTCTCATTTCTTTTATTTTTTCCCCTCTTTCTCGTTATCTTTTTAATCGAGTTCTCTCAATTTAATTCTCAAAAAAGAAGAAAAAAAACAAAAAAGAAGACAATCGAAGAGGAGGAGGAGGAGGAGGAGGAGGAGGAGAGTACACGTTTTCGTTCTTTCGCGTTAACTTCGTCGGTGTTTAAAAACCAAAAAAGAAAAAGGGTATGGAACTGTAACCGTGCGGGTTTCTTCTCGTCTCGTTCGAGTTTGTTGGTTCGATAGGCAGATCGGTAGGCAGGACTCTGTTATCTCTATCAACGAGACGATAAATGGAGTAAGTCGACTTGGAGTCTCCCTCTTTGATACCTATGTAAGTATCTACTGTATCTGAGTGCGGGATACAGGACGGGTGAACGTCCTGTACGCATACACGCTCTTTGCTCCTGTTGCTTGCCACGCCGCTTACTTGCTATAGATACCTCATTATAACTTCTTCTTGTGTGTGTGTGTGTGTGTGTGTGTGTGTGTGTACGTTACGCGTAGATCGGTACAAACTACCTCTCTTTTTTTATCCTTTTTTAAGCACAACCGCAATGTTCCTTCTTCCTCGTCACATCAACGAGTTAGGGAGAGTTACTTATTAGCCCTTCCTTTTTTAATTTAAAGAAATATTGTTTGTCTATACAAGTTAGTCATTTGTCAAATCAATTGACGGATTTGAAATCTTGATGTAATGGTAATTCTATCAAAATTTAATTGTTTTTCTGTAATGTGTGAAACTTACATCTTTGGTATCTGTATCTTGTCGGCATCGTTCTGTCTTCCAAAATCGTGCCAAGGCCTTGACCTAGGTGGATTCGGATTAGTGGTAGGATTGGGGGTACTTGCTGCGACGAGACCACCACGTTGCACCTGTGCTTGCGCATGGCTCTGTTGCAACTGCAGTTGAAGAGGTTGGTGATGTATCACGGCACCGTTCTCGAGAACAACCGCTGAACCAGTTGCCGTTCCTCCGGGGCACAGTTCCGTATAATCGAAGGACGACTGTACGACATAACGGATAATATTAATGATTAAAAAAGAAAGACAGAAAGAAAAAAAAATAGAAGAAAGAAATGTAGTAGAAATCGATAATCGAATGAACAAGATCAATAAAAAAAAAAGAAAATGAAAAAGAAAAGGAACAAGTTCGGAGTACTCGAGAAAGACTTGTGTGTACGTAATAAACAGGCAAGTACTTAGGTACTTACTTTTCTACGAGATAAATCGTTGCGCTTCGTTTTACCGCGAGAGAAAACGATGAAAAGGAAGAAAACGGCGCGGTGTGCGGTCTCGTAAAATCGACCGACGACCGCACGAAATCGTACGAGTTTACAACTGCGAACGACTAATAGATTGGTTCACCAAACGCGTCCATTTCGCGTTACATCTTTATCCCATTGCAAATTTATTCTTACTTAGAAGATAAGCGTCTTATTTAATATCTTAAATTTAACGGTAAAACCATTCATCAATCTTTTCAATTACCGCTTACAACGATTGTTTAGATAGCAGTAACTACGTTTTATTCTATCGAAATAAATTATGAATAATCTAATGAGGTGTCGGGTTAAGGATTTCTAAGTAAAAATATTCTAGACAATATATATAATATAATTGGTAGGACGATCACGTGTGTGTCTGTCGTTTATTATTTAATATTCCTTAAGTAATAAGTCTATTACGTAAATGTAGGATAGTTGTATGTAGGACAGAAACATTATAGTAAGGCGATACTTGGGTCTTTTAGCTTTTGAATAGGTTTCGAGGATAGGTGCAGTCACTCGTGGTCGACTCCCTATGGCGGGAGCATTTTAAACTTCGTTTTCAGTACCTCCCGTGTTAGCGAAGCAGAACGAACGCGTGCTTTCTAATTCGTAATGTCGACTGTAATGCTAATGACTTACTCTCTTGGAGCGTAGTTCTTGGTCGGGTAGAAATACGCGCGATTAAACACTTCCGGAAGTGAACTATTACTTATGACTGATACGCATGTAGGAATGACGAATTATCTTTAGATCGGTCAAGAATTCTCCTACATCGATATGACGGAACGATTAAAATGATTATCAACTATCGTGCAGGTAATGCGCATGTACGTTTTCTACAAGACGCGAATCGTGCAAATTCAATTACGAGTCAACCGGTCGAAGCCACACGGTTATAAGCGTATTAATTAATCATACGCGATCGACGATTCTATTAAATTATTAAATTTCTTTTTTTTTCAAGTTTATTATTTTCAACAAATAAATAATAAAATAAGTCACCTGATGGAGGGTCGTAGGTGCGTGATGATCTTGCCTAGGCGTAACAGCGTCGGCACCGATCCCAGAATCAGGACTCGGTAAATCGACGGTGAGAACTTTACTGCTGCTCGAGGAGGAACGTATCGCGTGCGTCGTCGCGTAAGAACTGGGTACTACCTCGTATCTTGTGTAGGAGGCTGTGCTCGTCGATAACGAGGAGGAGTTTGAAGATGCTAGAGGTGGAAGAGCGTCTCCCGTTACGTATACAGCTGTTGTTTCCTGGTGAATGCCACTAGCATTCGCGTTATTTGTTCCACTCGTTCCGGACGTCGAAGTGTATGCAGTTGACTGCAATCTTGGACTGCACGAGGTATACGGATCGTACGGACTTCCGTATTGTTGCACCTGTCAAAATAAATTTTTCTTTATTATTTCATTCGACATAGGATGTATAACAACGAGAAAAAATTTTCTACGCGTACCTGTAGCTGATGTTGATGATGATGGTACATTCCCGGCGGCGTGGGACTGTCCGGTTGTGTCTGTTTGTGACGTTTGCTGGATTGTTGAGCTCCGCGAGAGGAACTGAGATCCTCAGGTTCCCTCTTGACCCCGGTAATGCCAGTACTGGAGGAACCGTCGTGTCGGAGGGACTGCGGGCTCAATGGAAGAGGAAGCCCACCCTGTAGACTCTGGCCAGGACTGTGAGACTGCTGGTTGTACTGGTGGAGGAAATGATGGAGTTCCCCTCCTCCTGCGCCTTCGCCGCCTTCCATACGATTTGTCGAACTGGAACCGGAGCCAGGCGCCTCCTGCACCAGCAGCTTCTGGCCCATCACACCCCTTTAACAGTCAACAGGGGAATCGACCTTTAACTTCATCGCGTCCAATCGACGTTACGCTCTTTGCATCGTTCGACGCGAATTGCCATCGATCCCGTCGGCCTCTCCCTTCCTTCTACCTTCCTTCTACCTTCCTTCTACCTTCGACTACTACTCTTTTTCTAAGGGCACCTATCGAATTCCATCCCATACGTGTACTCGCGTATATCGAGGCCAAGATTTTCTTTCTCTTTGCCTAACGACGATAACTTTGCCTCTATGCACAGATCTATTTCAGTCAAGATATCGAACCGGTTTCATTTAAAATAACTTTTCTGTTATTTTTTTCTTTTTATTTCTTTCCCAATTAATTGTTTAACATCGATCGGAGATGATACTAGTTTTGTTATGAAAAATATTCGATCGATTGACACCGTGTAATATTCGTTGTCAATCGATTGTAGATACGAATCGATTATTGTTATTTTTAAGGGCTACGTTAGATAAGATAAAAATTTCATAATGACAAGGGAACCGTACGCTGTCCGAACGTTGGACGAAACCAATTATAGCGTTACAAAGAAATTCTCTTCGATTTACTAAGGGTATCCTTCGTTCGACGATATAATTAGACGATATGTCGTTTCAGGTCAATCATCCGATATGTGTCTCCTTCGAGAATGGAGACATGGCGACAGGCCGGCAGACAACAAGGACGGCAAGCAGAACTCGACGATCGCGTGAGATAGAATCAAGTTCATCGTCACCAATTTTTCTTTTTATTTGCGCTACGAACTCTATATTATATACCTTTACATTCCCTTCAAAAAAATTCCTTCCTATCGTTAATTCTTTCATAATACTTTTTTCTTTTACTTTTAAACAAAACCGCGAAGCTTATTCAACGGGAGAGAATATCTTTTTATATTTAGTACTTTCTGTACGTTGCAACGCATCCTTTCCAACGCATCTGCCAAGAGCAATGGCAATAAAATTTTCAACAAGGAAAAGCGGTAGAAATGCGAGACTCCCTGTAATCTAGCGTTGAAGAGACCGAAAAAGAGAGAGGTAGAAAGAGAAAGATAGAGAATCTCGCGCGGCATTATGCGAAGTAGTTAACATGTTATATTTAGCATGATAATACGTATCCACGGAGTACGAGGGAACCCTTATAAACTGCCAACGCTGTCGGTGCATGCGAGATCTTTCTTTTTTCTCATTCTTCCGTCCCATCTCACAGGGAAGATCGTTCTACGCTCCCCTCCACTCTGTTTCGGCCTTGCAAACGTGTCGCGGCAACCTTCGCCAGGTTCCCTGAGCATCTCTCTCTCTCTCTCTCTTTCTCTTTTTAACCCTTGGTATAAGAAACACTCTTTGCTCCTGTTCGTCGAACACCACCACCACCACCACCATCGTCATCACCATCACCATCACCATCACCATCATCATAGCCATCGGCAATGGCACCACCAGCACCGTGGCACCAACCAACCCTACGGTCAGATGCTTCCGCACAATGGGTCTTTTTTTCCACTTGATACCTGATCCCTGTCCCTGTTCTCTCTCTTTCTATCTCTTTGCGAATGTTCCACTCGCCGACTCGTCTGGCCTCCTCGAGAGATCTCGAGCAGGCTGTGTGTCGAAAAGGGTACGACTATATACTACTATATACGCAGGTGAGGAGAGCAAGGAGAAATCCAACGACGAGAGTCCCGTCGACGCCATATCTCTGACGCACTTGTACCTTAGAATAAAGAACTACACTACCTCTCTCTCTCTCTCTCTCTCTCGGGTGTTCCCGAGGAATTTTTCTTCCACGTAGAATATCTTGGAATAACTAACAATAAGAGAAAGGGGAGAGAGAGAGAGATGAAGGAAATCCGCCATAGCCCGGAGGTAGTGGTAGTAGTAGCATAACGATTGAACGAGCGCTCATGAATTCGGCTTATGTGAAATGGATCCTACGTCCCTACGCGCAACTCTTTTCGCTGTACGAGTAATGCGATGCTAATCCTAAAGTACACGTTCAAAGAAATGAATTTTTCTTTTATTAAGTTTTAGAAGTTCACGAACATCCGAAGGATTTATCGTAGGCAAATATATCAAAATATTCCTGGCTATAAACGAATGAATAAATCAATAGGGAGAGGATACTAAAAGGGAAAATGCAATGGTTGCGTTGAAGAAATTGAAACGACGAGGTAGGTAAAGGTAACCGTCTTCCAGAAGAAACGGTGTAGGAGTAAAAGGTATAAAAAAGAGAAGGGAAAAGAAGAGAGAGAGAAACTCCGCAAGGTACGAACGGAAAAATCTTAGGTATAACTCGCGAGAGGTCATCGGTCGTACGTTCCTTGAGGTTATTTGGTATGTCTATGGCAAATAAAAAATGTGACTAGATTAACGTACATATGCGTATAATATATTATAAGTAAGTACGTTTTACTCGAGTTCATGTATTTCACCTTCTCAGCGAAAACCGTAAGACAATCGGCCTGGTATTTCCGTTTCTTTTCTTTTAGCTTGAAGTACTAGGGGGAGTTTACTTGTTCGTAACAATGGTTAGAGGTAAGCATATAAACTGCTGAAAATACAAATGAAATAGGAAGCAGTATTTGTCAAATAACTTGATTATATAGAAGAATAATTGAAGAATAATAAAATAAGAGGACATATACACATGTCTCGTAGAAGTTCGTGAGTCAGGAGTAGTTAGTTCATCGTCAGGGAAATACTTGGAGAGTACGTTAATAGTGAGGAATAGCGTCGACGAGTGGACAAGATAGGCAGGCAGGTTGTGCCGCTTGCTGAGAGGTAGAAACACACGTGCACATAGGCGAAGCTTCGAGGTCGCGAGGTCGACGGCAGGGTCATGACACGCACGGATATACGTGTACCCTTTTCCCTCCATCCTCTGGTTCCACGCACGATCGCAACCTGCGGCGCTTGCGGTACGTTACTTGCGGTACTAACAGGCTCTTCTCTCTCTCTCTCTCTCTCTTTCTCTCTTTCTCTCTTTCTCTCTCTCTTTTTCTTTCCGTCGTACCTTCGTAGGATCCGTTCGCAACCGGAATCGGCATTTCTCAAACCGGAAATCAAGTTCTCCCGGTGTCTATCTTGTGTTGCTCGAGCATGTGCATTTCGGTATATTTACACGAGGGTTAGAAGAGTTATGTGGCGTGTCTATGTTATGAAGAGGTACCGTGAAACTCGAAAGACAGGTCCCAATAATATAGCTCATCCTAACAGCTTCTTGTTTCGGTCACTCCCTCGATTATCATTGTTTCTTTACCTACTCGTTCATACTTGCTCTTCATTATCGTACTCTGGTCTGTTGTCTCCGTTCATTTACGAAAGTCTAGGAATCGTCTTCGTTCCTTTTTCTTTTTTTTTTTTTTCAATTTTTTTCTTTTGTGACTTTACGAGCACGCAGTGATGGTTGCGCGCGCGCAAAGTAAGCGAGGAGCACCTGTGCATATAGCACGTGCCTCTCGTCTTTTCGTTGACGGCGGCGCGTAAGCGGCACGAACGAATTGAAATGCACGAAACGTGACCGACCACTTTCTGCCACTTCTCACGATTTGTCCTCATCCTCCTCCACCTCTTCTCATAATACCGCTTTTGTTCTAGGAATATTATTCCGTTCTTGGAAGAATCCTTCCTTTGGATTCCTTGACCGCCGTTTATATTTCCAAAAAAGATATACACTAGTCCGTTTGTATTATGACTTCTTTCCAGGCCTCTGTTTTTTTTTCTTTATTTTTTATTTTTTTTCAAAAATGTCAACTATGATTTTTATCTATGTTCGTGACTTATGCAAATGCGCGGGTCAAACGTACAGGTCTAAGAGTTCGTTATTCTTTTACATGGATACGATGTACGTTTATCAGGGTTGAATGTTTTTCCTTGACGTTTACGGAATAAGCTCAATCAAGGTAGAAAACAAATGGGAAAAGGAAGAATAAAAAATCCATAGGGTAATAGAAGGAAAAAGAAAAATATTGAGCTCGATGGTGGTTATATGTTTGTTCAGTGAAAGCATTACGAAGTTTTACAATCGTAAATTTAAATAAACGAGGACTGGCTCGCGCGGGCGTTACGTGTCGAGCATATACTACGCACAGTAGAAGAAGAAGAAGAAGAAGACGACAAGGAGGAGAAAGAGTTGAAAGCAGAGGTCGAAGAGCGAAAACGGAGCATGGTACTGATCGTCGTCATGCTCGTCGTCGTGCTCGCTATCTGTAGTGGTCAGAAGGCGAACGGCGAGGTTGGTTCTGGTTCTGGTTATTCAGGCCCGTTTCGTTTTACGACGTGACACTGGGCTCTCCTTCGCTTCGCCGACTCGTCAGGTGGGTCAAAGGCCAGGAGAGTAGGCACGCCACGTCTTCTGCACACGCGCTCTGTCCCTAACTAGATCTCCGCGTAACGATAAAGCGAGGAACGAAACGAAACGAAATGAAACGAAACGCGTAATAACGACGACTGGTCCTCTTCATGGACGACTCTACGATCAACCCCCTAACTTCTACTACTATATTTTTAGATTCTTTTCGGTTTATCATACCTTTCTAGGTAATATTCAGTACGTTGCACTTAAAATATAATATTCGTTTCGTGTCGTGTACATGGTATACAAATTATATTTACAAATATTACTTTACCGGGAAACCAAAGTTCAAGTATGCGAAAATGTTAGACCAGGTACAATTAAGTCATTCCATTGAGAGAGGCAAAGTTTAATGGTCAGAGTAGAAGATAACAAATAATTTATCTCGAGCATATACTCGGTCCTCTAGTAGATCTACGTAGTGGAGAATAAGCTGGCAATGAAGTTTACAATAAAAAGGCCGCGATGTCATCGAGCCGAGTTGATCCTCGACCCCCCTTTAAGACTCGACTACTCGGAGGCAGGTTCCATTATGCGTAGCACTCCTTTTAGCCCTCGGTATTTTCGTCGACGTTCTTCGCGCTCCGAAAGTAGGCCGTAAAAAGTGCCATTGTGCTACCATTGCCACCGCTTTAAATCCTCCCGTTTAAATTCCTCCTCGCGTAAGGTTAAATGCGCTCGCACGCTCGAGGTACGTTTACCTTACGTGCCAGGAAAGTTGTTACAATTTGTCCGATTAAGACTCGATAAGATCCCCCTCCCCCAGGAGTCGTTTTAATGAGGGTCGATAAAGTTACTTCAAGAAAAAATATCGTGTGATTTAACTCATAAACTGCGAGCGTGACACACGCTAAATGTTGAAATTATTCGGCTTTATGATATCTTTCAGTTGCGTGTATATTTGTGCCTCATACACTTTTACCATATGTAGTAACTTTAAAAGTAAGTATCACGTGATATGTGTACGTCAAAGGTAAGGATCGAACGATTTTAATCCGAGCTAAAGTTTTTCTTCTATCTTTCCTTTTTACGAGCCGAGTTATATTGAGAGCAGCGGAAGAAACGTATCGTTGTAACGTCACCACCACCACCACTACCACCACCACCAACACCGTCGTCTCCTCTACCCCTCGAACGTCTCAAATTCCGTTTCTCAATACGTAATATACAGTCAGATGTAATGGTACACTCTGTCCGAGATAGGTAGAGAATAGGCGAATAGAAACGATTGCCAATAGGTACCTTCCTAATCAAGAAATAATTACACAATGTCGTTTTAATGAGTTCTTTAATGTAATGTCTATTCGTTAATAGCATTCATTATCGGATTCTGTTCTTTTACAATATTATCATATTCAAATTATTTTCTTATAGGATTTTACAAATATGAAATAGTGATATGTTTTTAACCTTGTTCAATTATATAACGCGGATATACTTGGCGATAAATCACATTATCGACGAACTCTTGTTTTCTTTCTTTGTCGTGAGAATGAGTAGGCGTGTTACAACGCATTATGTTTATGCATTTATGTATATTTTACACGTTGCATTTAATAATTCTATCCAATAATACAGTTGACGATAATTTACTATAACTATTATTTGAAATTAATGTGTTTGTTATTATGATCTTTTTGCATCGATCGTTTTTTCCATAAAATGATTCGTGACATAACGATATCTGTAACGAACTCCACCCTGTTAAGTGCAGAAGGAAACAGATAGATAACTAGATAGATAGATAAATAGATTAAAGAAAAAAATGAAGAAAAAAAAACAAAGAATATCCGGCTTATTCTACAGTTTGCTCGACGTTAAATTCTACGTTCTCTGTATTTGGAAGGCGGATATCGTGGTTGTCACTTATGCGCACGGGCGTTTAGATTAAAGCAAGCGATCATGAGAGTACTGGGAGCACGGCTTTACGGCCGGCGGCTTGCTGTGAAATTGTACGCCGATTCGTGGCTTTGCACCATCATCCTACAACCCCGTGGCGAGCCTTAAGTGACTCGGCTGTGTAAGAGTCGTCTACTTCAACTTATCTCCCCTCTTTCGTCCTATGTTTATGATGCTCGTGGTCCTCTCCCTTCTTTCGAGAGAGAAAGAGAAAGAGTTAGAGAAACATTCCGAGTCGTTCAAATGCTTGCAAAAATAGTTCGATCTCTAATTAGAACAATTTTATTATATCTCATCAATTAGTCGGCAAACTCTTGTTATATGTTTTACGTTCTTTTTTCTTCCTTATTCCATTAATCAAATTGACGGTTGTTGGTTCTTCGATTAAAGGATAACATTCGTCAACGTTTCTTAATTCTTCGTGTTAATCCTCTTTTATAAGTGATTCTACGTAGTGTTGCATAACCGTGAAGAAAAATTCAAGCGAATCCTCCACCGTCGTCGTCGTTAGAAAGGTAAACACCATCGTAACACGGTAGTTTACAATCCTGTAAGAAAACTCGTCGGTAGAATAAGCGTATTTATTGGCGGTCCTTCTTTGCTTGCTTATATCCAACGACGTCGGATGATTAAGGAAAAAAGAAAAAAAAGAAGAAAAAGAAAAAGGTTTAAACCTTTTCTATGATCACCAGGGATAGTAACTTTCCTAACGACTGTCGACGCGTCTAAACATCGATTAACTGAATCTTTATTTACTTTCTCTCGCTTTAGCCAACTAAGTATTATATCTTTTATCTTTTATCTTTTATTTTCATTTATGAGAAATTTGGTATCAAATAAGATAACGTGGTATACCGTATTTATTATTTTTGTTGCTTTTTTTTTGCTTTCTCGCAAGATCCCAGAACCAGGGTGCAATGAAATTGGATTAAAGTTGTACTCTCTTTTTGTCTTTTTAGTTTCCTATTTAGCTTTTATCGATGCAACGGAGACGAGGTTTAACGATCTACCGTTGTACAAATTGTCGAGATGTTATCGTACTTTTTCTCTTTCTCTCTCTCTACACCTCGGTGTAAGGGAGAAGTAGATGCGAGGGAAGATTAGGGTGGAATCTCTTCTCCCCACGGCGAGGTCGTTCAGTAGAACTATTCTACATTTACTCTACTACCATACCAAAGCAGCAAGCAAGCAAGATAGCGGGAAAGAAAGAAAGAAAGAAAGAAAGAAAGAAAGAAAGTAGACATCAGGATTCGTACGTTGCAGAGAGAAGATTCTCAACAGTAAATTACAAAATATGCTAAGCGGCTGATATAAATCAAAAGTGGGATACATAGTGGCTCCTTGAAAAAAGGGGTATATAACGGGGGCTCCTATTAACCCCCCGAAGACTTAGAATTCCATGGTGTGCTGTTGTTGCTATTGCCAGAGCCGAACTCTACCTACTTTCGTCTCGCGCGGATCCAAAATATAAGGGCAAGAGACCACCCCTAGAAGAATATCGGTATGAAAGGGACGACGACGATGCATGCCAGTCTCACGAAACCTGTACCATCTCGTTTGATGCAGTTTGCAAACCGAGCAAATGTACCGGAAAGCTTCTCTCTCTCTGCAAGATATAAATAGGCACTATCGTTCTCGAAAGATTTATATCATCTTGACGGTAAATTATTTTGAAATCCTTCGGGATGCCGCGTCCTCCATCGAATTTCTATTATCGTTAACAGGGTGCGAGACTTTTATGAGATACTTGTTAGTGAAAGGAAATGGCGTCTTTAAGTCCCTGTTATCTTTCATAGATTCAGACAAACTTTCAACATTGGTACGAAAAACAAATCAAATAATTGAATACTTGCTTAGATATACACGTGTTCTCGGTGCTTCTAAATAACTCTTGTATGAATAAATCTTCTCGGGACTATTTCCTCGTTTGCACGATCACCGTTACTAATCGTGCTTCCTTCCATTCGATTCTACCACCACCGGTAATTAACGTCTACACGAGTTGAATCGCGTTGGGTGTGTTTTTAACGTCAACTTACGCGCCGACTATCGCAAGATCTACGCTAATCGAGTTTTACCAATGGTACTTTGGTATGCGAGCCGACGACGACGACGACGACGACGACGACGACACGTGCGTTCACACCTACGTGTTAGGAGTACGCTCCTACTGTATATATGCATGTATAGTTTTCACATTGATTGAAATAAAATAAGTTAAGCGGAAACTTACGTGGACCAAAGCTCGTGCGTCGGGGGTAGTTTGACATCGGTGGTAGTTTTATCTGGTATCTTGTAGTACTCGTAAACGTAAGGAGAAGATGGATCGTCTCCATGGTTTGCAACAGTCGAGACCTGGTGCTGTTGTTGGAGATTTAGCATTGCCGCGGTCGCAACGGAGAGCGGATGCTCGCAATAGGCGCGCCAATCGCCCTCCATACCCTGCACCTGCACCTGCACTGCAGTTATTCTCTTGTGAACTTCCGGATCAGCCTCCTCGTTTCCACTCTGAAGGGACTGAGCCGCAGCTTGTGCCGCAGCTTGAGCCGCAGCCTGAGCCGCAGCCTGGGCCGCGGCAGCCTCCTCCGCTGCTAATTCTTCCTCCTCCTCTTGACTTTCTCGTTGGGGTACGTAGCCTTGCTGTTGTTGCTGCTGTTGTTGTTGTTGTTGAGACTCGTCGCCGACGGTAACACTGCCGTTCGTTTCTTCCTCGCTTCGACTTCGCCGTCTGTTGCAAATAACAATTATACGATATATCAATTTTTTTATCTGTTCATTTTATCTTAGAATATATTGACGATAAACGCGTGTTCCAACACGTTTTCGAATAGCGCGAGGAATTAAAATTGGCGAAGCGCTAGGTCCATCCAAAGGCTAAGCCGATCATTTAAAAAGACGTCTTTCTCTGAAGGTCACAGACTCTGAACGTTGCCGTTCGACCGAAGAATAAAAAGAAAAAGAAGATGGGAGAGAAAAATCCGAAGGAACCGTTCGGATAGTAGTAGCAAACCGGCCGTGCAGGTAACGCGATAAATTACTCCCAGACTCATCGAATTTATCAATTAACGACGATCTCTTGCGCGCTACGATGATTCCTCAATTTAGCAATGACCACCAACGATGGAAGTCATCAGAGTCTTTCTCTCGCGCCTATATTCCTCGACTATAATTTATCGTCGACCTATACATCACGATATCTAATCGTCTCCTTCTTCTTTCCCTCTCCCAATTCCATCTTATTTCTTATCTTTAACTGGCAAATACCCAAGTCAGCCATGATTTTCGCTGCAAGCGCATCGAAGAGACGTCCGGATATTTGTCACCGTTTCTTACTTTCCATCGGTGTAATATCTTCCGGCTATACAGGGGGGAAAACTATTTACGATGGTGCGATTCATGAGGGTATTTAAAAAAGCGGAAGAAGAAAAAAAACGGATAGAAAAAAGAAGGAATGAGAGAATTATCTGTTGGTAGTACAAATACAATCTCGGTGAACGATTCTTACTCTGCCACTGGTATAGGCAGATGCCTCTTTGCAATCCTTAAGAGGAAGAGAGTAAACGAATAAGAAGAAGAATAAGAAGAAGAACAAGAAAGAGAGGGCAAGATATATACACGTACGAAGATTAATTATTATAAACCCTTGCCTTTTGCCTACAGTCATCAATTTATACTCTCTTCTTTTCTCTTCTCTGTCGTACGCATGTACGTATACGTATGCACGTACGTATGTATGTACGTACGTAGATCCCAATTCCAATCCCAATTCCAACCCTGTGCGATGGATAAAGGTTCGTCCTCTCTAATTTATGCATGTAAAATCAATCTCTTCTTCTCTCGCTTTCTCTTACCCTACTCTCCCTTCCTTCTCTCGTGTGTACGCCACGTTCTCTTATTTCTTCTTCGGCCGCACCTGGATAACCGTCAGCTTCCGAAAGAGTGAAAGAGAGAGAGAGAGAGAGAAAGAGAGAGAGAGAGAGAGAGAGAGGCAGCCACCCTGATAATGAGGGACCGAGTTATCCTGTGCAAATATTTTCCTTGGTGACTGTTTGCACAGGCACTACATCCCTCTCTTACCTTCTATCAAGTTCTATCCACCCCTCTTACATGGGCTCCTCGAATTCGCGCGAATAATTCATACGTAAGAGATTTTTCAATGATATCTGAATCCGGTTATCTTTATTCGTGATCACGAGGGCGAGAATTGAATCTGCGATGAAAGCTGAAAGCGCGTTAACAGTCATTAAGATCAACGCCACCCGGTGTATTTCTTATCGGTCGGATGCACTTTCTTTTCTTTTACTATTGAAAATCGTTTTTTACCCTTGTTGTTGATTCTACGTTGGTTGGTTTTTATATTATTATGTGGTAGAGGCGGTAGCTTATTATCCGTGGAAGGAATTTCACGAGTCGTGCAAAAATGACATAGCTTCGTGACTCTTGCGAATTCGAAGTCACATGTATCGAGAGATCGATGTCAGTGTCATCGAAGCGCCGAATAAGCTTTTGCCGTTGTCCCGACTCCTCTTCGAACTATCTCGAAGGAGTAAAGAAAAGGGTGGAGGAGGGTGGAGGAGGCGGAGGAGAATCGTATGAAGAAGCAGGACGTGCAAGTTTTTCTTGGCGCGTTCCACGAAGATTTTCGACGATGCGCGGCGCGTTCTACCTTTGAGTCTTTGAAGGACGAAGAAAACACAGCGGCGTGCTGCTGCTGCTGCTGCTGCTGCTACCGATGATGCTACCCAATGCTGCTAGTAGTAGTCTCCTGCAAACCGCACTGATCTACCGTCGCTCTTCGATGGTCAAAGAAAAACACAGCACTCGAAGAACTCGCGCTTCGACGAACGAATTTCGGAATAATGCGAGCACGTAGTAGCGCCTACGTGCTCGGAATACACTCGTGTCGCCTGTTAACGGGGAAAAAACCCTGTAGATATATATACGGACAAATATAAAACAACCCTCAAGACGTTTTATATACGTTTATGTAATTTTAACTTTATACGTATCTCAGGGTTGTTTTCTCATTTTCATCTCTTTTTCTCTCTCAATTGAGGAGCACGAGAAGACAGAGTTGCTAACGAATCTAACTCTCTTACGTTTTATACCGTTGAAAAAGAAAATTTTAAGGGTGATCCGTATAGCCTGCCGGATACATATGCAAATTCGAAGAACCCTCAGCGAGAGACATCACCTGCGCATCCGGTTTTCGAACTCTTATTTGATTTTCCTTCTCTCGCAACTACTTGCTTTCAGACTAGGGAAGCTTTTCGAGGATGAGTTTGATCGATTTTTTTTATTCACTACACTTTACTTTACTTTTTACTTTTCATTTCTCACGCACATATTTATATAGATTTTAACAAGAATTATATTTGACTGGATATTATTACACTTACTTACAAGTAGATCTTTCTCACAAATCCTACGAACTTATGCTAGATCACGTCTCTTAAAGATTGAGAGAGTCTATCCATCATAATTCCCGTCGTTTACGGCTCACCGACTTGCGTCGTTTTTTAAAAGGTCGAGAAGGTAGTTTATGGCAGATGTCGAGTTCGATGGGATTTAACCGATGAACTTTAACCGATGCTAACTATCATTGAAAGATGAGAACGAATGATTGAAATAATAGATGAAAGAAGTCATTCGATAGACTGAGTCCTGTTCGACGTTTCCACGGAATGTAATATGATAAAACATAACTTATGGTCGAATTAACATAGATAGGAAAGGAAATGCGAGGTTTTACTTTAGAGATATACGAGCGCAAAAGTTTCATTCGCAGTGGCGTATGCACCTACCTCAATACGTAAATGTTGCAGGTAGGTAGAACGCACAAAGAGTAAGAAGAGAAAGAAAGAGCCGTTTAATATTCCGTGGGTGTATCGTCCACGCGACCGAAGAACCCACCCTGTTTGCTCCATCTTTCGCATTTCAATAAAGTCGCCTCCGTGCACTTCTCTCAACTGTTGTTTTACGATCTCATACCTGTATGGTCCACAAAGATGTTAAACATATGTTATAAGACTTTTCCTTGTTGTTTCTACATATTTTCGATATCTTTTTTCAAATTTTATTTTACTTATATTTGCTAGGAAGGAAGGAAGATAAAGAAAACATCGATAGGAAGATATGACATATGCGTAAGTTGTGCAGGTTCTCCAAGATGGTGGACATGCGGAGACTTATCGTGGGTGATATATGGAGTGGAAAATACCGGGGATAACGTATGCTCTGTTTTATTTTGATAACTATCTCGATCTGATGTCGTCGTCTAAGCTTGCTCACACGTATCCGTCGTTTGCCGGAGTGACTCTCATCGCGACGCGCATACTAATTTAACAGACTAAATTTATGTTCCTGGTCAACCGGTAGGTACTATCTATATATGACTCTGAACGTATAATATATGTATATGAAAATCTGGAGATTAATTGAGTCAGGAGAAATAGTCTTTTTGATAAAAATAACGTAAGGGATATAAGTTAATCCGTAGGAAGGGAACGATCGAACCTATACTATTACAACTTTTATCCCGTATAACTAAATAAGTAACATAATAACATAGAACGATATTAATAATTCTACGCATGGAAGAGAGTTGTAATTAAACTGTAAATTCTATGAGGAGAAAGATGAGTATATAGAAACAAAACAAAAATACAAAAGATAAGAAAACTATCTATGAAAGTCTCGTAATCAAGGAACTAATAGTTTCGTATAATTAGTCGATCCCCGAGAGTATGAGTATTGAGATCGATAAAGGAATTTATGTTCGTGGATTAAGTCATTCGTAGGTTAATCGATGGAGGAGTAAAATCATCGACAAGAGAGATCGAACGAGAAAATCAAATATTAAAAGTTGAAAAGAGAAAGAGCTAGGAAGTTTCTGGACGTCGTTTAAAGCTGCGTTCGAGCGAAGGAGTTACACATACGTCGGCTCGATTAATTTCAATCATCGGGATATCTAACGAAGAAAAGAAACAAATATAAAGAGAAAGAGAGAGAAAGAGAGAGAAAGAGAGAGAGAGAGAGAGAGAGAGAGAGAGAGAAACAGCTTTAATTACGTTAATTTCCGCGTGTACGGTTGGAAAATGCTTATGGTCGGTAAGAGATAGGCGTTTTAGTTATCGCGTAATTTTATTTAAAGAAATGGTGTTCCGTCTTCTCTCTCTCTCTCTCTCTCTCTCTCTCTCTCTCTCTCTCTCACTCACCCTTGTTGTTAACTCTCGTTCTATCTTTCTCGGCAAGGATTTGACTTCTTTTTGGGACGAACGAGACTTCAGGATCGTTATTCCTCTGGTCTCTCTATTCGAGTAACCGGTAACTTCCGGCGGCAAGCCATCGTGAGACTATAAGTACGACCAACTTAAGGATAAGAAAGAATAAAAACAAAATATAAAAAAAAGGACTAAATGTCTCCTTCGCTCCCTTACTTCTCGTCGATCGTTTTCCTTTCCACTTGGAGTCGGCGATTTAATACGTGGGCTGAGGATGCGTGCACCTCCTGATATGGTTGTGAGACACGCGAGTTCGATCCTCAGTTAACCATAATACTCTTTTACGGCAGCTTTCGCTGATATTACTTTGCTCTCATAATTATCTTTTTTTTTTTATAAATCCTCTCTTTCTCCCATGAAGATGTCCTTTTTTTTCATACGTGGAATCCGAGTATTAGCGTTTCGAATATCGTGACAATGTGCTCTTTCGCCGCCCTTGTCTTGT